ACAGAAACAAACTAAAACCCCACGCAGCTGTTTCGTCCCTCTAGGACTTGTCAGCGTTGTTAGGGGCCACAAAGGTGGAAATCCAAGTAGGCACAATTATACGAATTTCAATGTATAGAAGTGTAACAGACTGAACCGCGCCACTAATCAATATATGTAACTGTGGCTATCAAGCTTACGGCAAACCTTGGGCACTAACAAATTCGCCAGTAGATTATACCACCTTGTAATTAGAACGTGAGACACACACGTGGTTGGACTAAGAGGAGATTTGTAGGTTAGAAAAAGTCAGGTCTCATTTATCATTTTACGAACGTACTGCTAAAGAACCCGACAATATTCAAACTCTCTCTTTATATAAATTAAAGCGTAATTATTTTGATGACATAACTATTTAAAATGTGATTAATTGGAAGATTCAAGTAATAAATTGACTATTGCACAGACACGTTTTACTATCATTAAAGTCGACATTACAGTCTTGAACGTCATGCCGTAATGTATTGTCGCATTTTGTTAAATGCATTTTATGTCAAATGTTGAGTTAAATTAATCAAGTGTGTATCAGCTGGTGATAAGAATTTGTAATATGATCCTGAAGTGAAATCGACTTCTTACTGTTTATGTATTTATTATGTAGAGGATCTTGTAAATCTCCCGCTATGAAGTTGTCAAATCCCATGCTCTCGTGTTTCTGTTGAATCGAGTCATCTTATCTACTCGGAACCTCTCGGAACGTTACTATTATTGGTTCCTTCGTGAATATTTGAACCCACAAAATAACACTTCTGAAAATATCTCGAAACGAATGCCGTATTGCGAGGACGATAGTCTAAAAACTATCTCCCGGATGATAGTCAGATGATAGCTGATAGACCTAGTAACGTGCGAACCTCATATACAGGGAACTCTCTCAAAAAGGTATGTTTTATTAAGATGTGTATTTTTCTTATGAGAACATGGAAATCTCGTCTGTGGATGTTGTGCGGGATTCCAGGGACACCAGGGACAGGTTGTCCAAAGCATGGACAGTTTTAACGACAGATTACAGCTTCTTATTAAAATGTTATTTTTGAGATAAACATGAAAATGACAACAACAAAAACGAGTTTCTTGTCGTGAGGTATTCAATTTCAATATCTGTACATGCAATATTCAGCTTTGTTTTAAAGATTTTTGAACATACCCAGTCGAAAAGTTTGCGTTATGATGTCTTCAAGTAAACCAGGCTTTCAACAACTTTACTATACTGAACTGCTGAACAGATAGAGGCATTTGCAATCGTTAATTATATAACATTTATAAAAAAACTCAAGTATTAAAACATTAGGTTGATTACTGTGTTGCATCTTGACGAATCGGTCCAGACACAGCTAGAATATGTATAGTTTAGCACGATGAGTGTACATGTAAAAATGTGTCGGCCAGCACCATACATTATGTAGGAGGTAAACATTCGGTGTTAGTGTCACACTCAATAATAGGTCGTTGACCACTGCCCGGCTATAAATACAAACTCGTTCCAAGTTACAGTCAGCTTCGGTCAGTCGACCAAGTGACCTCTTTCTTTCTTTCTCTCTTTTTTTCTTTCTTTCTTAAACTGGGGTTGGTAGTGACCACCCTCGAGATTTTAGTGGTTATGCTCGCTTGCGTTTTCTGCATCCATGAGATTTGTCATGACAAAATCGAAGGCACTCAGTTAGCTTTTTGATTGGTTTCAAGTTAAAAAAAAGCCCTGATCAATTGCTGTCATTTACAGAGTTCAGAGAACGACATCTGATTTCATAACTAACCAATTGAACCGTTACGCTACCGCGCAATTCTCTTGTACGTCAAAGGATCAAACTAGTTTGATTGTACTATCACAAGGTGGGGTGTGCAGAGCCTTCGAAATAGTCACGGCATATTCCAGGGGTACAGGGAATGTACCGTAACTGAGCAGAAACCCTGGAATTTCGAAAATGGTTGTTAATTTTTGTTTTGTTTATTTCGAATGGAATGTATAGGAACATTAGAATACATTTTGTTAGCGTCAACATATGATCCATCGTTACCTTTAAAAATGTGTAGTAAATGCGAATGTGATAAGGTCTTATCACTTATCTCATGAACGGTACAAATTCTAACCTTATCAGCTTCAGAAATAACACATAACATCTGTCTGTTATTTTCCGAAGTTGCTTTCTAATAATAGATTGAAGGTTAAACGAAACCTATAACAGCAGCTTATAACTATATTTAACCCATTATTCTATGTGCATTCTTACATTTATTTGGAGATTTACAATATAGCAGATAAGCTAGAGTAAAATACTGTGACAGCAAGCGCTCTTCACTTAACGTCAATTAGCGAAAATCTGATAAGAAGGCGAAGGGTACTACCATTTCACACCTTGGTGATGAAGATGAGAACATAAAGTTCAAACATAAACGGAAATGTACGTTTCTGTTTAATCACAGGGACCAGACACGTCTAGCTATTATTACTAACATCGGTAATAATTGATATAATACTTTTAGGAATAGAATTATAGAAAAGTGTTTAAAATTAAAAAAACCCACCATTACAAGTCTCATCTTAAAAACGATTATATTCGAAGATGTGTGGAGCGTTAAAGGAAAAAGACAACACGGCAAGGGATGTGCTGGGCAATCGAACCAGGCGAATGTAAGGAATAGTGTATAAGCTGACTATAGGCTAAATGACTATATGTAAGTGTGTCGGTGCATTTGTGTGTGAACATGTATGCATGTGCGCTCGCGTGTGTGCATGCACGTGTGTTTGTGAATACATGTGTGTGTATGCATTAACATATACGATAAAATTCAAAAACCATACTCAGATAGCTTGTGCCTTGATGCACAAATATTAACATACCAAACAAAATCAGAAATATTTGTGTTGATAGTATAGTCTTCAAAGTTTAGTTCGTTCGATTTCATGATTTTAGATAAATTGATAGGCAGTAAATGTTGAACCAATCGACCAATGAAAACGTTTGCCTACGTAATACTGATAGGAACTGGATGCTAAGATGACCTGCTAGGGCGATGACGTCATTTGACGATGATAGAATCACGATATTTTCGATGATTCTTACCGTCGTGATCATTCATTTTTTTTCTTCTAACTCATGATAATCCGAGCCATCTTTGATGTTATTTACAAATCCATTTTGACAGAGAAACTAATTTACCAGTTTTAACTACGTACAATATTACGTTATTACTGATTTATTTTTGGATTCATATGGAAACATTTATACATGCATAGTATGTCGTATACAAGATGTTCAGACATGTACGTGGTATTAAAAGGCAAACACACATTAGCATTAAACCCTCTGGAGGATACTATAAAGACCACCGCTCACAAGAACGCCATCTTCCCAAAGCGTTTGTTTATGCGGAGTTAGCGTACTTGTCTTAATATTGTTGATAACGCTGAAGGGGTTGTTTGTGCTTTCTTGTCAGCTGTTAATCCGCCATTGGATTTTTCGAGACAAGTTAAATATACATCCATAGGGTAATTAGCCTCAGTCGGAACCTGTATGAATAGCATGTGGTTGTTCTTCAAACGTTCTTTCGGAGGTTGTTTATTCTTTGTTTATTACTGAGGCGTCTTGCTGTGTTCGGTTATCTACAAAAAAGTCGTGTATGAATTTCCTGTTGGTGAATGCGCGTTTCTAAGTCGTGTTTGTACTCTTGTTCATAACGCCTTGCAGTAGAGGTGTTTGTGATGATGAGGCGATGATATGTTTGTTGACCAGCCTCCCTTTCACCTGTCCGAGCTGATAAATTGTAATTACTTAATGTACCTGCACGTTCCTAAGGCGTTCTTGTAACACACACGGACAACATATGGACACTCCCTAACTCCTATAGGCTAATGTCGGTGAACATGTAAACAAGTACTGGTCAGTACAAACGCTTAGCCATTACATTTAATACCCGGCTCTGGCCTTACTCCTCAGCACGACCTACATGCGAAAATTGGCATGAACTGACCGTAGGCCTGTGTTAAATATCGTTAATCGGAGTGACCGTTTCCGGAATGTTCACCGTCTCTTTGGAAACATAGACCTGTCACATTAGACAACCTAATAATGATGGTTGCCGTAGAAATGTTTTAAATTGGATACAGACCAGTTATTTATGTGCGAGATACGGAAAGAGTGTCTTCAGATCAGGGAACCAGCTTCATTTCGGGAATCTTTGTGTTGTTTAGGAAAACTCTAAGTGATCTAGTATTGTATGCGTTAAACGTCATCGGATAATGTGTACAGTTTCAATATAGTGAAGTGAAAGTAAACATAACGAATGTATTCTATACCTGATCTAAAAGCAATTTAATACTGAATCTATCTTCGTTAGGAAGGGTGGAAAAGAAGAAAAACAATTCTGACCTTGTGATGACCTCCAACTACCGGAAGTGACTCTTCAGAATACACAATCCCTCCCATAGTGCCATCTCGCATATCTATTGGGCAGTTTCGTCCAAACCTCAGGGTGTTTCTTCCGTTCGTTCTTCGGGAAATGACAGCCATACATATGCTTTAATGGATTGTGTCGGACTTTTTCTACCAAAGCAGGTTCTTGTTGTCAGTTCGAGGGGGCAGTAGAAACTTTTGCAATTCTAAAAAACAAGCTACATATACATGTACCACATTTACACCAGTGGTCGTAAAGAGAGGAACAATGATGTTATGACGATACCTGGTGTTTTGAAATTGAGCTTTTAATGTGTAAAGTGATGAAACTTACTTACTTACACGTACTACACCGCCGTTTCGCAAGTGAATTTTTGAAATAGCATTTCCGTGTAATTTGTGGAAATACAAAGTGTATTGGAATAATTTAAGGATATTGCAATTCCACGCCGCAAAATATTTCCAATTTGTGTTACTAGTGAATGAATTGTGACTGTCACCATGGTAATAACAACAATGGCAGCCAACAATTTGACCTCCACCCTTTTACCTTTTACCTTAATCTTACAGAATGTTATCCAGGACGAGGATACGCAACGCAAGGCGCTCAACAAAGAGCGACTGAGATGTGTCGGATATACCATCCTCGACAGCAAAACCAATACAAGTAAGTCACCATCAATGGGATTATATGCGTTATTTTCCCTTGTCAAAACGCCTGTCCAACATGAATTTTTGTGCTTGCATCGTATATCATACCGGACTATCAAAATCAATTAAATTCGTTGTATCTAAATTGAATGTTATAAGTCAGTTGAGTACTTTACATTACTTTGAGTAATTTTATTTGATTACTGTTTAACTACAATTATTGCTTGGAAATGTATTTGTGTCTTATTTATTTGGTAACTAGTTGCTTAAAACTAGCAAGAAATAAATTCAGACAGTCAAATCTTAAAGAAGCTGAAAATGAATTATTCAATTTGCAATCTCGAACAAAAATAGTCAATTAGGAGTATGCGCAATATCAGATCAGAGGTACCGTTGTGTAATAATATGGGAGTTCTTTTTTCAAACAATTGCAGTTGGGGTGAACATCTCAAACGAATTATTCAGAAAACGACGTCTAGATTAAATATTATGCGATCTCTAAAATTAAAACTCGACAGGCAGACATTACAAAATATATATTTTTCGTTTATCAGACCACTAGTAGACTATGCTGATATTGATTTGGATAGCATGCACAAAGAATATATTTCTAAACTAGAGAATGTCAATTTTGAAGCTGCTAGGATTGTTTCATGTGCTGCTTAACTTGCAAGCTTAGATAAACTGTATTCAGAAGTTCAATGGAATAAATTAATAGACCGTAGACATCATCATAAAACGTTACAATTCCATAAAATGTTTTATCAAAATACTCCAGATTATCTGTATAATCTCTTACCTAATTCAGTTAGTGATGTTCATAGTTATAATACCAGACTTTCTGACCCGTCATGTCTCACACCTATTATTTGTAAAACAAATATTTATATAAATGCATTCCTTCCATCTGATGTAAACAATTGGAATTCTCTTCCATTACATGTTAGAAATAACCCTTCCATTTCCAATTTAAAAGCCTTTCTGAAATCTAATAGTAAACAATCTCCACCGTCATACTACTTTCAGGATTCACGTCTGGGTCAAATCTACCACGCAAGACTGCGTATGGCGTGTAGCTCCCTAAATAAACACTTGTTTACGAAAAATAGCATACCCTCCCCGAACTGTTTCTGCGATGCTAATGAAAACTCAACACATTATTTGCTAAAATGTAATAAATATACAGCACTTAGACAGCTTCATATTCTCAGTTTGCCGTATCAGTTATCTATTAATCGGTTACTCTTTTGATTCCCTAACTCATCAAGTAAACACTACACTTTTTTAGCCGTCCAAAATTATATACTCAAACCATAAATATTTCATATTAACGAGTCGCCCTTTTACAATTTCCTTTTGATTTATATATGTGTGTATGCTGTGTTGCATTCGTTTTACTAGCATGTTTTAAAATGTATTTGGATTTATATTTTTTATTTTTTCTGTCGGATCGCTTTTTTGACCTTATGGAAACGGTCAGAATGTATTCCGAATAGCTAGATAATAGTTCAGTTGCAACTCAAGCTGGCCTAGTTGCCAATCGGTAGCTTATTCTGATCACCGTAAACAAGTGTCTTTTTCTATCATTAATTTTATCACCAACATTAACCACAGTTGGTTTGCGGAAGTTTTTTTTAAAAATGAAAACAACAAGATATAATCATGTTGATGTTGAAACAGCGTCTAATTAAGGGACGCTAAAGGTATATCAATTATGAGAGTACAGCTGTCACCTGTTGAAATTGATTTCGTTCATTTGTGCAACCCCTCAAACCATTCACAACATGTCAGTGTATGTAATTGGACCGAGTTGCGCCATGCTTCATCATAGAAATGCGACAGTTGCCATCACGTTAGATTTTAATGATCTTGAAAATGTCTGTTCACGAGTATCTGTATATCAATGACCGAGTCTTGTTTACTTCAGCAATAAAAAAAGTCCGGTTATTCCGTTATCTGGTCAGTGTTTGAGGTAATAGATTTGTCCGTGTAACTATCAAACGATCCCACTGATCTGGCGGTTTCACTGTCAAACCACGTTTAGCAGTGTAATGATGTAATAGGGAAATGACGGCATGAACAAGTCTCTCTTGTATTTGCGGTTATATGGTCCTGAGAAAGCGAAATACTCGTCTCAGTCAATATGGCTTGATCAGGTTAAAAGATATTTATTTATGTTTTCAAAATCGTGACAATAAATTTAAATCATGGTTGAAAATGTTTCCTGCTGGTTTTAATTCGTTGACTTATATGAGACTGGCCGAAGCTATTTTCATAAAATCTTTGTAATAGAAACTTATTTGAAGTCCTCTAAAAAAAAACACCCAACAGTATACTAAATTGGTTTATAACAAAATGTGTTGTTGGCAAACTGAACTGATCGTATACGACTGATTATTTATGTTAGCAGACGACTCCCTAAAATGCCCGCGAATCTGGGACGATATCATGTGCTGGTCGCCAACAGACGCCGGTACTGTGGCGGTCCAGCCTTGTCCAAAGTACATCGCCAAGTTCAACTATTTACGTGAGTATATACATATATATTTGGGATTGGGGACTGTAATGTGCACCTCCTTTGAAAAAGAGTTCCATGCTAAAGATCAAGTATAACATCTCTTATGAATAACGATTATTTCATTTTGGCTATTCTCCAAATTTTAGACTTTTTATATCGTATAATCTAAAAATCAGACAACGCAAAAAGTGATGACGTCATATACCGCAATGTTTGGCGCGGTATTTGTAATTCTAACGCCCGATTGGTTGAAGTTGCTAGGCGATGAAATTACTGCACCAAGTTTATTTTTGCGCAAATTTATTTAGTTTTTATCAGAAATAAATCAACAACCATCTCTTATGAACTATAACAGACTTCTGTCTGTCTTTGTTTGTGTTAAACTATAAGGAATAACCATGATTATGTTTGGTAGTAATACTGTATATACGGAAAATAATTGTGTGCGCCTTTGTGCATGAGGCGCTTTGCAAATTTATGCAAAGTACACATCTTATATTCGGTAAATATCAGAATGTAATCCCCAATATTGGTTTTTCCTTAAATATACAGCATGTAGTTACTTTTCTCTTACCGAGGGAGTACTAAAGAGAAATCAGATCTGAGGGTGATATAATTGATTGTCTAACATAAGGCTTATTGTACAGGTTTAAGTGTCTCTGGCATATCTGCACTGTAGGGGATGATTCTTTTTATCCTAGTCTAACAATAATATGTTCCAAACAATGTATATCAGCAATAGTGCTATTTTCTTTCCTGTTTTGCTTATCTTCTCTCCCATTGAAAGCTGTGTTCTACTGTTTAACTTACGTTATCATGAGGTCCCGTTGAAATTGGTTGACGTCATGTCATTTTGCTATCTATCATTCACTATGAGTGTTAGAAAAAACATTCCATTTGGAATGAGTTATAATCTTTAAACAAAAGGAAACCATTCAATAAATGGCGGAAGAAAGCCATCACCACACATCATTTGATTCAGTACATGTTAATCCATTTATTTATGATAAACTTTATTTCATTTGTTTTCCATTTACGATATACTACAAAGCAATACGTATTTGAATTCGATTTCAAAACAAGTCTTACAAGTTATATAAACCTATCTCTAGGTTTAGTTTTAATAAATTGCATTTTTGAAAATTTTCGGCATCCAGCATATAAAATGAAACATATTGTTTTCAACATTTATGACGTCATGAAACCCAAAAATATTCCATCCCTTATATTTACATTTTAATTAAGCTAAGAAGTCACTAATAAAAATACGGGCGTTTTCTATGTTTATACATAGGGGTAAACGCAATAGAGAGAACAGCATGCTTTCGTGGGAAAATGTGAAACATCTCACGTCCATAAATGACCTTAGCTGATAAAAGCAACAGCACGATAAAAGAAACCCAAATGTCTTGCCTTTTTAAAATTTAATTTGTAAACTGTTATACGTTATACTTTACATTTTGTTTTGATTACCTTTTGTACTTAGATCCATAGTATTTTATTGATTTTGTTATTTGAACTAACACAATGACAAGTATTATCAGAGCAACTTCAAGCGGGCGGTGACAAAAGTTTAAAAAGTAATGCGGTTGACATATATATCAATACGCACTTTGTTTTGTTCACATGTTTATGAAAACCAAATGAGGTACTCAGTAATGGGTCCTAACATACAGGATATAAAATATATATTTTTAAATATACACTTCGCTTTCAAGTAATCTGACTTGTTTATTGGCTTGTAACAGAGTACACGGCATGTGGTTTAAGATAAAATGTTCTTAAATAACACAATCTATAGCTAAGGTTTGTAGAATATATACTGTGTAAAGTCATAAAGATAAGACTGTTTCAAATCTCATAAAGCGTGTTCATGTTTTTTGAGTTCGTAACGTTCAATGATATTGATCCTTTACAAAAATAAACAAAAAATCGCAGGTTATCTTAGTTTTAGAGTTTTTTCGAAAGTGTATATTTTTCTAACTACTTTTTTTTCTAGATAAATACAGAAACTGTGCCAATTAAAATGTTTTGGTGTATACTTTCCCAGGTGCCTTTTATCACAAATTATCATGATTGGTTTTCCCCCTTTAACTTATAATGGTTTTAATATTCTCGGCCCATAGTATATTTAAGATAAATTCACAGTGTGAAACAGCCTAACACGACATGACGTCACAACATGTTTTGTTTACTTTTGTGATTTATAAGAAACAAAATATACGCCTTATACATGATGATCCTTCAATTGAGTGAAGATTAATTTTCTGAAGACGCTCTTTGGCTTTAATTCATATACTCAAGTTGAATTAAATATTTAATAATCAGTCGTTTATTATCTTATTTTCTAATAAAAAAAACCCAATTAGCTCATACCTTTAAAAATCATTTTTCGTCAGATTTAGCGTTCTTATTCATTCCACTTTCAGGTTCAGAGAAAGAATACGCCCGGCATATCCCTTCTGCATGTTATCGTAATTTGCGAATTATGTTGGCTCCCCTACAGAATTGTGTTTTTTCTTCTTTTGTGTCCAGTGCTAAGGAAATACTGAAGAAACTGGCCAAAATATATCTGCTAACCATGTAACAACAGTAGAAAACCATTAATAAACCCAGGGATCATGGTTTCCCTTCCATTAATAATTAATTGGTTTCTTGATTTATATTTTATATAGCTTTAGCGCTAATATATTTAGCATTTGACTTGTGACAACTGTCTAAATTCATAGGTCAAATACTTTAAATGACATTTTTGACAGGTTTAATGACATATAAGAGCGCCACATGCTTCTGTTGTTGACAACCCGAATTTTACACCAGCCGTTGAAGTAGAAAGGGAAGACCCATTTACTTTTTTACCCCTTTATAAATCCAACATCAGATATTTAAATGTACAAAAGCTATACAATGTTTTCCAAAATTAAATACCTGTAGATTTTATTCAGTGCAATTTCTGTAAACAATAACACTTTCAACTCACTCTGAGGCACTGTAATTAACAGGATCAAACGTTATGGATTACCATCGTATGAAAAACTTGCTAATTGGCTTATTTAGTTGCGCCAGTCCTCTACCATTTTTATATTTAGAAAATGCGACCCGGATGTACGAGCTAGACGGACCCTAGTTCCTGAAACCCGGATTCCACACTTCATGGATGACCTTCACACAATTTTAATAATTATTTTTATATATTTAAACGTTTATCTTTTTATATTCAGAGAATACGACCAGGATGTGCATGCCAGACGGAACCTGGTTTATGAAACCCGGATCTAACACTTCATGGACGAACTTCTCCGCATGCCAACTTAGCAGCGACAATGGCTGGACAGTCCCAAGGTCGTTCGCTGTGAGTATCGTGTTGACACTTTAAATACAGGATTGTAATTTTAAACCCATTATACATTACGGCACTTGATAGGTAGGTCTGGGACCATAAGTAAAAACACACTGGAATGCTGTATACCATTGCATGATTACTTGGACGACTTACATGAGTCACATATCACTTGAGGTCGTACTAATAGAAGCGTTCTAATGTTGAAGCATGGGTTCTGTGCTAAAACCATCTTTCTTAATTGTAACTTGCTTAAATCATGTGACAAGGTCCAAAAGTCAATTTTACCAATGAAAACTTTTTTCGGTCAGGCGCATCTCCACAATACGCCCAGACAATGACGAAATGAGATTTGGTTTCATCACTAACAGAAACAAGATTAAGTTTGAGCACAGAATATGAGTTTGAGTATGAGAACGAATTCATGAATAGGATTCTTGTTCTTTGTTTCCTTTTCTCTCTCCCGATTTGTTAGTGAATCCCTAGACATCGTATTAGTCCGTTGTTGGAAAATCATGAAATTGTGAAGTAAGTCTTGATGTAACTTCTGACTTATGAGTGTGTGGTATCACTATTAAAAGACCTATGATTTGCCTCCGTTATAACTGTATACCGTCATTGTGTGACCTGAGATAACGAAAAGAGGTAAATATATCCAAAATAAACAGCATAACCTAAAATTACCACTAATATAAATACATTTACAACTAATCAATACTGTTAATTATCCGCAGCGCGCGTAATATACTCTCTAGTAATTATACATAGAGAGTAATTAATGGGAATAGTCGATTGATTGATGAGACCTATCAACGGGGCCAAATCCGGAACAACATTGGTACAAGGTTAATTATCACGAACGACGAATGTCAAATATATTTTTAGAAAATAAGTCAATGAGAGCAGCATGAAGTTGTAATTAAAGACGTTCATAGATATAGTACTTTGTAATTTAAATTCCTTGGAAATTTAATAGTGTTATGATGTTCTTCATGTGTTGACATTTTGGCCATTTGTTTTGCGCCTAACTGAATTGCTGAAAAAATGTAACAAGGGAGACACGAAAATGGCACTTGTCTTTAATTATTGTTTCATTTCGGTTCTTCATATATTTATAACGTTTGATGTGAGTTACTAGAATCCGTGCTTGAGCATGAGATCGGTTTCATGAATACAGGCCCTGGTCTCCCTTAAATGAGACCAGCCTAGGTCAGATGGGTCGTCGCTCACGTTATCCTAGCCTCTCCTGTTACTACCAGTGAAGTGTAGAACGTTGTCTCATAAAGCTACATTACCAGACACATAGCACTTCATTTAATAAACCTTTTCATCATATTTCGACATCAGGTTTTCAGAACTGTTTCTTGTTACCGTATAATAGAGTACACTGCAGACTGGTTAATATGGTTCCGTATTTTGATTTTATTGAAGGGGTGAATACACATTACGATTCAGCACGCGATCAAGATTGTTTCGAATATTTGAACAAATTTGATTTCAACTGTCTAGCCAATCGTTATTAAGATGTTGGATATCATTTTTCCCAAGCCTAGTTAGCTTTATAGACAAATATTTTCCATTCATTATTGCTTTTGATTTTAATAATTTATTGAAAGAAAACAAAAAAAATGTCAAAAGTATTAAAAGGCGTCATCTGAGAATACGTGAAACATTAAAAAAAATACATTCTTAGATGATTCAAACAAGAATATTTAGAAAACATATTTTTTGGTTTATTAACGTTAAGCTGATAGATTTGAAACAAACAACTGCCAAGCGAATTTTTGTATGCGATGGATAATTATGTGTTCCAATTAGTACACAAAGATAATAGCTGGTATAAAGATAAACCGGTCACCGGCAATGTGGCTCGTTTATATGTATAGACCGTGTGAAGGGATGGATTGACGTTGTCAGATACACGGCGCTAACCGATATATGTGAAGATGTTACTTCGGTTAACTCATCCACGCATTTCAATAAAACAATTAGCCGGACATTGGTTCAATGTTCGTCCATATTTTTTCTCTCCATTTTACAGCAACTAAGAAAGACGTTATTAGTACTTTAATTAAAAAAATAGAAATTATTATTAATTTATAAATGGATCAAGAAATGAGAATTGATGACAAAGTCCATGCTTAAGCATGATAATGGTTTCGTGAATACGGGCCCAGAGAGCCCCTTTCTTTTGAGTTTGCTACTCTGTTCGATAAATTAACTAGTTTTGGCTTGTTTTAAGGGAAGACTTTCAATCTACACTGGACTGGAGAAAGATTTGCAGTCTAAATTATGACTCGTTTTCTTACTAAATGATTCAAGTGTGTGCTATGAAACATAACTAAACTGTGTCTCAGATCGTTGACAACCAACAGTCGTCCATGTATGTCGCATAGACATGTTTTAAAAACCATTAATCATCTGAAACTTAGCAATTCTCAAAGTTCAAGGAAACTAATAAGATGTTTTTGTTTAATTTTTATTCATTTTTTTACATATTTCTCACATATACATCTATCATCATGAAAATGCTTGTGATAATGCCCATATCACCGTGTTACAAAAGCCAGGTATCGTGTAAGAATCAAAATAATGCCGTTTTGATAATGTTGCAGAACTCGTCCTGTCTCAACGAGTAATAAACCCATGTACAATGTTTTTTTCAGAAACACATGCAGGAGATGCGCATAATGTACAATATAGGGTATGGACTGTCAATGACGTCACTGGTCGTAGCTGTCTTCATCATGATTTACTTCAAGTACGTACCGAAAATAATATAAAAATGAAGTCATTACGAATCAAATAATACGCTTATTCATTTACGAGGTTATGTTAAGTATACAAATTTAATAGAAAAAACTATGAATTAATAAATGCTGCCTTTAAGTCAAATCAGTTTGTGAATCTTGAAAGTGATACATTTGAGACGGTGCCTAAAAAAGGAACTTTTTCCATTTGAAATATACATGGTTTGGAATAACATTGGTTTGATGTATCCATTTGAATTTCTGGTTGATGCATTTTAAGTTTTTTTCTAATCAGCACTCAGACATCTGAAAATGTGTTATATGCACAAAAGCATGTCAAAAGAATATTGGTTTATATCTTTGGCGAGTTTGACGTTATGTACCAGGTCTGAATTAGACAGTGTCTGATTTGATCAGATCACACTTTCGTTTCTAAGTATGAGAACTTTCATCGAAATTAATATACCGCGAGTTTCCCGAAATAATGAAACACACCAATACACAATAGGAAAATACCATGTATGTGGATATATGCGTCATAAAACGCCATTTTGAATTTTCGAAAACTAAATTTGTCAAATTTTACCTGCTATGACCGAACTACTTACCTGTTGTAGGAAGCTGCACTGTTCCAGGAATTCCATCCACCTGAATTTATTCCTGTCTTTTATCCTCCGAGGGGGTGTGTCCTTCGTAAAAGAAAACATATTGATTGAAAGCGTGGGGTTCGCTTCGGACATAAAGAAAGAACACGGTGGGATTGTATTTTTACCTGATGTTTCGGTAAGTAAACTTTCTCTTATAAACTTTTTTTTTCTTGTGAAAACTTATAAACACTCCTTCGGCTAAGTTTCTTCAAGAAACGCCTATTCAGTGTTTAGTTTTGAAAGGAAAACAGGAATAATATCACACAAAATGCTTGAATCACATGTGGTGTAAAACAAGTGAGTTCTAAAAAGAAATATTGACCAATTGCTTTTATGTAATTAATCCCCTCTTCAAAAACAATGCTCATCACTGTCAGGAAACACGAGCTAATTACGTACAGTTGATCAATCAATCAATCAATTTGTTTGCGAGACACTGTAGTTTACCCGATTGTGCTTTGCATGATTCTTTGCTGGAGTTTAAATTCTTCAATAGAATAACACTTACGTGTTCCACTTTTTCAAATTGGTTTGCAAACTGTTTTGAGAATTAATAACATGTTTGTGATTGGGCTTTTAACGAACCTCTCTCCACCAGGATTCGGAATCCTGAATGGAAGGATAAATTACCTATTTTCTCCCCTTTTTCTATTTTGTTCCAATACATTCCTGCTGGAAATTTGAATGTTATCATCGATTTCGAGAGTAAAATGAATTTCTGACGAAATACGAATTAGTTTAGGTATTATTTTATGACTTGATCTCCTGGAAACATTTTACATTTGATATTTATGATTGAATATCCGCACACAACACTAACGGCTTCATTTTTCGTTATTGTGGTTTTCCTATTTATATGTAAAACCATACACTAAATTACACTGCCAATTTCTCAAATTAAATTCGTGCATCTTTAGAGATGTATTTTGTATCGTTTTCTAGTTATGTTATTGTCTTTGTAAATTAAACACGTGTACTATTTTAAGCTGGTTGGCTAATGCTATCATGGCAGGAGAAAGGACTGATGGCAAAGATAACTGGAAAAATCAAAGTCTTTTTGGATTTACCTTTCTAAAATGTTGTCGCGTGGGGTTCAGACAGAACCCTGTTAATTTAAGGGCTGAATGGGACCATGATTACTTTAATTACTTTCGAAAATGGTACATATACACATATAACTCTACTGAAAATAGTTTAAGCTTCAATGTATGTATATTTTCCCTGCTATATAATGTCAGTCAAAATTAATTGATAGTATAAGTGTTCCTGATAACACCAACCTTTAAATCCGGAGAAAATGATCAGTGATATCCCGGCTAAAAATAACGTTAGCTCGTCAGCAAAGCGGTCATTGGCCTCTTGTCTTATTGCTACAGTGCATTCTCAACATCAGACCAAGTGCTCCAAGTAGCAAAATTGATCAATCATAGGAAAACAAAAACATATAAAGCTACTAAATACGTTTTGTTGTCAACTGGACAATTGATTCCACAAATGAAAAGGAATTTGTTTCATTCTGGAAAGCTGGATGAATCCAGGTTATCAAGGTGTCGTCGATGAAGTAGTTGACGCTTACGTTTTCATGTTTTTCTTTTTTTCTTTCTTTCAAAATATCCTCTCAGCGGATCACACCGTTGTTATCCCTAATCTTCATGGGCCCTGCATTGGCCACCTCCTACTACTATACAATGAACGTACAGGCGATAAGAACATACTTTTGGTGTTATCAGCAATCCTTTTTATTGTGTACTGGAGTAAGTTGAAAAAATAAATACAGCATAACCTCCACACACAAGGACAATTCGATAAATAAAGAAAAAAAGACAACAACAGCTACCGAATCGATACCAAAACAAAAGAATTGGTTTAATTCAGCACTACTGCATAACTTAATATGTTAAGAAAAGTAAGCGTTTCCAGTATCAGATATGGCACCTTACATGATGTTTTTATCAGCACCAGGACCGTCGATCTGCAACCAACGATCTTTGACAAATTAAAAAACATGTACTTGTGTTTAATCAGAGGCATGAACATGAAAAAAACATTAAAACTTTCATTAAGAATTAAAACATCCAAAAACCAAGATTGTGACGCATAATATAGGACCAATTCCAAAGTATTGTGGTTTCCGTTATTTCAGTAATTATTCCTAGAAGGGGCAGGCCAATGTATCAGGATATGTACCTTGGAAATGCAGTATAATGACTTATTTTCGTTTGTTTGTACAAGAGACATGGGGCAGGCTTATGTAAAAAATATTGTAGGTATTTTAACATCCCCGGTGCAGAGTGTACAAAATATTGTATTTTTTAAAACATCCCCTGAGGCGAAAACATCACGGACTGGCTTAGGTACAGAAAAAAGCACGATTCCAATCTCATGTCTCCTTTATCTTTTTCAGCATTGGGAGTGTCGTTTGTTCTTCACCATCTTTAACTACATCATAGCTGCGAGTTACATGTGGATATTTGTGGAGGCCCTCTATCTTCAGGTCATTATATCCGTGGCAGTCTTCTCCGAGAAGGGGCGCCTTAAGTGGTTCATGTCCCTGGGATGGTGTAAGTTGCTGTAGTTTAAAAAAATTGTAGCAATCCTTTGTCATTAATATTCCCTTATCAGGATATGTACCTTGGAAATGCAGTATAATGACTTATTTTTGTTTGTTTGTACAAGGGACTCCTAAGTTTTTCATAAATATGAAAAGAAATGATTTAATCAAATTATATCCAAAGTTTACCTAATAAAATACAAAAAGAAGAGTAAAATGCAACACTGTATAGTGTGGTTTCAATATTTGCAAGGCCAACAAGGTTCGTGTCGGTACATTTTTGCCATATCACTTATTTTCATTTCATAGATGTTTTATTGGAATTTTCAAATTTAAATGGGTAACATGTGGACGCCAGTATTATGTTCGTTTCGTATATGACTTCATTCAAAATACAATTTTGGTTCCATTTCCTTCTATTTACTCTCGCATTTAAACTGACACCTGGCATGCAGTTTGAATTTCAAAACAATGATAGTTTTACAACGAAACTACCTCATCACACATTGAAAGATCATAAATATAGTTGAGACTCAATTGTTCATCTACCATTGTTAATAAGAAAGCGGCCGTATATTATGGCGTCTTGATAAGTGGGACTTTTATGCATAAAAACGCCAAACGAACATTGGCTTTTATATTTTTTTACTTTACCTCAAAACGTAAATTTGTTATCAATTTATCACCAGAACAAACAAAAATCAAAGTTTGATCATAAGAAAATTGTTTCATAAATGCTAGCGCTGGTACATATGAATACTGTCAGACATCTATGAATAAATTGTAAATCTCTTGAAGCCGTTAAGGCGAACTCTTAGATTAATAAAAAGGTATAGTCTGATACGACGTGACAGGGTAATTACATGTACAAAGATATACTGTATCGGGGGAAAAACACGTCTGGAAAATTGAGTGGTTAGAAGATTTAATGACCTCAAGTCATCTAGGATATTTGTCCTCCGTTAAGTAATAACGTAGTAGTTATCGATCTCCATTATGTAACGGTACTAATTTCCGGTAAACCGGGTCTTATTCTAATGGTAGTTTATCAAGGATCTCCATGTTGTTCTTTTTGCCTTAGTTTCATTATCGAATTAAGTTTTTCTTTAACATATTGGTAATGTATCTTGTTGCTTACAGTAATATACACCTGTGTTTTCTGTGGGTATGAAAAAACAAAATGACTTTCCTACTGAAAATAGCAGCTTAATCAAGTATGAATTTTTTAAAATGTATTAAGACGCTGCTAACACAAGCTTTTTTATCTACTGAGTTTTTACGCTATAGTTTACACTTCGGTATTTTCATGTTATTTTCTGTTCCTTTATAAATATCTTGTTACCGCAAATCGATGTGATTTCGCGACCTCGTATTTTTTTCGCAATACTTCTGTGTAAGTGGGTGACGTTATTTTGTAATCTCGCCTCATTGATTGCTTTAATCAAATGCCATATTACTGTTGGTGTTTCTACCGGATAGTCAAGTATTGAGGCAATCGCCTAAATATGTATTCACAAAGATTACTAGATTAACAGTAAGGTGACTGCTTTGTAGACAATGGGTATTTATATGTTTAACGAACAGGAAGTAAATAATATTAATTTTATTTCAGTCTTTCCGCTGACTTTCATCATACCATGGGCAATCGTCAGAGCCACGGTAGACAATGAAAAGTAGGAATATTTACACAGCACTTTATTAGCTTCGTAATCAATTTGAACATCATATGTGTAAAACCAAGTTCCGTTACTGTAGCGTATCGTGTATTGGGTTTATTGAACGTTCTTTTCCGTGTGATGCTTTGCAAAAAAGTATTAAATAATACAAAAGAAAGATGATTTTCATTCAGAAAGATGTACTGCTATTATCACATTTAGTAATATAGGCGATTATGTTAATTGTACTTATTTCACAGCTGTTGGAATGCATACTATGACAATCCATGGCTTATTGCATCGAATGTTACATATTTTATCTGTTAGAACACATACCATGACAAACCATGGATTATGTTGTCAACTGTTACTTATTTTACAGCTGTAGGAATACAAACTTTGGTAAAACATGGCTTATTTTGTTAATTGTTACTTATTTCAAGGTTGTTGGAACAAATCCTATGTCAAACTATGACTTATTTTGTCAGTTGTTATTAATTTTTGCTGTTATGATACATACTTTAGCAAGCACTGGCTTATTTTGTCAATTGTTACTTATTTCAAGGCTGTTGGAACAAATCATATGTCAAACTATGACTTATTTTGTCAGTTGTTACTAATTTTTGCTGTTATGATACATGTACATACTTAAGCAAACATTGGCTTATGTTGTCTATTGTTACTTTTGTACAGCTGTTGGAATACGTACTATGACAAACCATGGCTGATATGGATTATCTACGGACCAATCACTGGCACCATTGTCGTAAGTATTTTTAACGAAGGACCTGTGCTACTGCCCCCTTGTTGCCTACGTTTCAAATATGCTGATGTGTTGTATATGTTTACAACTCAAGCATGCAATACATAGTTGAATCGATAACATCTTATATGAATTCAATTTCAATGCAGCTGAGTGATATTTAAAAAAGACCAAGCGGCCCTGGGATCGAATATACGTAGCGGAGACGTTTTATGATAAGGAAATTTTAACAAGTGTCTTTTTCTCGTATTCAACCTTGTAAATGGGCAATCAAGAAAACAAAATTGCCAAACAGAATAAAATATCTCCTGTGTTAGAGATACAACACAGAGCACTTGGACATTCCATTTTGAGAGTTTGTGCGATAATCGCTGAAATAATATTTTCCAGTCTATTCTCAAAAACACTGGCCCGGACATGATAGTAATATTTTGTATATTATTATCATTATTATTTACCATCAAATATTTGCATGAATTGGTACAGAGTTTGTTTTTACTTTTCAGATAAATATCTGCATATTCACTAACATCGTACGAATACTATTTACCAAACTCAACTCGTCGCCTTGTCCTGAAACGAAGAAGTTTAGGTACAGGTAAGTGTACTAATAAATATATATTACAAAACATGAGATTTAAACTTTTGTACATATATAGAATATATGAAATATATTGATATTCTTTTTTAGGTATTATTTAATAGTTTGGCAATTTAAAAACAAAATAACTACAACGTACATCTGAAGCTTTTGATTTAGTTACAATCTATTAAATCAAATGAAAAGAGTTCTTGTATAAAAGTATCCCCTCGAGGATAATTAAAATTGAGCAGATCCGCGTCCATTTTGTTGAACGAAAATGTAAAATGTTGTGATGTGGATAACAATGTAATTGAGCAGGTTTCTGTTGTACAATTCAATAGCTCATTTCTTTTGTAATACTTGTTAGTGGCAGACAGAAGTATGAAAAAACACCATGTCTTCATCTTTTGCACATTAATCTCAATGTGAAATATACATCTCATTTCTTTGTATTCTCACATATGATGTATCGTTTTGTAACATTAAGCTTATTAAACAAATTATGTAATTCATAAAACCACCGTAGTTATTCCTATCCTAAATATTTATACATGAATACCCATCAAACATAAAAAAGAAATGACGAAAGGCTTAATCTCTATTTCAGATATTTGCCTATCATAGGTTGTATGGAAAGTGTATATGTATACGTGTATATATGTGCTTGCTGGGAGAACCCGTGCAGTTTGCAAATTATCTATGTTGGTGTCATTATGTCCTATGATATATAACTCATTGGGCGTAACTGATAATCGACGGGTTATTCAGGAGCATGTGTTGTATTATCCTTCGTCTCTGCTTGTATCCTCTTTTGGGTAATAGTATCTTGTCGACTCACAACTTCTAACTTGAAATGACCATATGGTGCAGTAAACGTTTTTCTTTGTTTGTCTTTCTGCATCAACAAACTAAATTTTAAATAGGTTCTTTAATACTTATATACTTTCTAGTAAAAAAAATTCATGCAGTCAAATTAACTTTTTCATATTTTTCAAAACATATTAACTTACAATAATTCTGCGTTCATTTTATGATATTATTGGGTGGAGCATGTGATATATTTACAATGAAAGTGAGTAATCTAACTCCATTGTTGATTGAATAAGAGGGAACGAACTGGTTTGAATGTTAATCAGAATGCGTAGATTTTTTCTTGTTTCATTTAAATGTGAGTTATGTAAAAATGTTGAGAAGAAGACGGGACGTTAATTTCGATTATATACTTATCAATTTAGATTATGCTCGGATATTTGTTTCACTTTCAATCACAAATTACAAAGTTGAAAGATGGCAGAATAAAATTTCACAGGTTAGATAACTGATGGTTTTTTAAAAATACGTACAGAGAATTAACTTTATGCCTAATATAACTTGGTAGACTCTGCTAGTGGAGTAGTGTATCACTATGCCTATATGTTTGCATATATGTGGATAATGACGCATGGGCGTTTCTTGTGAATGTTGTAACTGGTCTGTCTGAATATCCGTCATCTTTATAAATGTTTTGGGATCGTGCATTCACTGTTTGTTATGTCTTACATCGACAATCACTTTGTATGTAAGCCACAATATATTGCTATAATAATCGATGTAACCATTCCATTGTTCATTCAAGTTCATTCGTTCTTATTGAGTGTAGATTGTGGTTGTGTCGTTTAGACGTTTTAAATGGATGAAGTAAAGGTTATGTTACAAGCGTATTTGTGTTAATGATGCATATATCTTGTAAGTTAGTGTACCCTATTTACCATTGAAATAACAAGACACGAAACTGAAACACAACTAACTAAACATTAAAAAACTGTAACTTTAATCTAGGATTCTTTTATCTTTTAATACTTTATTGATTGTTGATAGTGAGGTTTCTCATAATGTTTCTTCAGCCACAATGGTCAGTTGTTTTTAAGTCACCTGAGACAAAGTCTCAAGTTGACCTATTGCGATCGCCTTTTGTCCAGCGTCGTGCGTCCGTGAACAATTTTGATTTTCGACTTCTTCTCCAAAACCCCTGAACCAATTTCAATGAAATTTTGCAGAAACCCTCCATGGCCAAAGGTCAACCAAAAGTGTGAATTATATGGTCCCCAGCCCCCAGGGTCCTGAGGGGTGGGGCCAAAAAGGATCAAATTGACTAAAATTTCAAAAGTCTTCTCCTCAAGATCCAGATATGGTAGAATTAAATACTCTTCATTGATGGAAGGGTCTTAAGGTGCCTTAACAAAATTCAGCTGACTGACGGAACCACTATTTGTACATAGTACATATACTACCCAGATCTTTCACACTAATTTTGCATTACATGTAGTTTAAGTTACCTTTGTTACATTTTTTTTCTTTTCATTTGGCAACATCGATAATATCAGTTTTTACATATCTCATGTGACCGTTATGGCCCATGGGCCTCTTGTTACCTGTTACTTTTCCATAATGATGCATTCAACAGACGATCAATACATTGTATGTACTGATCAATTCTACAACTACGATGCAAATATACTGCTAGAAACACGTAATAGACCATCTTCAAAATGTAGCCAGAACACCATGTACATTTTATTTATAAAGTAAATTCTAATAGTGAAACATCAATGTGACGCTAAGACAGATCATTGTCTTGTATGCATAGTTGTAATATAAGCTACACGTCACGTAAGTATAAATTGTATTCATAATAGCTTCTTCCTCACTTTTTAGATATTGATTTAATTTAATGATAACCTCATTTGCAAAGAGATAATTTACAGTACATCAAAACACCCTCTAATGCATGGCATAAGTCGAATAATTTGATTTTACCTTTCACAGTGGTAGCGCCAATACTTGTGCAGTCAACGTTTGCATTGGTTCCTATATTTCGTTTTAAATCTTGTAACTTTTAAAGTTTGTATAAGCGAGGTAGCTGGAATACCTTGAGCTGCGAGGGATTTTATTCGCAAAACTTCTAATCTGTACAGTAACTGCATTCGTTTCTTTTTCACCGGGTGATTAATATTTCCTGTATTGTCTTGTGTTAATTTGTATGTTTCATGATACAAAATAAGCACCGATAAACAGGGCAGTGCATGCCACGAATACATTAGAGTAGGTCAATATCCATAAATGTAAGCAATGGTTGATTTTTTAGCACTCGAATATGTCTGGGGGAATATCTACCCCAAAATGGATCATTGGTTTAGTGTTATATTTACAAACGAGTATTACTGATTCGTGATCATGCTTGCTATAAATACTGAAAATGAAAACAAAATATCTGTAATTTTGATTTGTACAAAAACTTTAAAACCCCATCAGAATCAGGATGGTAATTTGAACTAAATCTGAAACACAACAAGATGGCGTCATGTGATGAAATATGAAATGACATTGAGGTTTTGAAATCGTAAATTGTTTTTGTTCTCACAGCTAACCAAACATCACTATGATATTTACTTCCGTTCCACAGGCGGTTAGCCAAGTCCACGCTGATCCTTATTCCACTGTTTGGCGTCCATTACATTGTGTTTACCTACGTTCCATTCGGCAGCATGGATCAGCAGGCCATCATATACATGTTGTATGTCGAAATGTTCTGCAATTCATTCCAGGTAAAAATTCTACTCGTTCCAGGTAAAATATAAACTTATTCCATGTAAAATATTAAATCGTTTTTGGTAAATTTCTTCTAGAAAAACTATAACATTTGCCAGGTTAAACATTAGCCCATATTGTTTTACAAGGAGAAAAAGGTATTAGCCCTAAATGTACCTTGGGTGTGTAGCAGAGAAATAGTAACCCTTGGGGTGATTATTTCGTTGTCTTACCTCGGCAGAGCCTCAGGTAAGCCAGCTAAAGAAATAACTCTGGTTTTAGATTGCTCTGGCACTAAAACTATGGAGAGATTATAATAAAAATATTCTTCGTGACTCACTCGCTAACTGTAGTCACACAATGGGTGCTATAACATATTTGGGTTGGTGATGGTATTGTTCCACGAGATGTTTCCAGAATAATATGATTTGTGAGGATACCCAAAATGGAACTGTTTTCAGGCATATAATGCAGCATTATTATTTTGCAATACAAATGTATGGAATATATTCTAAACCAGTATTTATACATTTTATAATTAACCGCAACTGGAATAATATTTTTCTGCCTTTCTCTCGTATGTTGCTCATAAACTCAATTGAGAAAAATCCTAAAATGAAATGAAAATAATTCCCGGAATGGTATTGTGAGACATCAAAAATATCCTATCACATTTCTTAACATTAAAAATAATGTTCAAATTAACATTTTTATAAATAAATAAAAAAAAATAAAAAATATCAACAAATGTCAAAACTTTCTTAAAATGAAGAAAGTATTTGAAAAGCTGTCAATTGTTCCATTTAGGATACCCAGCCAACTAAAACTTCCAAGTAAACCTGACTCAAGGAAATGAGTTCTACTAATAGACAAATCAACTATAATGTAAAAAGTTAAATGGTATGAATTTGAATGATAACATATCGGTATGTCACTGACATTTTGGTGTTACCTTGTTTCAGGGATTTTTGCTGGCCCTGCTGTTTTGTTTCCTCAATTCAGAGGTAAAGAATGCCGACTGTATCTGTCATTTTGACTTTTTCACCGTATTTGTCATTAATGGAAACATGCTATATAAGCATGGTTGTGCATGTACTAATCATCCTAATTTGCATCTCCCGCCCGTCATTTGCATGGAGTTAAAACGGATTATGAAACGAAACAGGACATATTTAGTTTTGGATTTCAGCGTTATTGAATAGTTGGGTATGTTTAACGGAATAATGGAGACTTCATGTCAAATCTTATATAATGGAGGCTTGTTGTCTAGAAAGAAAAAAAATGTATTCATTAAACGACCTCAACAGAATATATGTTAAAAAGTTATGCTTCTATTTATAGTACATCGGCTGTGTCATAGTCGGTATTGATATTTCTGTTTCAAAAAACGTCTGTCACACTTTTATAACATCTAATACAAATAAAAGCTCTTTGCCAATAATGCAACTCACGGGTAGGTCCATTATGATGCCCTCACATACTAAAGTATTATAGTAAAGCTTCGTAATACTGCCACAGTTTGTCCACAGAAAGTTTGGCGTTAAAAAGGGTTTGGCGATAAATTGAGGAAAACATTTGTCGGGATTCATAAGATAAAACCAAATGAAGGACTTTAGAAATAGCTTTTCGGTAAGCGAAGTTGTAAATGAAACGACGGGCATTATATCGAAGTTTTACTGTAGCTTGAATAAAAACCACACAAGCGTTTAGACCTATTGGATAAAATCCGATGGAATGCGATCAAAGTTGTCCTCGCTTAAAGTCCAATCAATCAATTGACTTCTAATTTATAAATATGCCTTATTGCTTATCCAATCTTATTGACAGATACTTTATGATACTTAATGGTTTGGTTTGGTTTTGGTTATATTTTGTTTAAAGTTCAAGTTATCATCGGGTTGAAATACTAATAGTATGCTATTACCATTGTCATTTTGTAATGCTTTTCTCTACCCATGTATTTTTATTCGTTTCGCGAAAAACTTTCACAAGATTGCCCATGTCCGCAAGTTGAGTACTTGAATCGAACTTTAGACCTACCCACTACCAATCCTTCACTTAACGAATGTTGTTATCAGAAAAATACGATTGCACAGTTTTAAATCAGAAAAGCTTGTTTTGCGTCGGGACATAACTCCTTGTGCAAAAACAGTTCTGTATTGAAAAACCATCTTCCCGATGTTCACTGTAACAGTAGTACCATTTAACATAAAAATTCGGTTGGTTATATTTCGAATGAATAAAATCCAAACAGTAGTACCATTTAACATAAAAATTCGGTTGGTTATATTTCGAATGAATAAAATCCAAAGAATGTCTTAGGAACTTTAATATATACAGTAAAACCTCGTCAAACTGCTATCATTTATCATTTTTACGTGTTTGGCGATCAACTGAGGGAAATGTATAAAGGAATTCTTTGACAAAAAACCGAAACAGGGACATTGAAATATGTTGGCGGTAATCGAGATGGCAAATTAATCAAGGGATAATATATTGCAGTTTTACTGTACGAGTTATGTACGAGTTACGAGTTATGTACGAGTTATGTACGAGTTACGAGTTACTTACGAGTTATGTACGAGTTACGAGTTATGTACGAGTTATGTACGAGTTACGAGTTACTTACGAGTTATGTACGAGTTACGAGTTATGTACGAGTTATGTACGAGTTACGAGTTACTTACGAGTTATGTACGAGTTACGAGTTATGTACGAGTTATGTACGAGTTACGAGTTACTTACGAGTTATGTACGAGTTACGAGTTATGTACGAGTTATGTACGAGTTACGAGTTATGTACGAGTTACTTACGAGTTATGTACGAGTTACTTATGAGTTAATTTCGTAGTTTATCATAAGTAGGCTCACTAACGAACCACCTTTATATAGAAATATTTACAAAATGGGGCTAACTACTCACTTATAGATAACAAAAATTAAATAAAATAGTATTGTCATTTTAAGTGTAAGATACATGTACAGTAAACTATATTTAGGCAGAGAAAGCTGTTTCATTTCTACTGTGAGGCTGAACTAGAAAACCACCTTAATGCAAGATTGTTATAATAATAAGTAAGCTAGTTTTAGTGTAACTTGGAATTAACAAATCACTTATGGTAGAGATAAATGTATAACATTATCGTCCATTTTATTGTTAAAAGGAACTAGCGAACCACCCCTGCAAGTTGATATAGTTATACAAAATATATATTACATTTTCTGTTAAAATGTTGAATAATCTAACAAACCACATTTAAGCAAAGAGAAACTGTGTTTGTGTTAAATGGAATTAACAAATCGCCTATAGGTATAGATAGTATTAACAGTTCTGTTTACATAACGGTGTGCGCATTTATGTATTTAGCATAAAGCTTATATAAGTATAGTGTATGTGTAATTTATAAATTAGATATCATTAAAAAACTTTTTTTTAACTTATGTATAGAACATTTCTGTCATAAAGCATACAAGTAATATATTAGAACTTAAAAAATAAATATAACTTCTTTGAAAGGTAATAAAACAGGTTATTTTTTTCCTGTAAAATATATTCATTAAATGTTTTTGAAAATATTTTCTTATAAAATTATTTTGTATAAGTCATGTCAACATCGTTTAAAAACTGTCAACGGCAAATATTCCTTATAATATTTTTAACACAGAAACAAACTAATTGCATTGGTGGTTCGTTATTTTGTAGGTCCAATCAGAAATTAAAAGAGCGAGGCGGAGACATTGAGCTGACAAAGTCACCTTATTATACTGCTGCCATCGTGCAGCCGCACTTAGTTTTAGCTGCATGTAATAAAGGCTAAGAAAACACATATAACGTCACGCTACCCCATACTCGGAATTATCGGTACAATTTTAAGGTCTTTTGGATGATATTCAAAGTTCCAGATCATGATTCTGGAAGGTTTCTTGATTTTTGACCAAGACTGCCAACAGTGGTCGATTTTCAGGAAATAAAATTGATGCAATTTGTTTTTAAAAATTAGATGACTAAACTTGGAATGACATTGTGTCCGTTCTTCTGTCATGATTAGAATCCAAAATGGTACACAATATAACTATGTTAACTTCTATAAGTTGTTGCGCCGATTACAACAAATATTTATTACTGTTATATATATATACATTACTGCACTTCATTTGTCATATATTCACTTATCTATTATCCGGTTATAAAGACCACGAACCGAACACGTAAGCAAGCCAATAACTACCTCCTCCGAAATCTTTCAAAATATTGAAAGAAAATATGTTTATTTGGAAGTAATCGTGCACTCTTAAAATGTCCCTGAATATAACATTTTCAAGTAGAAATTCTGATAAATATCTTTACTATTGTAAGGTCAGAGGGAAAACTACAAATTCAACACTATAATTCTATAGTACTCTTTCAGACTTTTCCCGGTTATGTATCATTTTGGGTAGCGTACCATTTGTGGTAGCGTGACGTTATGACTTATGTTGAACAAATATCATTGAAAGATAGTACAAATATGGTTCATTTGCTTCGAAGTGACTTTGACCATAGAAACTGAGAAGGACGTGTTTGCATCCTCTTACTGAATGTTTTAAATCAGTATTTCCTTGCGTCGTATTTCTAGTAATCATTTTACTTCAAGATGAAGGGTACGTCAGAACATGCTATCAGTTTAGGTTTATACAACTTTTATAAATACTATTTTATGTTTTGGACACTATTTCTGTACAACCGATCTCAAATGCTTATTCATCATATCTTTTATAGTTTTACTATTTTGTAACTTTGATCATCCCACTCTTTCATATATTCATCTTTATTCTTTTTTGTTCCCTCGAGTGATAGAACGATGTGTAGGACTTTCTCTCAATAGAACGGACAAATTTGATTGTGTAATTATTCAAATCATTGATGAATACTAACTGTCAAATGATTCTTTGATTTCTTTCTATCTATTTCCAACATATTGTGTTTTCTTTTCATACAACTCTTTTTAATAAACATTGTAGAATATAGTTCTGAATTATAATTTTCGTTGTTTATGACGTAATAAATTTAAACTGTAAATAAATAGTTCGTAACTTGCAAACTGAAATATTTAATGATATATTGGTCACATGTTTTGATTCCCATCAAGCTGTTAATTTGTATTTTTGTTATTGAACTTTTGTTATTGAACAGGTCCAATCGGAGCTAAAGAAGGCTTGGAGTAGACATCATTTCCGGAGAGCGGAGAGTTATCGCACCAGAACGTCCTTCCTGTCACGTGTTAGTCGGTCACGTCATCACCCTAGCAACGACGGCATGAACGGGTCAATTCAGTACACTGACAGAGTCAGTCCCATGGAAATGAATCAGTGTCCGCCTATAGTAGAGGAAAAAATCCCATTCACAAGTGAACTTTCCCAGGAAAGTGTTCTTGAAAACCCTTTGGATAATGGGTGGCCAAAGAATGATGAAGTTGACCCGTGTTTGAATAATAACCACACACTTGAGTGCCAACAGACGGACAACATAGTTGAAGATGGGTGTAAAGGGAGGTAACCCAATGAAACATTCAACCTCGCGAAAGTGAGGAATTGTGTCATGTTCCATCAAAATGCGTTAACGGTACTAGAATTAGAAAGACAAATCGACGTTTGTGATATAAAGGAATCGTATACCGAAAGTCATGCGTTATATTCAGGCAGTATTGTGAGGTATGGTCCTATTGTTGAGCGAAAATTTAATTGGCAGCAAAGTACATTGGATCATATGGTTGAATATAAATGCGAATGAAATGAATGCGAAAAGGAGACAAATGAAAAATACTCGCGCTTGCGTATGCAATGGAAAGAAGACGCCAATGAAATGAGTTACATATTTAATGAGTAACCAAACGATTGTACGAATGGAATGAAATCTAGTGCATAGTGATACAACGACAAGTGATGACAGAATAAATAGATCTACCAGTGGAACAAGTCACAGAGGTTACGGTCATACCAATGAAGCCATATAAATGGTGGAAGTTATAAAGTCATTATACAAACAGAACGCATCGTCTACGCATTATAATATCAATAGTGAGTCATTGTAGATTTAACTGAAGATAGTTTTATAAAAAAAACTGTGCAACGAAATTTCAAATAGCAGTAGTTTCCAGATGGATGTGGTCAATCTTTAAAGTCAGTTTAGATTTATAGAAAGCTGTTACTATTGTTCCTGTTGCATATTGTCGGTTATAATTGAAAACATAAACGTGCTTACTAAATTTGACATGGCTGCCTTATATTGGAAACATAAGTAATAACGAAGGAAGAACAAACAACTACTGATTTGGGAAAAGGAAAATATGTCATTCAGAAAAAGTCAGTTAACAGCTAATGAAGCTTAACATCTCTGAATCACTGAAGTCGTCTTCGTTCACATGAAACGTGAGCATATATGTGGAGCATGATAAGCAACGACTTGAAAGGACTACAGAGGAAGCGCAATCAAAACAATGCTTCTTAATTTGAGCAGAACAGAACAGGAATCATGCATCTTTGTTCAAGCGTTGAGAAAGGCGAAAAAATGATTGAAAACCAAGCAAAATGTTTTGGTTCTTCTGTCGTTCTTTCAAAGATGAGTCAAAAACAAAATATGTTAATGTCTCATTCAAATTCAGGATTTAAAGTGTACAAATTTCACCATCAACATAATCTGGAAACGTTCGTCAAATGTTTAAGTCCACACAAGTCTACATCGGGATACCGTTTGCGATGTGGAGTGTAATGAGATTATAAAATAAGGAAGTGACTGCATTTCACGGAAAAACATAGATGTTTGGTGCATGTACAGTGACATGAATGTAGGATTCCGACTAGGAATTGTAAAAGAAAGGAAACGACTGAGGTTACATGAATGCGTGATTCCAACTAAGCAGTTGTTGCAAAATGAATACTGGCTACAAAGAATTGGCATGTCAATAGGGACAAAATTAACCCTGAATTCCGTATCATAATAGCAGTGCCACAGTATATCTGGCATGTACCTGGTCTTAAGTGAAGGACAATGCTCGTTCGGATTGTCTCGGGTTCGACGGTTGGACCAGGTTATATTCTAATTACATACTGACACCTTACTGCTGTTTGATGTTATATTGTAACATTTTACTTTAAGAGGGGACAGTGACCAAAGAAAGAGCATGTTCAAGGATAACATTTATATCTATATAATTTGATGTTTATATTTGGAAAAATCAATGTTGTCCTTGAGCAAACGGTTTTATATAAGTGCTTCAGAATGACAACGGAGTGGTATTTATGTTGCCACACAAAAGACTTGTGACATTATGAATCAACATTTAAATAATGTGTCACTATTGGATAAAATAACACCATACTGGAAGTACATATCAAATCATTTTTAAATGAGTTTCCTTCATTAATTGATCATATATTCCATAAGAGCGCTTGATATCTATAAATAAAACCTTTTAATATTTTTATTACAGCTAAAAAAGAAATTTTACATCCCGTTTATCTTAGCCCTTGAACGAACTAAACTAGGAACGAAAATGTTGAATTTTTAAAAAGATTAGAGGGATTTTTTTGTGTTTATTTATATCATCCATGTGTCGTATTTTTTTCACATTTAAGTGCGTACGGTAGAATCTCGTTAATTTGATCTCCAAAATTCCGGACAAAATTTCGAATTCATATTTCGGAACCATGTTTCATAAATAGTTCTAAAATTAAGAATTCCTTCGATATAGGAAGGCTTACTGGGTTGATGAAAGCTTCTTTAAATTTTGACTTTTTCTTAACTCAAGTTGTGTTTTCCTATGGATAAACTTGAGTTAAGAGGCGTTAGAGAAACTTGCGGCCCGAGTACATTTCATGATTTATTAATCAATCGTTGTGTAAGTAACAAAAGTATGGGTCTTTCGGACCATAACAGAGAATTGCAGAATAATTCACGATCATTCGGTATGGATTGCACTTGTACAACTTTTTTTTCCATCCAAATAGAATTTTTAATTTCTGTATCAAACTTTTCCAGCTTAACGAGATTTTACTGTATTCACCATAACAGAAGTGTGAAAGATTGGAACTCTGCATTCAAACATTCATATCAGAACCATTCTGACATATTAGGCAAGAACTGAGAGTGATAGAAGGCTTTCAATATATCCCGTGGTTCCTAAAGCCAATTAGAGCATCATGGGAGATAACGGAAGGTATTTATCGGTTTACATTTGCATTCATCTGCTTATTAAAGACTTAAATGGTTTATCTGTATGTGTAATATCTATTTTTGAAGTGTAATGTCAGTTCTTCATATTGTTATAAAATCATGAACGAACTCATCTTTATTCTATCAATTATCAGGTTTAACGTTTATCTTTAATACAAAGATATGTTACATGATCTTTCGTTTTATACTGCTCCGTCACATTGAGGCATTTCAAAACGAAACCTCGTTTAACCGTTACTTCAGATGCTTTTCTGTTTACTCCTGTAAATGTATTTGTTACATTTTTTGTTTATTAATAACTGATCAACGTTTATATATTGTGTATATTTTTCAATCTCGATGTTTATATCTTTCAATCAATTACGTACGATACACATTTTTTTCACAAGTTCCATCAATATACACATGTAGCATCGACCTGAACATATGTGTGGCAACGATGTTCACATGAGTTGAGTCCACATTATTTAGCATCTATGTATCAATCCATTCACAAGGGTTTCATTTAACATTTGCAACATGATTCCACGTGAGTACCATTGATATTCACTTGTCAAAAAGCACGTAGCATGTGATCTACACATGTGTACTATTTTTATGTGTGAAATCCTGCTGTTGCAATGTCGTACATATGACTTCAATCGCAACATGTGTGTTAAAAACGTTATTTTATAACATCAATCTTCAATTGTATAGCATCAACTTTCACATGTTTAACATCAATTTTCATTCAATATTCAAATGACATCAATATGCATATGGGAAACCTGATGTTCCACAATTTTAACATCAATTTTTACATTGGAAACATCAATTTTCACATTTTTAGCATCAACATTTTTCCTATCCCTACATGTGGTACACATATTTAAGCATGTATATCTAGTATTCTCAACATCGCGTACAAGAATGAAGAATCTCTAATTTCAATATCTGAAGCACATTATACATTATAAACGGTTTCATCATGGATGCCTATTTTTTCTGCAAACATGTATAAAACACCAGCTTCCGGTCATTGTTGTTTGATACTTATAAAAAATCCTCTTTTCTACGTAAAGATATTGTCAATATTTTCAAGGCAACAACATTTACCAATTGCATTACAGGGCACGTAACAACAATCACGTGGAAATACATTAATTATAGTACGTGTCGGATGTTATTCTTCGGTTGACTTCGAGCCAAAAACTAGTGATAACGTGAAATTTATTAGACAATTCAGTGAATGATATTTCAAAAGGTTAAAAAATGTCAGCAGAATTTTTTGTATTGGGAATTGTACTGTTGCAAGTATCAGTTTGTTTATATATTGCGTAAAGTAGTACGAATCCAACAGGCGTTCGTTTGTTCTAGTCTAAGGTCTATATTAGACCATACCATCCTCGTAATTCCAGGGGTCACGCTCACTTACGTTTGCTTCACCTCTGGAAAATATCACGACAAAATCGTTGGCATGAGGTTAGCTATTGGATTAGTTTCAGGTTAAACTTTGACCAATCGCTTAACTGAAACTTGTCCTTTAAAACTACAGAGGAACGACACTCAACTTAAAAGCCGGTCAATTTTAATGTTAGGCTGCCACGCGATTCTTTTTAAGTACGTCAAATGTGCAAGCTAACCTACTTGTATCAACCTAAAGGTGGCACGCACAAGACCCTACGCTTTTGGCATAAGATATTGAAGGGGCGCAGAGAAATTAAGTAGACATAACCTCAGGAATTTCTAGGATGGGGCCATACTATTGTACTAAGTTGTGAAACATAAGTGGTAAACGATGCATGTCATAAAGCGCCAATCGGACGCAGATGTCCACATTCATGTAATCATTATGGCATGATGAACTAGTATCAAGTATATTCGTGAAAGAAACGAAATTCAAAAATTTTGGTGATGATTCCAATTTTTTTTTCTGTGGTACATTTACTGAAAACTCATTATATATCGCGAGACAATATTTTTTTGGTGTTTGTTGAATCATGACTTTTTGCGTTTCTCGCTTTATATATTTAAATCATAGTGTTTGTGAAAATTAAGCGAATTACAACTTTGTTCTATCATTTATATATATTTTTCTCTATCGCATTTTGTTCATTGGTCATGTCGGTGCTTAACATATTGTTAGTGACTTCTTAGTTTTTGAATTATAAATTAACGTATTTTTTGTTTACATTTCTTTCGATCCTAGAAACAACTTCAAAATTTTTAACCGTGTACCGTCAGTCCGCAAACAATCTACTGTGCTTAAGTTGGTGTCAGATCTTTAAACATTGTGAATTGTCCGTGTTGTTCTTTACGATTAAAAAAATAAAAAAACAGAATTAATGTTCATATTCGATCTTTAAAATGGGTCTTTCTGTAAGAAAAATCGACTCCTTTTTCAAAAACCCTTGCCTTGTTTTACAACAGTCGCAAATACATGTATACCCCAGGAAAACACAATTTGAAAATTTGAACCGTGTACCATCAATCATCCGCAAACAGTCTACTGTTCTTAGTTGGTGCCAGATTTTTAAACATTGTGAATTGTCCGTGTTATTCTTTACGATTCAAACATTTTAAATCTTTTTAATGTTCATATTTGATTTTTACTTCTTATAAAGATAACGTTTTAAAAAGCTATGCGTCTATAATGAATAAGAGACGCATGCTTTGAATGCTAACGAATAACAAAACAATATGTTTAGTGGAGTTTATTTTTAGTAAATTCAAATCTGCTCATATGACCATCTCTAAAACAGCTGTGTTTAGAGGCAAGCTTTAAATGTTTCCATTGCAGTCATTTCTGTTTCAAATTGTTTTCAGAGTCCCTAGAGTTGTACTCATCCTCGAATTCCAAGGGTTACCTGCACTCACGGTCTCTCCGCTTTTGGAATATGTCATGAAAAACACGAAGGCAACACAGTTAGCTATTTGATTGGTTTGCGGTAAAGAAAAACAACTGTCCAATCGCTAGGCTGATAACTGTCCTTTGAAGATTATAATTTTACCGTTTCGCTTTCGCGCAATTCCTTATTTATATGTCCCAATGTTACAGAGAATATAAGTGCGCGTGTTTCCTGGAATTTCAAAAAAGATTCAGCCTCCCAATATACAAGTCTGACCATTGTCTAATCAATTCAAGTTAAATGATTTTTCTTTGGCGAATTGAAGAAAGAATTGTTAAAAACAAACAGTTGGATAACTCGTTCATAATCTCGACAACTGTTAATTAGCCCGTAATAACGGAACTATAGAATATTATCCCATTAATACAGTTTAAGCATGCATTTATTTTGACGTAATTATACAAGCTACATTTTCCATGTATTACTGAATAGTAAAGTTTCATCATTCTCCCCCTAAACTGTTGCATAATTGTACTGTATTTTATTGAAATAAATCTTCTGTGTTTTAAAGTATGACGTTTGTTGTTTTTCAAGTGTAGCCGCGAATGAGTAACAGTTGGTTAGCAAAAATATGTAACAGTTTCCCCTATGATATTGTTACCATTTGAGTCCTCTCATTCAAATATTGTTCAACTCAGGTAATTCCAAATAAATATTGAACTACATCCATGTCTGTATCTGTGTCTGAATCTGTAATAATTATGTAAACTCCTCCACTACCTGGAGAACCGTTCTCGGTTTCGACGTCAAGGATTAAGGTTAGTGGGTAGTCGGTATAGATGAAGTGTCCTCACAATGTTAGCACTGGATAGCAAACAAGGTAAGATACGTCTGGTATTGATAATTACGGACAATAATTTTATACACAAGGATGTATGTACATGTAAGTCGATGATCACTGTCAGATCTTGGGTTCCTCAGGAAAACTCATCAACAAGCAGACTCGCACGAAAGACAGTTCTTTGTGCTTCTATATGTGTTTTGAACTTTAGGGAGACACTACTTAGGATTGAATGCTGTAACATTATCACATACATTATCAATGTCCTAAACAACACACCAGTACTTTGGCCTAAGCAAATAAAAGTTTCTTTCTGAAACCCAGCACGCATGGTGGTTTGTTGTCTGTGCGCACTGATGCAACAGGTACGACAGAGTAGCGGAGTTGATGCAGGGCATACAGTACCATAGACCCCGGTTGACAACTTCCACTTGGTGAACACGTTTAGGAATATGATCAATCTTAGTACAAGCGAGTAGGCACTGAGTTGCTGTTTCCTCTGTAATTAACATCTCTAGATTGTTGTGTCGCTAATCTGTAATCCGCGTAGTGTCGAGACAGTTGATTCTATAAATCTGGACCGGATATGTTCAGGCGGAGGACATAGAAAACAAATGTTTTCGGTCTTCTACATCTGACTGACAAAATGGACACGTTTCCGACACATCGTTCTGCTTAAACTTTGATCGATTCGCATGTAATGTGTAAGATCGAATTGGCAGTTTCGCCTTGATGAACACTGTGTGAATGTTTACCGCATCATATCCAGCACTTTATCATGCATTGTTTGGTTTGAGCTTGGAGGTGGATATTAAATTGGGATTCATATACCGAAGTGATGGTTGTGTTTTCTTATCCTGAAGTAATTTGTCGATTTTGCACTTTATAGTTTCCTTCCACGAATGATTATCTCTGATGATTCCCAGATGTGTAACCGTTTTTGATTCCGGAATTACTCCTTCGTTGATTGTGCAGACAAGATCTGTGAAGCTTGTGTTCACAGACAATATGTTGGATTTCGTTTCGCTGATTTCGTGGCGCTCTTTATTAGCATATAGTTTTTGTACGTGTAACATATCCTGTAGTTCTTCTGGATTCTTTGAGGCGAGACACACATCATCTGCTTTCGTTGGGGTTCCACATTATATATATATCCTATGCGTATGCCCATTACATGCTTATCCAGTGCAAGCAATAAGGGATTTATGAAGTCTTTATAGGCTGTTGGCGACCATACTCCGCCTTGACGTACTCCCAGGAGTTCTCTGATGGGTCTAGACATTTCGCCATCCTAGGTGATTTGAGATGTATGGCTGTTGTACCATTCCTTCATAGAGAGTCATTGATTTGCCAACACTCCGGACTGGTAAACTTTCCTTAGAAGCGAGTCCTGCAAAACAACAACAAAGGCTTTCCGGACATCGAGGAAGGCTAAATACAGAGGTTGGTCAGTATCATTCGCTTCCGTCATCAGTTCTATTATGATCAATACTACTGAGGTGGATGAGACTCCTTTAGTGCAGCCGGTTTGTAATTTTGACTGGTTGCTCAAAATGAGATCTTCTTTGGTATAGCTAAGATGAAGTATCTAAGTTACTTTCCCGATTATACTAGAGACGGTGTTCCCCGATAAGCATCTGGGTCATGTAGAGGTTTGCCGTTCTTTTCGTAGAGGTGGTTAACCTTTCCAGCTTTGAAGGTTGTTGGGATGCAGGAGTAGATGAGTATCAAGCTCAATAATTCTGTCAGTATACTGACGAGGGTTTTGACTCCATATTTTAGATGTTCGACCGTGATGCCAGTTTGATCTGCATCCTTCCCATTTTTCAAAGCTTGTATGGCTTCTTGTACATGTTCCACGGAAACTTCCACTGGTGGTTGTATCTTGCAAATGGATATTTTCAATGATATTTTCCAAAAGCAGGTTGTCCAATTCAACTTGTGTTTTGAACGAACTGTCAAATTTTTCGTCATTCAGTGGTGTAAACAGTGTTTCAAAGTATTTGGCCCAACCAGCACATACATCGGTTCGTTTGTACACTTTGTCGTTAACCACTGTGTGATCGGTTATGACATGGTCGACTTTCCTTTGAGACGCAACCAAACGGTAGAACATTTTCTTATCCGATTCATCAGCCTCCTTAATGGCTTCGTAACGTTGCTTTCAGAGACAGGCCTGAATTTGACGTTGGGCACTCCTGAGGCGTTTCTTGAACATAAATAAATCCCTAAATACAGGGTTGTTGCGGTCTTTTGGACTTCCTCCCTCTTTCCATATCCAGTGAATGTGTTTACGGGTTTTGCGTAGATCTTTAACTTCCCTTGTCCAAACAGGCCTCCGTTTTTCGTATTACGTTGCCATTTGCCTAGCAAACATTCCTCAGCAGTGGTCTCCAGAATTTCACTTATTGATGAGCAGAAAGATCAAGTAGGTAAGGTGTATGTTTCTCTGGCAGAAGTAGAGTCGATGGTCTTTCCGGAATGAGACGCTGGTATTTCACATGGTCCACTTTTTCCCACACTATCCTCGTTTTAGGTACCTTCATGGGTTTCTCTATTGACGTCAAGTGCTGGATTGATAATGTGATTGAGACTGGATCGTGCGTCGATGATATTTCTGTATTAAGTCATCATCTGTGGCTATAAAATAGTCAATCTGTGACATGCAGTGGCCGTGATGATGATGAAAAGTGTCGATCTCTGATAAATATATATATATATACCAGGAGGTTCTTTAAAACCGCATTCGGACATAAACGTAGGCAACATTTGATCACTTTGGTAAGGTATGCGTTCAAATCTCTCCCTAAAATGATGTCGGCGGAATGTCCATAGTTGAGGGTAGTTTCCCGAATTTCATCTGGTAAAGCCGTATACTGATAGTCGGAATCCCCGCATCCACGACATGGCATATATGTGCACATTAACACTAACGGTCTAGGTGCTATATTCAATATAACCGACACTACTCGATCTCCACCATCCGTTAAACTGTTTTAATGTCCTGTAGAGAATGGCGTCACAAAGCAACGCCACTCTTCCCTCTTGGTCGTTGTAACGGAGGAAGCGGGTCTTGATCGTCGACACATTTAACAGCACAAACAAATTCCGTTAAGAATTAGGAGTGGAGATCCTTAGATTCAAAGGCGTAAAGCATTTTTTCCTGCAGGAAAATGGCATCATTTGATCTCTGTAGTTCATCCAGGTACGGTAGACTAGACTTGAAGTTTTCCATGTTGTAAGACGTGCATATCAAAACATGCGCATCCTTCTTCGAGTGTGCTGAGGTACTATCATTGGGGACAGCAGTTGAAGTCGTGACTGGTGAATTGGCGTGGTACTCCGTAAGTGAGGATGTTGTTGTTGGTTAGGTGTGTACATCAGTCCTTGTTGTTGTAGTTGGTTGTTGGTACTTTGGTTGTTTTGTTGATTGTCCACTAGTGGGCTGTGGTTGATCCATGGTGGTGGTTTGTTTAGTTTAAAAATATTTTATTGACAACATATTGACGAAGAACCTTTACAAAGAATATCTACGTTTATTTCGCCTTCGTACCATTCTAATTCGGTAATGAGTGTTTTCGTAAATTAGAATACAAAGGACAAATAAGGAAAAAATGTTAACAATCTTCACAGGGATGCCCACACCCGCAATCAGCTGAACCTATTAGATTTGCTCTAAAAAGCAAATGGTTTGTGTGGTGTGCCCCTCCACAAGAAAGACCGAGTGTGCATATGATTACTTCCCATGCCGGGTTCGACATTATAATTAGGTGGAGGTCTTGACACGTCACAGCCTAGTGCAGTTTGGGATCGCGATGAATTTTGCTTACTCGGTTCTTGACCGAATAATGATATTGGCGACATTTTACAACCATGATTATTGGAGCTTCCCTCCACTATTATCTTTGAGATATCTTCCATAGATCGCCCGGTGACCAATACGTTGTTTTCATTAAAAGTTGAAGTTACATCACATATCAAGTCTGTATTGGTTGTTTTTGTAATAAAGACACCACAACGGCTCTCAGAGTTCATCATGTCATTTGTGTGGATATGATGTGGCTTCCTGCTATGAGAAGGAATATGTAGCGATGGCATATAGTTTACACTGTCTCGCTGTTTCGAATTGTTGAGTTGTTTACTTGCATCCGAATTACGTGAAAGGTGTTGTTGGGTCCATCTTTGTGAACGTTGTTTTACCTGTTCTTTCCGCTCGAATGGAATTAGAATGCGTGATTATCTCTCTGTCTAGTCTCGACTCCAGTGATTGATATCGAATGCTTTCCTTCGATGAATCAAGTTCTAGTTTCTGAATCCTTTGTTCTAGTCTTATTAAGTGAATAGCATGGGTATCATGGGTATTCGAGGTATTGTTCAACGCTATAGTATATTGACGAGGGGGACTAGGCAATGTTGATTTAAAAGCTTCTGCCCTATCCATCAGACGAATTTTCGTTTTCATTGCGTTTATGGTAGTGTCTTGTACCATTTGTTCTTGTTCTATGTGTGAAATCATTGTTTTAGAGGCCTACCTTTGTTTCTGTAATTTTATTAGTTCTGCGTCCATCTTCTGCACTTAGGCATTAAGCGTTTTTATCTATCTTTCAATTTGATAGTTTCAAGTAGTGAGGCACTATCGTTGTTGGAGTGGACATTCGTATGTCGGTAGTACTAGTCAAGTTACTACTGATAACCGTGTCTTGTCCTGTAGGGATCTGATTCGGAAGTGTCATCGTTTCCTCGTTTTTTACCGGTACTAAGGGTAAGGGAACTTGAATGGTATTGTCTACCGGTGCGACCACAGCCGGTGGAGGAATGTGAACATCTATATTACCAGTACAGCTCTACATGTGTAGGTTGAAAAACTGTCATCTTCTATACTCTAGATAATTTTTGTTGACATGCATTCCCAAGCGAGTGGAGTCATTGTTGACAAATTGTACACAACGGCTGACGAAAACTCATCACAACATTCGTCACATACGGGGCAATTCCACGAATTATCAGTTATGTCATCATTGTCTTTGTGTTCAGTGTTAACCTTCAGAACTTCAGTCTCGGATTCATTGCCATCTCTTTATTATTTAGTGCACTCTCGGTAGAAGAGCAGAATAGTGTATGTATGGTTATGGATCTAAACTGTTTGCAGAGAATGACAAAAGGAATAAGCCCCCTGGGGCAGTGCCAGACTCCGGAAACAATCCTGGTTGTAAAAGTGCATTTGTTTATTTCGTGTATAGAAGATTTACATATGATTACTGGGTAAACATCTCAGGTGTTTCCGTGTTATCATCAAGTGGCTAAATCCCCCAATGGGTAGACTGGCACCACGGCCAATTCTGATAACACGAGTGTATAGAAAACTCATATATGATTACACGGAATGATAGTGAAAATCACGTAGTAATTGTGAGTCGAGATGACATTCAAAGGTGTTTTGCACTCTGTAACTCGTTATGAGCCCGGCCATCAGCCCCCTAGGGGTGTCAGTAACTTCTTATGAGCCCGGCCATCAGCCCCCTAGGGGTGTCGGGAACTCCTTATGAGCCGGGCCATCAGCCCCCTAGGGGTGTCGGGAACTCCTTATGAGCCCAGCCATCAGCCCCCTAGGGGTGTCGGGAACTCCTTATGAGCCGGGCCATCAGCCCCCTAGGGGTGTCTGGAACTCCTTATGAGCCGGGCCATCAGCCCCCTATATTGATCCCAAACCTCTAGCTTATGACTATTCCAAGGATCATCACAATCTGACAGTCAGTTTCTGAGGAGAAGTTTAAAATGACTGTTTATGCACGATGGACAATGACAGATGAAATGTAATTGCAATACGACACCTGAATGACTCTGTTGGCCCAATAAATCAACTGATAATGAGTAGCAGCTGACATCCTCATTTAATAGAAAACGATAAAAAGTATCTTTGATTCATAATTTTAATTAACTTTGAAAATGCATTACCACATTGTGAAAATTGCACATTGACAATATCATATAATTCTGTAAACATACTTATTTCAGCAGACTCAAATTCTAGCCCTTTATCATTTCTATTTTTTACATATTAAGGCATTGATGGATTGCGTGCTCACAATATATGAAATTGAAATCCACATATGGAAACTTCAGTAAGCGCAATGTATATGTCCAGAAAAATGCTAAAAGTAGAATACTGCTTAATTATGTATACTTACTGTATCTTGTTTGATAGCACTGTCATGATGGCAGTCAGTTCATTCTTACTAGTATAGTTTATATCATAGCTTACACATTTCAATCATTTATTTCTCAAATGCAGGTTCATAACATATAAAACAGCATTCCTCAACTGCGGGTTTCATGTTCGTTTCTTATATTTCAGGTTCAAACCATATATTACATTTGACATAGGTCACTACTGGTGTAATCATGACTTGCATCCCAATCCACAAAGCATCATGATGTATAATTCAAATATAGCCTTTAACTGAGGTCGATACCTGGATTTATCGACCCAAGAAAAGATATATTGACCGAGGACGATATTTTCCTTAATATAAGATGACACACAGTTTCCCTACATCCTCATTGGTTGGGTCATAATCACATGGAGGTCGGTGATTTGTGATATTGACTGGGTCTTCCTATTTTTAGAAAGAGCTGGTCAATTGTCATTTTTTGACTTTCTATCATTTTAACGATGAAAACTTTATTTAGCATCTAATATAACAGCTCAAGACTTTTATTTCGGTAAATATGTGGTTATATGGACCTGAGAAACTGATATTGACCTCAGCTTCAATTCTGTCTATATCACTTTCCGAGGTTGATATAACCACATATTCACCTCAAAAAATGTCCATAATTGATAAATAGCATGTTCATAGTACAATATGAATATGACTTGTTTGCTTATTTTTCTGCATGATTACGATGTCATATTACAAATCAAGTTACATTGTTATCTTTCGTGATAGAATAGCATGTTCATGACAAGATATATATTGCATTCCTTGCGGATTATTTCTATGTGATGATAACATGTCCTATTATAAATCTAGTAACATTGTAATATTTTGTGATAGAAAAAAGAGAAAGGCAGAAAGACAGATGAAATGATAGAGGAAAAAAGGATTACCTCTACCTTCAAAAGAAATTTCATTTCTAGGGTTTCAGCGTCATAATAAACTCTGACAAGATAAGAGCTTACAGCTCTCACAATCTTAACTCATTCACCCCTGAAGACACATTTAAACTCTTCCAAAAAAGGTTGGAATAGTTCATTATGAAGTTTCAGGGGTGAATGAGTTCAAGCAAATTCATTTAGCTTGTCTCTTAGCACTCTTTACAACTGCATTAACATTTATTTGTATCAAAGGTTTGTGAGTGAAGATCAAGGTCAAAGTCATATCAGGAAACAGAATGGATTGGAGAAAGTATTTGTCCATTCAAAATCGGTGCATTCTGTTGAAATCGATGAAACTCGACCACATCACTCGCAACGAAGTAGAGGGGAACGTAGCCAACGCTGCCCGTAGACCACACCTACAATGGACAGCAAAAACATGTGCTAGATACAGAGTGTATTAAATTAAGTGCTGATATGCTAAAGCCTGGTGTTTTAGGGGCATACCGGTATGTATGAGTATTCCATACAGTCAACATGTTTACTAAGTTTCTTAAGATGTGCAAGCAGGAAAGTAACCAGGTCTTTGACATCCATATATTTTATCAACCACCTCCTTCCTCTGTAGATTATAAATAGATAATTTTAAATATTCATATTGTGGAGCATTAGGCATAGCAATACATTTTCTCATTGATTTGTATCAAATGATTGTGATGAACAGACTTTCTTATGGTGATGTGTTAAATTTTTATAACATGATTATCTCAAGATAAACAAGAGCTGTCGGAGAACAGCATAGCTCGCCTATGTATGTTATTATAATACTGCAGCTATCAATAGAAACACATGTATAGTAAAACGTTGATATAGTGCCTGTCATTTTATTTGACACCTCACTTACCACCAGGACATTTTAAGGACTATTAAATGTGTAGAAACATCTATGTGAAGTGATTGTTAAGAAATGAACAAAGTCCAATAAAGCTGTTTTTGGACGCTAAAATATGAAAATATCGTTCAACACATTGCTTACACTCAATACAAATACTTCAACTTTATAACAGACAACAGCCTATTGATGGTCGTTGTCCAACACTTAACAAAAACAATTGCCCAAAAACTTGCACCTCAAATTCAACAAAGTGCAACTAAGCTGTTTTGGGGCCATAAAATATGAAAATATGGTCCAGCACATTGCTTACACTCGATATAAATGACCTAAACTCATAATAGACAACTGTGCATTGAGTGTGACGATCCAACACTTCACAAAAAAACTTTGCCCAAAACCTTTAACCTCAAATTTAACTAAGTCCAATTAAGCTGTTTTTGGGCAATGAAATATGAAAATATGGTCCAGCACATTGCTAACACTCGATATAAATGACTTAAACTCATAATAGACAACTGTGTATTGAGTGTGATGATCCAACACTGTTTGGAAAAAACTTGCACCAAAACTTTAACCGCTGAAGGTTCCCGGACGCCGAAGCCGGGGTGACTACATTAGCCCCCCTATTCTTCGAATAGGCGAGCTAAAAATCACGCTAACAACAAAATTTAAATTTAGCAAGTTTTTTCATGCTAAATTACGACACACTTACCACAATTAGAAGTGCACCGTTATCATAGTTTGGCTGAAAGGAGATGTGGTAAGGGATGGCACAGTTTTCTCCCCTTATATATCCACTGAAACAGAAAAAACACAAAGCAAATATATATGTTGAATAGGATAGTTAAGCTTCATTGAGTTAAATCAGTCTCGTGATATCAGTCCCGGAACAGCAAAGTCAGTGTTGTCACAATCAGATCTGTGATGTCACAAAAGTAGTCACCTGACCAAAATGGTGTTTTAGTCTCATAATTTGTTTCTCACTGCCATGGGGGAATTCAGACCAAATGTAAATATTAATTAATTAAGTATTATTGGTAATGTATTTGGTACAGAGAATGAAACTGTGATAATATACTGTAGATTTAGGAAAATTTAGGACATTTTTGCATGGTTGTAGAATGAGTGAGGGTTCTCACAATTGTTTTACAATCACAGTCATTCTTTCCTGATCTATGAAATCAAATTGATTTACAGTTTCAACTTACCAAGGTGTTACTTCAAGTAATGGCGACACTTTGGTCCTAAACAACACAACCATGCGCTTGGTGTTTTTACAACCTTAAAATGAAAAGTATGGATTTGTTACCAGAGTTTTAAATACAGAAACAACTTTGTTTGGAAATATTGCAGCTGTACATGTAAACAGTACTTGTATTTGTACATAGTCCGCAAGGCTAGACAATAAGGGTAGCCTGGAGTTAGTGAAATTTCAAGCTGGACTAGTGGTTCTATAAACCGCTAGCCCGGTTGACTTGTCAAAATTTAGTATTATTTATCATGTTGAACAATACTAGATTAGTGGATTTTGCATATGCACTAGTAAAATTGGAAACTACTTGCCTGATTGACTAGTTTTTTACTTTAATCTATATCCCTGAATAAAACATATAACACAAATTTGTCAGGAGTATATAGGTTTTGATACACAATACATGTCCCCTACAGAACACCCCCCCCCACTGCATCGCTCACCTGGTATAAAACTCATACTTGTAACCTTAAAAGTGATCTAAAATAAAGCTACAGGCAAAATATCAGTATTTATAATTAAAATTCATTCAAAAGACCGTTATTTTTTTTTAACATTTCACCCCTGTGATTGAAGTCGAACAAAGTCATTATGTTGAACACATTGTATGTATAGCCTTTCATCTCAGGATGCAACTTGCAAAGTATAAACATCCTGGGACCCATGGTTATTCAGAAGAGGTTGTTTAAAGATTTTAAACAAATTTGACCCCTGTGACCTTGAATATAAGTAAAAGTCATTCACTTTAACAAACAAAGTAGTCCTTGATCCCAGCATATGCTACAGACTAAATATCAACATCCTGAGCCTTTTAGTTATTCAGAACAAGTTGTTGAAATATTTTGAACATATTTGCTCCTTGTGACCTTGAATATGATTCAAGGTCATACATTTAAACAAACTTGGTAGCCCTTGATCCTAGTATGCTACTGACTAAATATCATCACCCTGGGCATTTTGGTTATTCAGAAGAAGTTGTTTAAAGTTTTTAACATATTTGACCCCTGTGACCTTGAATATGGGTGAAGGTCATTCATTTGAACAAACTTTGTAGCCCTTCATCTCAGCATGCTACTGGCCAAATATCATCACCCTGGGCATTTTGGTTATTCAGAAGAAGTTGTTTAAAGTTTTTAACATATTTGACCCCTGTGACCTTGAATATGGGTGAAGGTCATTCATTTGAACAAACTTTGTAGTCCTTCATCTCAGCTAGCTACTGGCCAAATATCATCACCCTGGGCATTTTGGTTATTCAGAAGAAGTTATTTAAAGTTTTAAACATTTTTACCCATGTAACCCTGAATATGGGTGAAGGTCATTCATTTTAACAAACTTTGTAGCATTTCATCTCAGCTTGCTACTGGCCAAATATCACCCAGGGCATTTTGGTTATTGAAGAGAAGTTGTTTAAAAGTTTTTAACATATTTGACCCCTGTGACCTTGAATATGGGTGAAGGTCATTCATTTGAACAAACTTTGTAGCACTTCATCTCAGCATGCTACTGGCCAAATATCATCACCCTGAGAATTTTGGTTATTCAGAAGAAGTTGTTTAAAGTTTTAAGCATTTTTACTCATGTAACCCTGAATATGGGTGAAGGTCATTCATTTTAACAAACTTTGTAGCACTTCATCTCAGCGTGCTACTGGCCAAATATCAACTCCCTGGGCATTTTGGTTATTGAGAAGAAGATGTTTAAAGTTTTTGACATATTTGACCCCGTGACCTTGAAAATAGGTGAAGGTCATTAATTTTAACAAGCTTTGTAGCCCTTTATCCAAGTTTGCTTCTGGCCAAATATCGACACCCTAGGCCTTTCGGTTATTAAGAAGAAGTTGTTTAAAGTAAAATATTGACGCCGGACGCCGGACGCCGGACGGACGGACACCGCGCCACGGCATAAGCTCACTTGGCACTTCGTGCCTGGTGAGCTAAAAACCCACCACAATGACATCATTAGCATATTACCATCGAACTGGAAATTTTAACAATAACCTTGACTCATACCGGTCAAATCTCTGTCTTTCAACCCAGACAATTTGCTTCTAAACAGTACATGTATCTGCTCAACACTGGACTGGGCTTAGTAAAGGGCAGTGTTTCATTAGCAATATATGGTAAACATTGCTACGTTTACTTACCACCCAGAAGGACTGCCAATCTCTCTCCTGTTGAATCCCACACCATATTATGAACCAGACCTCCAATCCTGAAAAATAAAATATTTTTTTCACAATCGTCAGTAATCATAATCTGAACAAAAAAACATGTACTGTTTCTTTGTAAGTCATCAATGAATGTTTTATTTGATTGAGATATTGTATATTTTAGCTCAATCTTAAGGGATAGAGCTAGGCCATTTAACTCATTCACCCCTGAAGACACATTTGAACTCTTCCAATTCAAAAGTTGGAATAGTTTATTATGAAGTTTTAGGGGTCAATGAGTTAAAAGCAAGATGTTCATGTGAGTTTTTTGCAAGAAGACGTCTAAATTAAGACAAATTCTTGGCAAACATTTACCTGTGGTCACTATTGTTTCATGTGGGTTTTTTGTTTCGATTTTTCGGTGCTCTCAGACATTATTTTTAAGCTGTTTAAATCTACAGAAAAACTGTAAGTAAATTAATACATTAACTCAATCACCCCTGAAGACACATTTGAACTCCTCCAATTTAAAGGTTGGAATAGTTCATTATGAAATTTCAGGGGTGAATGAGTTAAGTCTGAATAATTGACACATACTCAATATCCTCATTATCCTCAGTTTTCACCTCGACCATTGACAGGTCCACTGAGGCAACAGCTGACTGAGATCCACCAATCACAGTGCTTCTATCATTGCGGGATGTAGAGAATGTAAGGGAGTATATGATTGGTTCATGTTCTGTGGTAAATAACAGCACACTTCCATCTGGACTCCAGCAGGCAGCCTGTATGCAAGTCAATATAAAAGCACACATTATTCAAGATAATACACAACACACACTTTTAGTGGTGTTCCAATTATTTTATTTAATCAATGATTTCTCATTTTACCTCACTATGACTTATCAATAATGGTTTTCTATGATCAACCATGTTTTGACTTTAAAACACTGCAAACTTTCAAGAAATATTGAGATTTGAATAAACCTGAAAACTGCATGATTAAACAAGCAATTTACTCCTAATTTTTACCATAAATTGCATTTAAACACAATATATGCCAAACGCTAAGTCATTTTTGGACACAAATAGAGATTGAAAAATTATCTTTACAAGCTTTCAAAAACATATATTTCTTTTGTCAAGCAAAGAGTGCAAATGACCAGCATATCAACTCTTTACCACTGAAAACAACTCATTATGCCAAAATGTGCCAAGTCAGTACATATTTCTCCAAATAGCACTCTGATATTTCAGGCAGTCAGGGGGACAGGTAATATGTTTATCCATTCTGCCCCTTAGTGGAATACCCTTCAAGATGAAAAATTAACGTAGTCAGCAATGCATAGACTCTAAAATCCTGACTGCACTCGTGTAATACCAAAAGGTGAGTGCAACAACAACAGGCCATCATACCTTGCAACGTCCTACACACTTTGTCCACTTCTCACAGCTCCACCTGGTGGTTTCCCACACCCTGAAAAAAAGGGGAAATCACTCCGTTTGAAATTCCTTCAAAATACTATTTTAAAATCATAGCTAGTAATGGGAATGGCACGGCATCTAAATGAAAACACTTTGATATGGTGACTGGAATATATACCAGGTTTACTTTTTTATTCAACAATGTTTCCTTTAAATAAACTTGTCCAGATCAACAAGGCAAGGTTTTTGGCAGGGATGTGTGGGAAAAAAAGTGTCTAAACTTCACCTTGAGAGACGTGACATACTGTGTATCTATGAAGCTTCACATAACCTTGACCTTGTCCTCACTAAGAGCGGATTGGCCGAGTGGTTAACACTCCGGCTTCCGTGCTTTTCTCATGCCCACACAACTCCAACAACCCAGGTGGAGTATAAATTGGTCTGGGGTGGATGTTGAGGTATCTGTGCTGTAGCAGTCAAGTGAGGTGGCACTATAAATGATGCCGTTAGAAGCACAGTCCCACCACAAACAGAACATATTACATCTCCAGCACACATGCAGACATACACACTTAGGGAGATATTAGCCAGGTGGCATAGGACTAATAGTTAGCGCCTAAAAAAGCAGCTCCTGCGAATTCCTCAAAATGTATCAATTAATGTATATACTAAATGTATTGATTGTATAACTTTTATATCTAAGTACTGTAAAGCGCTTTGGAGTGGCTTATGTTAGCTAGATAGGGCGCGATATCAAATGTTGTATATTTTATATCAGAAAGCCAACAACCCAAATCTAGGAATTTAAACACAAGATTCAAAACTTACAGTCAGGGCAAGCACTGTAATCATTTAACATTTGATCTCTGCTGTGATGATGATCTTTAAACTTCAGACCTGCGTTTAGTAGGGGACACATTGTTTTATCATAACATTGGTATCCTCAAACTGAATCAAATACAGTTCAGTGGTCAGTTATCGAGTTCTGACAAGCATTGTAATGATTTGACCTTTGACCTCTATTTTTTACCTTGATCTTGCAGGTATGGGCCTGTGTGTGGTATGCCACACATTGTCTGATCATAAATAATAGTCTTATCCTTAAATTTTTATGAAATACTTTTCAGTAGTTTAGTAATTACATTTCACACAAGCATATCAATGAACTGAATTTTGACCTTTTTTCTGACCCTGATCTTGAGGGAAAGCCTGTGTGTGATTTGCAGCACAGTGTGCCTTGACAAAATATACAAACCTTAGTTAAGAATTTAGGTATAGACAAGTTAAGGACAGATTAAATGTAAAAACAAAAAGGTGACTATTGCAGAATACTGACAGGTCAGCAAGAGCCCCACCGTGTGTCTGACCGTAACCCCATGATCTATTTTTAGTAACAGTCACCTTAACCTTGACCTCATAATTTTTAAAATCCCTCTTGCACATCTACATATATCACAATGTATAATCATGTCCAGAAAGATATAACCTTTTGGATTCTGGAGTAATCCTCGGAAATGAAAATACAGATTGACAGACAGACAGATGGACACCGTGATAACTACAGGGAACATGCATCTCCAATGCGGGGTTGCAACTAGGATGGAGCGAAACAAGTTTTCAGAGGGTCAGTGTTTTGTTACCTAAATTTTACAACAGCCTGTTCCTTTATGAATTGGGAAAATATAGTATCATTTATTTGTATTGAAACTGGGAATATATTCCTTAGTTTTTGGTCATTTTGGGGAAATAAGGCACTTTTTTTTAGCTAGGGGAAACAGCCTGTATTCGGCAGTAAAACTGAGCAGAAAACATCACTGAGGGTGACAGAGTTATACCTGAACACATTTGAGGGAGTGGCGGTGAAGACCTTGCTGCCATCTGGTGACCAGGACACCATGGAAACACCTCCACCTCCTCCTCTTCTCAACGGAATACAGGTCTCCATGGGCACATCCCAGGCCTACAAAATACATCCATACACTCTGTAATGATCACAGCACCAACTTCTTACTATACAGACTAGAAGGCAGAATTCATAAATGTCTTTCTTTCAATTTCATTGTACTTTACTTGCCTTTTTCCAAACATTGAAATTACCTGATGCATTACAGTAAATAAGTATACTGATAGTTCAACATTGATTATCAAAGAGAAACCCAGCGACAGCACTATGTTTATCACTATTCCTCTTCCTATTACAAACGGGTGCCGTTGACCCTCCCCGTTCAAGCTTGGTGTGGAGTCAAAGAACCTGGGTTGGTGTTTGAAAAAAGGGGGGAATAGTGTAAAGGATGTGCATTGATTAGGTTGCATTACAAGCATCAGCTGTAGGGAGTTTCCCTTTAGCTCAGTGGTAGAGCATCTGGCTGGAGAGCCAAGGGTTGCGGGTTTAAGCCCCAGCAACTATCACTATTCCTCGTCTGAAGAGATAAGAATTTTGCAATTACTGAATATATACCAAGCAATTACGAAGAAAATCTAGTTCTTTGGACCAGTTTGTAATAAAGAGAAGGAAAGTTGTTCATTAAAACAATAATGTTTTGTACCTTTAACTTTAATTGTTTTTTTATTTACCATAATGGCAGTGTCTACAGGTGAGGCTGACAACAGGACACAACCACTGGGGTCCCAGGACAGAGAAGTTACAGGAGCATGGTTACTCTGTTGTAACACCTGTACTGAACTTGTTGATGGCCTAAAGAATAAATAAATATTTTAGTCTTTTTAAAAACATTATATTTTTCAACCACTGGTCTTACAAAACAAATTGGCTCATTAAATGATGAAATAACATTCACATGTACCTTAAAAGTAACCAAAATCCTTTCAGAAACTCATGAACAATTGAAATAATATTTTAATGGATTTTCCATTAAAATTTAATGAGTCTTTAACAGATTGATTTTTTCCTAAAATAAATCTGTTCAAATCTAATGAGTCAATCACTAATAGAATGATTTTTTCATAAAAATAAAACAATCAATTACATCAGCTTTTAATGGCAATATATTATAATGCTTGCAGTTGTGTTTAGCTCTTTTTAATTACATACAAAAATAATGAATAAATAAAATTGGTGTATGGTGCTTTACAAACCTTGTTGCCAGTGAAGTGGGTTCCACTTGCCAAATGAGGACACAGGACTGACATGCTACAGCTAACACCGAAGCTGACTGGGGCCTGCAAATATACATCTCTTGTTAGAAACTTTCTTAATGCATCAAATAAGAAAATTAGATAACTTTTTTCTATTTCAAAACTTATATCCTATGAATGAAGAATTTATCCTTTCAATAAAAAAAATTAAAGCCTTTAAACATTTAAAAAAAAAAAATCGCCAATAGCAGACAAATTCTAATTCAACTTAATCACTTGGCTGATCAATAGATCTTTGTATAATTTTAAAATTAACTAATTTATGTTAGATAATCATGATAACCAACTCATTGGGGAACCTCTATATACATAACACAAATGGTGCACCTGTTTTAAAAAGGATTTATCCCCAAATGTTAGCTAGAAAAATGTTGATTTCAAATTTTATTGATAAAAGTGATGCGTGAAATATAAGAAGTGGGTGTACAGCAATCATGGCAGCACTGGATAAAACACCAGAGACGCTATCTTTTATCACGATCCAAACGGTTGAACCGGTTGGACCAGCCTTGTTCGTTTATGAACTACATTGTAGGGTCAGACTTATTAATCTGATACTGCTTCCAAGGCCTGCATAAACTTTGCAGGTGTGCCAGTATTTGTACCTAAAAATGTTACATTTAAAAAGAAACAAACTGTTTATTCCAAATAAATGAATATACCCCAGCTTATATGGGGACAAGTTAACATCAATATCTAATTCTCAAAAAGTACCTCCGCTTTATACACGAGTGCACACTTCATGCAAATATTAATGGTACAACAGATTTATGAATATATCACTGTTGCAAAATTGCAAAAATTTTGTGATTTACAGCAGAATATCTTACCTCCATGCCAAGTCAGAGACATTTTTCTGAAGTTTGTGTTTCAAAGTCGGCACAAGGTCATTCCGTGCCATGTGTACTTTGATGGAGTCGTCCTCCAAGGCATACGCAAATTTTGTGGTGTGAGGATGCCAAGCAAAGGCTCTCACAGGACTCGAACCCCTAAAACAGAGGAAAAGATTCACTATTCTGCGACATGTATTTCAGTAGGGGTTTTTCTTCCTACATTTCACAACATTCTGTCCTTACAGGAATTGAGAAAATATGGGTTTTATTTATTAAAATTTGAAAGACGTTCCTCATTTTTAATTCTTTTAATTCTTTTTGGAAAAATAATTTGTTTGTGTCTCTGGTAGGGGTTAAACCCAGGGCTACCTATTACCAGTCAAGTGCTTTAATTTATGGATTGATCTTAAGGGAAATTCCCTCTAGTTGAGTCAGTTACAGGCCACTAGGTAAGTCATACCAGTGACATCTTAACAGTATTTACAAGATTTGAATGCACCTGTTCATTCATGTATCATTATATAAGTCTTACCACTCCACCGTGTGTGAAAACTTTTTTATGATGTCTTCATTGGACATCTGCAATAGACAAACAAACCAACTGTCAGCTAGAGAGGGACAATTTACCTGTAGACAATACAGCCTGGTTCTATATAAAGAAATTTTCTCATACTTTTCCCCCCACCTAAATCCTGAAAACAATCTCTTGGTATTCTTATAGGAGAGGAATTAGTCTAAAACATAAACCATTACTGAAATCACCTGTCATTTCCAGGCTTATTGTCGGAGAAACTTCCGTATGAGGCACTATTGTAACAGTAAGGTTCTATTGTTTAGAAGGAGCCCTGTCCCACCACAGACAAACCACTAGAAAATTCTTATGTACAGAAATTACCTCCCTTGAATTTCATTTTGGATATAAGTTATAATAACTGCAAAGCAATAGGGCTAGGGTAATGAATATTGACCAGGTAGCTCAGGTTGTTAGTATGAGAGTGTAACGATCCAAGGTCAAGGGTTCAAAACCTGGTTTAATCCCACTGAAATTTACACACAGAACACTGTTGTTGGATTATATTTTGTTAATTTCATATTTATTTTTATTTTATTTTAATAAGAGTCTTGAAAAATATGTTTCTTTTCAGAAATGATACATCAAAGCTAAAGTCATGCTTGAATAACAGTTTCTAATGCATAATGATGGTTTTAGCAGTCAGTGGCACAAGGATTTTTAAGTGTTAAAAAGGGGCTCCTTTCGATACAAAATGAAGAGTAACTGGAGGTGTACTGTATTATCATTTTTATGAGTTTATATCTGGCTTTGTTAGCTAAAAAATATCCCATACTCACTGATAAATGAGGGAATAGTGATCCATGAAGGGAGTTTGTTCCTCTCACAAAGGTCAAAGTTGTCCTGGCCATAGAAGCTGTCCACTTTGGTACTAAAATGTATATATAACAAATAATTATATATAGATTTTTTGTATTGTTATTACAAACTTAGAGTAGAAAAGAGCTTTCTGTCTTGATCAAGGCAAAGTTTTGCAAGACAATCTATTATTACCATAGTCTCCCACCAGTAATGATTTCTTTACACCTGTACACCTATAGCTATCTCAGGATATAGGTCACAGTGACATATTTTTTGTACTCCGCACTCAGACAGCCAAGATATACTTGCATACAAAATCTGGTTACAGTCTATAATACTAGATTGGTATGGTTCAATATTAATTATCGAAATGTGCACTCCTTTCTATAGTCAGAACGGGGCATTTGACAACCTTTTCCTGATTACGAGTTGGGTGTATATGTTTTGGAAACCCTGCTCACATGGTTGTATACTTAAATATCGCTGAGTTCTACATTTCCGAATGTCCGTATACAATTCACAAAATTAAACTTATATCCCACAAAATTAAAATAATGTCTATCTAATTTATGCTTTTCAACTGCAGTTTAATGATGTTCCCCGTCAAATTTAGATATATACTACCGGGGGAATAATCTTTTCCCATAGTCCCTGATGTGTATACTAACAGCATTGTAGCACCACTTGCATTTTTTCACAATAGTTTTTAAAACATCATGTCTTTTTAACTCTTCACCCCTAAAGATACATTTGAACTCTTCCATTTCAAAGGTTAGAATAGTTCATTATGAAACTTCAGGGGTGAATGAGTCAATTTCAAGTTTCCAAAAGACCATATTTTTGTATGAAGTCTTGCATAAGAAACCTCCCTTGTAAGCAACACTTTGTTGAACAACTTTATACCTTCCTCTTGACTCTTGACTATTTCTTCAAATACACCAGACAGCCCTATCTCATACCTGAAAGAGAAAAAATAACTAATTAAATGAATCTGAAGCAGAACCTGTGTTATTTTCTCTCTTCATCATTTCTATAGCCAATATTTATCCTCATTTATTGAAGGATTTAATAAATTCTTTTCCTTATTTGATAAAAAGAGTATTCACAATCAAAGAAAGGTTGATAAAATGTCAAGTAATTACAAAATCAGATTTTTAAACTCACTTCACTCCTGAAGACACATTTAAACTCTTCCAACTTAAAGGTTGGAATAGTTTATTATGAAATTTCTGGGGTGAATGAGTTAATGATTTGTACCTGTTAATATGTCATACTTTATCTCATCTACCAAAGTTTATACATAATTTACATGTATTTAAAACATTCACATTTTATATAGAATTTAATATTTTTACATAATGTTCGAGTGACTTAATGAATACTCCGTCACCCACCAAGCATGCATAGCTCTTTTCCAAACAGTTTCATCATGAGACAGAAAGGCAGACTTGGCATTCTCTCTTTGTGATAAACTTTTGGTTGTGTCCTTGGGAATAGTCACGTCTGGATAGCCGGGAAGCTGGAAAGAGTGAAACATATATAATAAAGATTTAAACAGGCATGATTGTATTCAACACACTTCTTCAACCTTCATACATATTCAACGTATGCAGCATATTTATCTTCACATCAACAAAGAAAGTGTATTTCACCTTCCCGAGTGTTTTTGTCTTTTTTGGGTTTTTTGTTTGCGATATATCTTAAATACAGTAAAACCTTGATAAAATGCCCCTCATTTCATTTTCCACCTTAACCTTTTCACCCCTATGTAACTTTAGTAGACTCTACCATGCATTGATATGGATGAGTCCATTTTGGTCTACAGTGGTGTAAGGGTTAAGCTTGTTTACTACCGATATATTTCAATGTCCCTTTTTTCTCTCTTTTTTTTTTAAGAATTCCTTTAAACCTTTCCCTCAATTTATCGCCAAACCCAATTAAGACGCCAAAATCAATCTGGACAAATGGTGGCAGTATAACAAGGTTGTGTTTTCTGTATTGTTACAATTTCCATCAGGTGACAAAAAACAATCAGGAACTTATAATGTATTCGAGAATTTTCATCATAATTTGAACTTGACTAATTGCTATCACATTTCTCCGATTACTCTCACAATATGATGGATAGGAAGCTTTCTAATTGGAAAACATTCTTGCTTATTAAAATATAATTAGTTTTTGTTGTTAATGAACTCTCTATATAAAAATATGCAAAACATTTTTACTGTTTTGTCATAAAATTTAGAGGGAAAACGGAGCCAGCCAGCTGTCAACAATCAAAACTATTTTCTAGTCTGCTTTAGTCTGAATGGATGAATTTTCATTGGTGGAAATTCACTAAATACATGTATATATATTCTGTGGGAACTCATCCATGTTTTGTAATGAACTTGGAGACCTGCTAAAATACAACAACAAAATGTGTAAGTCAAATTATCATCCACTTTTCTGAGGGTAGCTATTTCTTCGTCATACCTCTGGAAATCTGTTTATCACGAACAAAAGCTATGTTGAAACTTGAAACTTAGCTCTTCTACCTCACATTTTGTAATTATTGGGATAATTCAATTTATAACTTCGTTATATGATTTAGCAAGTAGGTATGTTATGAGTCCGAATTATTCTGACGTTTTATCGACTTTTTTTTATATCAGTCTGTCGTCGATTAACATCAGAACTCCGGCTCTCTATTATATGCAGGAAATAAGTGATCCATGTGCGACATGTGTGTGAAAGTCACGATTTGTTTCTAAAATATCAGTTTGAAGTGCGACACTGGTGCGGGTCGCTTATTTCCCGCATATTAGAAGGGGACGGAGTTCTGATGTTAATCGACGACAGACCGATATAAAAAAAACTCGATAAAACGTCAGAATAATTTTCAGACTATATGAAAACCTTTTCAAATTCAGCCACTAAAAAAGTTATGATTTGATCTGTGTATAGTATAACTGATTATGAATATAATTTCAGTCAGAGGCGCCACCATTTCAATTGCAGAGTTTAACAGGTTTATACCCGGTTTGCTGGTACACGTCTGTCTGCTCGAACATTGACCATCTGTCCATTCTGTTCACACAATGTGATGGAATCCTCTGCAGGGACAGGTGGGAATATGGTAAAGATGCTACCACTCATTCTGGGGATGGTATATTGATTGTGGTAAAATCACAGCAAACACGTGTGAACTCCAACATGTAACCTTGAACTAAAATGATAAAAAAAAAGATCCATTACTAATGATCAGTGTCAGTTGGTAGTAATATTGTTTTCAATAATTGATAATATAAGCTACCACATCCGCGTTAGCCATGTCATTGAAATATTGAATATATGAGTCCTGGGTCTGTATGAAACTGTTGTCATGCTCAAGCATAGATTCTCTAACCAACTTTCTTGTAGCTTAAACATTTGCAAACAGTAACTCAAAATATTTACTGTACCATGGATAAAATGTGATTTTTATTACTTAATCCCTGGAACAAGAAACTAAGTATTAGCACAGTATATCTTACACGAGTTTGAGCATGAAAACGGTTTTATGAATACGGGGCAAGGACCCATGCTTTTCATGTCAAACGTTTTGAGAGCCCATGTCACTAAATCTCTTTGTAATGGGACTGATAAAAATAAGAAAAATACAATAGATTTAAATTACAACACATGTACATTAGGATTTTGGCAGCTCGCTAAAACTACCATCAAACCTTGACGTACCTATACTAGGTAGCAATTAATCAATCAAAGATGGCAGATCTGCAACATAGTGACTTTGGCATATTAAATGATTAAACCGTTACTGTAACGACATTATTTTTGCGATTTCTAAATGTAACCACCTTTGACATCAAACTACAGTTAAAACAAACACAAACATCTAGCATATCATTAAGTAATACACGTACGGGTAAGGAGATTAATGTATTATCAATCAAATCTTGTTTGAATATTACTCTCAACTCTGTTTTCCTTCAGTTGTCTTTTCGCGGCAGGTGCTTGAAAATCAAGGACTATGAAGCGCTTAAAATTTATCATAATATCCAAAGCGGAATTATATCCGGAAATATTTCGCTGACAGATAAAATAATTTTCCTAACTCTTAAAGAGATAAATAATGTTAAGATAAGTTTATTTCCAATTAAGGAATTGACAAATTCCTCTTTAACAGATTCATAAATAAATACATTATATAACACGTCACGCTTGCAAAACATTAAAAAAAATCATTTTTGATTGTAAAAGAGTAAACATTCGGTGCCGATATAACAGTTTCAGGTAATTTATTCCATACTGGTACAGTGCTTATTGAAAAGTAGTGCTTCCTTAGCCCAGAAACCTATATACTATATGTCTCTGCTTAGCCTGCTTAATTGTTGATAGTGTAATTGTGTATAGGCCTGGCCTAATGCCAGGTAACGGGTTGTTTCGCCATAAATCCCGTTCGCGCTAATGGTTGTTTCGCCGTAAATCCCGTCCCCCCAATATGTTGTTTCGTCCTATTTTTATTTTATTTATACGCTAATATAATTATTAATATCTAAATATAACAGCTAAAATACTCATAACTGTCTACATTGTTGAAAAATATGCAACTGTGTGAGTGATGAGTCAGCTTTTCACAGCTGCCGTTTGTCACACTCGCTTAAAAACAACCTAAACACTTTTTTTTTTTTTTTTTTTTTATATAAAATTGATTTTTATGATATGGAAGACTAAGAAGACAAAATTTGTGACTTTAAACTAGAAATTTTGAAGAAAATACCAAACAATGTTTCCGAAACAACCAAGCGCGAAACAACCTAGGGTGAACGGGATTTGGGTCGAAACAACCCGGAACCCTAATGCCATTGGGTGCATCCTATCCCTGCAGGTAGGGCGTAAGAATTGTACCTGCTGCACCCATTGCATGATCGGTTTTTTTAAGTAGTCCGAATGAAAAAAAGTCGATCGAACGTCAGAATTCTACTATAGGCCCTAACAACGGCAATTTCTCGTATTCTGGGAACTCCGTTTAGACTTATTGTTAACAATTATAATCCGACTTTTTATAAGAATAATATCAAATTTTGTACTTAACAAAGCGCTTTATGATTTACATAACTTTCGAGATTTTTAAATGTGTATGGTACGGACATAAGTTTAACCACGGACTTAGATTGCGTGGTTTAACATAACAACACTATTTTATCAGACTAAAATTTCCAGGAAGATTTTTTTTAATTTCTTTCCTTTTTTTATTGTCACGGACGGTCCATATTAATCAGAAAACAAAAGAAAATGATAAAAATGCATGATTTTTTTTAGTGTTGAGCAAACAAACATACATGTATGCTACGCCACTGTAAGGGGGCAAATCACTTTTGAACCATAAACTGAAACGTTCTCCTGAGCAGTGCAAACATAAAATTAGCCTTTTCACTTTATCATTGATATCGAATGATACTTCAGAGTCTATCGTAACTCCAATATCCTTCTCCTGTTCTGCAAGTTTCCTCTATGAAGGTAGTAGCTTTCAATTTTTCATTCAAATATTAGGATGCAAGGAATAAAATTGAATACATAGAAAACATTGCAGGTGAATATGATATAATTTGTCTCACCGAAACGCATCTTGATGTTGAGGTCCCCATAGGTGAGTTATTGATAGAAGGCTTTCACTCTCCTTTTAGACTCGATAGAAATTTTGCGGGCGGGGGTATTTTAGTATATGTAGATGAGGCTTTAAAAGTTAGTAGGCTGGTTGACCTCGAAGGCTCCGACACCCAAATATTATGGTTTCAGGTATTTCTTCCTGATAAATGTCTAATAATCAGGACAGCATACCGTTCTGCTTATCACAATAATCAATTTTGGGATAATCTTCGGGCTTCAATAAACGATGCTGTAGAATTATCAAGAAATATTATTTTAATAGGAGACCTCAATGTTGACATGCTAACCATGTCCGAGAATCATGCTTTTGCTGACATTATTGATACTTTTAATTTTACAAATGTTTTAAATGAACCTACACGAATAGGTCCCACCAGGCTCAGTTTACTTGATCCAATTTTAGTATCAGAATCTTTGTCTTGCACCGACTCCTACGTCATAGCTACCGAAAACTCCTTTACTGACCACGAAGGTTGTGTCGCATTTATTTCTGTCCCGTTATTTATTAAACCCGTCTACAAACGAAAAATTTGGTTATATAAAAGAGGTGACTATGTATTATTTAATCACCTTATCGAGGAATATGACTGGAATACTCTTTTTGCTACATGTAACTCTGTTGATTCGGCTAGCGAACGTTTTACTGTGGTTTTCTCGATTTTGCTTGTAGAACAAAGCCATATAAAGAAGTTACTATAAGACCTAACGATAATATAAGCCATGGATGAATTCAGACCTGAGAAAAAGTATGAGACTAGCGATAGATTACGAAAAACAGACAAGCATTCTACGCATCCACGGGATATATCTAAATTCAAAAAACAGCGAAACAAAGTTAATAACATGAAAAAGCATGCTAGAAAACCCTTCTATGAAAATGTTGGAAATCTTATTGATTTTTATTACTCATCTGATCCTAAAAATTATTGGCGACTGATCAAGAGATTGATGGGAAATTCAGGGACCTCGCAGTCTATTCCTACTTTAGTTGATTCAACATCGGGACGTTTATAAGTTGACGATAAGGACAAATCAAATTTATTGAATAATTATTTTTGCAGTACACTAACATAGATGATAACAATACTGATATTCCTATTTTAGAACCGAAAACGGAGAGTTCATTTGAATCTCCTATAATTAACTACAATGAAATATGTGATGTCTTGTTAAATTTAAAACTTGGCAAAGCCTCAGGCATGGATGGAATCAGCCACCATATGTTGAAGTACACTGCAAAAACTGTATGTAAACCACTTGAACTTCTTTTTAACTTATCGTTATCTACTTGTATTTATCCTGATATTTGGAAATTTGCTAAAGTCATGCCGCTTTTTAAGAAGGGTGATAGGCATTCTCCTTCTAACTATAGACCGATTTCTCTTTTGTCTACGGTTGGTAAAACATTTGAAAGGGTTATCTTTAAGTACTTGCATAATTATTTTTTTGAAAATTCTCTATTTTATCAGTATACCCATCAGGATTTATGCCTGGCCACTCAGCTGTGTATCAATTAATCGAATTGTATCATAATATTTGTCTTGATCTAGAAGAAAAGAAGCATACTTGTTTAGTTTTCTGTGACATCTCAAAAGCTTTTGACAGAGTCTGGCATAATAGTTTATTAGTCAAGTTAAAATCATATGGTATCTCAGGAAATTTCCTTTCGTGGGTCGAAAACTACTTAAGCAACAGACAACAGAAAGTGTTTATAAATAATTCTTCTTCTGATGCTGGTTTGATATGTGCTGGAGTTCCTCAGGGTTCAATTCTTGGACCATTGTTTTTCTTGATTTATATAAATGATATCGCCGAAGTACTAGAACCTAAATCACGTCTTTTTGCTGACGATATGTCTTTAAAAAGCTCTTCATCTTCTTGTCTAGATATACAAACAGTTTTGAATAGGGACCTGGAAGCTTTAAATAGGCGGGCTAACACTTGGCTTGTTACTTTCAATCCAAATAAGACGGAAGTTATTTTCATATCAAATTCAAATGATATAGATGAAGATCTTGAACTGATTTTTGATGGAAATATTTAGAATTTTAACAGTATGCATAGCCACATTGGAGTTACATTCAATTCAGATGCAAAATGATCAGATCATGTAAGTGAAATCTATAAAATCGGTAATGATTTTTTTTTTTTTACGAAAACTCAAATATATGTTGAAGTCGGATGCTCTCTTAAGAATTTACAAAACTTATATATTACCAGTTTTAGAATATGCATGTGAGGTTTGGGATGGTTGTAAAGTTAGAGAGGACTCAACGTGAAGTAGCTAGAATTATTACAGGTTTACCGTCATATGCTAGAAATGAATCATTATATACAGAAACTGGTCTTGAATTACTTTCGGATACAAGATGAAGACGAAAACTTCAGTTAATCTACAAAATGTATATGCATCAAACCCCAAACTACCTAACAAATCTACTTCACACTAAGGTAGGAGAAAACCGACATGCTCTTAGAAATAATGATAACTACAAAATTATCAATTTCAGACTCTCTACTACTAGTTTATCTTTCTTGCCTTCTTCATTAAAAATGTGGAATACTCTAGACTATAATATTAGATCCATGTCTTTCTCATCTTTCAAATCAGCTCTAGTCCCCAACATACCATATACAGTACCCCCTCATTACCTACGTGGTGACAGAATACTAAACATTCTTCATACCAGACTAAGACACGAATGCAGTCCTCTCAAACATGATCTATACCGTGTAAACTTGGTCCAAGACTCCAATTGTTTAAATTGTGGCTACCATTCCGAAAATGCCTATCCCTTCTTCTTTGAATGTCAACCTTACACAAATGCTCGTACTGTACTTTTTGTTTAACGTTGAGCTTATTACTGTTTGGACTTTGGATACAAATTGTGATGTATTCAAACAAGTGCAAACTTTTATTAGATCTAGTGGAAGATTTTAAACATGTTTCGATTATGAACTTGACTTTAAAATATGTTTTTGTTTTTGTTTGTTTGTATGTGTATGTGTTACTTTAAAAACCGCTTCATACTACTATGAATTCTAATTGACAGTCTATATATCATCATCTGTTGTTTTGAATTATTGTTGTAAGGAGATGGCTTCATAAGTTGTAATAACTTGTGCCAAATCCTATTTTCCAATTCTGGTTGATAAAATATGTTTAAAGTCAAGTAGTGGCTAGGTGGATCTGATTCTATCGTGTTCCTGTGTTTTACGCTTGCCTAATCTCATATGCTTGCACTAATCTGGATGTATTTGTAAAAGCCATGTATCGCTCCATTTACACATTTTCTCGAGGTCTTTTTCGAGATCGGCACTATCTTCATTATTTTGAAAATATTGGTGTCATCAGCGAAAAGAACATTTTGACAACAAAACAATCATTGCTTTACGCCCTTAATCAGATACAATTGTTTCTGAATACTATTGAACTTCTTATCGTACTTAACTTGCACACCTAGGTATGTGAATTGATCAACACAAGTGAGTTTTGCCCTGGTACAACCAAATTTCATTATTTCGAATTTTACCGCCTTTTCGAAATACGACGATTTTAGCTGGCTAGATTATCTTACAGTTCCTGTAAACCATAGACAGTCACAGAAAACAAAATTATTTAATAGTCTGCATATAACATAAGAAATAGAATTTTAAAATTCCCCAAAATTATATTGATTCTAGACTACTACAGTTCGAGATAAAAAATATTTTTTCTACATATATATAGAAAATAGTATTGCGGATAAGAATCAAACGCCTAGCATAGTCCGAACTATCTATCTTTCGCTGTATCTTTCGCTGTATAATATAATACATCGTTGTAAGCTTTTAGCTTTTGGAGATGTCTTGATTCTATTTCCTGTACTTATATATAGTGTCCAACCGGTTGCGCATAAATGATAAAAGTCCTAAATCATAATACCAGACGATCCTTCATTAATTTCCATTGAAGCCTATCCCCCGTAACATTTCATTTAGCGCAAACTGTTCACGAGTGTTAGATATATATAGCAGCAGTGAAGATTGGAGTGACGTGCACGTGTCAGGCAGCTGCGCTGTCCCTTACTAGGACCGGGGCTAAGCTGAACCGGGGCTGGTGAGTTCCGTCACGATAAGATAACTCGTCCGGACTATCAGGTAATGACGCAGATGTTTTTTTCTATATAGAAATACATCTGTAAATTTATGAAGATAACAGTGTATATGGTCATTAAAGGGGTCGTATAAACTGAGCAAATAGAACCTCGACTTAAAAGAATGGTTATATGCCGTATAGTCTATAACTACCTGGGGCGTTTCTATGATATTTGAAAGAGGGGCCGTAGAATGTAATCTTTTGCCGAGCGAGTCGAAAAAAATTTGGACCTTTTTTTGGCTAAAAAACATAAAATAGTTGTGAAATGCACTAATGTAACGGTTCCTGACTTGGAGCATGTATATTTTATAGTTAAAGTGTCAGGGTGTTTATGTGTTTAATTAATGAATATGATAAATTGCCATATTCAATACAATATTAGCAGATTACGATAGTTTGTTTTTTGTTGGGTTTTTTTTTTTTTAAAAGGGGGGGGGGGGGGGGGGGGAAGTACGCCCATTACGCCCTCACCTGGACCCGCCCCTGACTACAGCAGTTTACAAGAAATTAAGTGCTCATTATGTCCGTATTAATTGATAAAATACATGAAGGTGACAGTGGTTAGAGTCAAGAGAGGAGTAAAGATGATTAAGAAATAGAAATTAAACTATACATGATATATACGGTCCTGAGCAGGGGCATCCTAATCAGGAAATCAAATGGTGAATATCTGTATATATCTATGAGATAAATCAAGTTTGTAAAGTTTACGGCCAAGAGAGGTGTCCTATTGATTTTGAAATGGAAAATCCATAAAATCAAGGATGAGATACTTTATACATATTTCTTACAGAGTACACGGTCCTATTTACTCTTCTCAAGTTTTAACTCCATACATTGCCACATGTACGTATGTCCCCCTCTCAGAACCGTATGCACTATAACATGTATTTATGAGATAATTGACTGTTTATATTACTTACAAGATACAAGAATTTTTATTTAGAGTCGTATATGTTGTAATGGAAACATTACATATACTTGAATTTCTATTTCTAAATCATGTCTATTCCTCTCTTAACTCTATACAATGTCAGCATTATTAATTTGATGCATAAGAAGGGATATATATAATAGTGGCGGATCCAGAGGTTTTTTGGGGGCTCCAGGACCCCCCAACCTGATAATTTTCTTTAAATCATGTATTTTCTCCATTTTCCTCCATTTTTCCCTACATGGAAAACCCCCCAGATAGGTCTTTGGTCCGCCACTGTATAATGATCATTTCCTGATCGATGTCCCTGCTCAGGACCACAAGGACCTGAGAATGTTTTACAGCTATATTTTGACCTTAATTAACTCCTTCCACTTTCGCGTATCTGGTTCAACCGGTTTGTCTGTTTTTAAATGTAATATTTTCGGGTACAAATCCTGGCGGACCTTGGCCTTGCAAGGCTCGTCTGGAAGCAACATCAGATTACTAGGTCCGACCTTATTTCATAAACGAACAACAGTGCCGGTCCAACCGGTTCAACCGTTTGGATATCGATTTAAACGAATGCGGGCTAACTACATTTCGAAATCATATTTAAACATCTCTTTACTCCAAACATTGACAACTGAACTTAACTGATGCATTAGATCAGGTTCACCATTTTATATCCTGATCAGATTGTCCCAGCTCAGAACTGTATACATTTTAAAATCGGCAAATTTCTATTTTTAAATCATCTCTAACCTTTCTGTACTAAAAACATTACCACTTCAATTATGTGCTGTGTTGCAAATGGTATATTTACCAGTTTTCCTGGTCATCTTTAGAGAGATAAAACGTTCGATATTTTGAACTTTAAGAGTACATGTATTTGCATACTCTGCACTGTGTCCCTACATAATCGAAGGGAGGTAACTCTTCATGTACAATTCCTCATTATGAGCTTTGCTACACTATTTGTATTAAAAACAATATTCATAATATTTTGTCTTCATTGGTATGTATACTTTGCCATGCTAAACTTTAGTCATATTTTGATGCAGGTTACCGCACACTTTTTTCTAAAACAAGTGGTAAAACAACGCAACAGTCCTGGTGAGCGCCGGTCCCAGTGAGGGCACCACAGCTGATTGACACTGTTGTTAACACGTGTTAATAACCTAGGTACCGGTACCTTGGTCAAGACTACAAGAGAAGAAACATCAATACAATTAAGGTAAGAAAGTAGATGACAATTTGACAAGTAGTATGTTTAGGTGTAGTATGTTTCTACTCTTTACTATTCGCCGTTTATTGTATATTAATAATAAGTCGTAAATAAAATTTACATATGTAATGTATGTCATCGGTTTCGCGCCTTTATCTGTTTATAATTGGATCTAGAGCGAAATCGCTTTTGCTTCGTCAGAAAACTGTTGAAGTTAGGCCTACCAGTGACTCTTTTAACAATCTACTAGGCCTAGGCCTAATGGAAACAAAAACAAGAACTACCGACTGAAAACTATGGGTTTACCGTAAATCTTCCGCCGACAAGGCTCTGTCCATTGTCGTCGGCAGATTTAAGTGATCGTTTAGTTATTTTGTGTTTCCCCAAAACTGCCAAAAAACTGACCAAAGAATTTCTGATGCGTCCGTCTAACAGTCAAAGACATAGGTCCATCAGTTGTGGAGGAGTATTCCGAGTCATAAACCAATCAACACCTTGTTTCAAAGTTAACTGATAATGTTTATATATTCAATAACACTGCTAAAATAGCCGTTAAAACATGGCAGACAATACGTACATATAGAGAATATAATAATAAGTATCCAAGATTTACTGTTAGGCCTTTCTTCCTTCTAGGGCTTCTTCAGGTGGACTCTTTATATTATATATAAAGACTTGACCTATATAAGCCACATGGTAAAATAAGGCCTATAGGTTATACCCCAGCTTCCTGGCCCTATATGTGACCTGTATCGCACAACCATTCTGATTGGCTTAGTCTATGACATACATGTATGCGCAGTGAACAGGTGTCTTCCGGCAACTCCCCAAATTATCTGGTTGTCTCGAAAGTAAACACCCATGTAAACAAATAGACCGCACCAGTGATAGCTGCTACCTATGGCGATAGCATAGCTGTACCGTACCGTACCTTTAGTTACACTAGGAGGGCAGTAAAGAGATACACAAGGATAACAGTAAAATAAACACTTAGGCTATAGCTAGCAACCGGTTTTCCCACATTCCTCCCGCGAGTCCCCCTTTAGATCAAAGTAATATTTCACCAGAAATATAACTTTATCTCACGATAGCTACCCTATCACATGGGGAGGCTAGAAAGGTGGCACAGAAATTTATAATGGGCAGAAACCCATGACTGACGATGTCATTGGAGAATTGGTTTCTGAGGCGGTTTCACACTCAGAACTGTCATCTGTTGAATCATGAAATCTGAGCAAGGACTGATTCAAGTGTTAAATCTGTAAATGGGATCAGAAAAACTAGCAACAGAAAATAGTTTAAAATATCGATAAATATATTTGTACAAGCAATCATTTGTCCGCAAAAATATCACCTGCTTGGAATGGTCGGTATTAAATTTTAGGAGTGCACGTAGCAACTTGGTAAACAATTTCCATTACAGACAGATAATTCACTGGTACAACTGCCAAATACCCTAAATATGCATTGGAAACGGTGAACTCGTAAAGCATTTCTGAAAAGAAAACAATGATTTGCGGGACTTTGATGAAAAAATAGTTTAATAAAGATGAAATTAACAAAAAAATAAACCTCAGCAGTGTTCTGAGTGTAAACGTTTAGCAGATCTGGACCAGAATTCAAACCCAGGACCTCAGATTGTTATCATTTGAGCTACCTGGTCAATGAAAGTGGCCTTGCCTAACTATGCGCAGTTATATATATCCAAAATGAAATTAGGGCAGCTTGAGGTTACTGTGTATATATATATATATATATATAGAATTGTCGGGCTATTTCGTGACCTTTTCACCCATGGTTTAATCGGCCCAATAATGTGTAGAGCATTTTCCCATCAACGCCTCAAAGGAAGAATGAGGCGTTGATGGGAAACTTTACAAAACAAAATGAATAAGTATTGCAGAGTGATGATATGATATAGGTGAAAATGGGTGAAGTTTGGATGTATTTTCATATTTTATTTTACCTTTAGATCTATATTTAATTAGTGCACCCTATAATTGAAAAAAAATCTTGCCTTTAATTTTTATTTTTTATTTTTTTAAATTTTTCTTGAAAGATTAAAAGATGCCTGCCTACACATATAAAGAAGTTGAGCATGAGGAGAAGCCGAAAGACCCGGAGGTGTTCGGACAAAGTGCGGATTCCATAACGAGTCAACCTCCCCCGTATGAAGACATAGCAGTCAACTTCCAACCCGAAGCCAAGTCATCTCGGCCTAGACAACGAATTAACAGTGGTATGTATTTTGTGCTATTGCCTTTTTACTTGTACTACCATTAGGTTTGATACTGAAACCTTTCCAGGAAGATAGCTGTTTTATTGTGTTAATTGAAAAAGGACATGATTTTAATATAGAATTCATTCATGAAATGTTCACTTTTGTAAACGAGATTGTGTATTTTAAGAAGATATTCTATCATAAACTAAAATCTTGTGATTTATCGTTATGTTCCCTCCCTTGAAGAATTATTTATGAAATGTTCACTTTTGTAAACGAGATTGTGTATTTTAAGAAGATATTCTACCATAAACTAAAATCTTGTGATTTATCGTTATGTTCCCTCCTCCCTTGATCATGGTTTTATAGCATTTTAACAACTGTTAAGACAGGCATTAACATGACCGTAATGAACATATAATTCATTATCTAGAGGTCTATGTTTTATAGGTTTAAAAATGTAAAAGTCTTTTTGTATTTAAAAGATCTCTGGATCTCAAAGTAAGGTAGCGTATATATTCTTTGATTGTCTGACATAGTGACGTATTTATCCCATGATAAGCCCAGTGACATATTTATCCCATGATAAGCCCATGCCTGGTAATACGCTCACACTATATATTGCAGTTCAGCAGAAATGCGACAAAATAATGCTATTTCATTGTCCTGTAATAAGCCCCACACCCTACTTTGAGGAAGAGCTAAATATGTCGTCCCCCTGGGCTTATTGTCAATGGAGGATTACAATGTTCCCCCTGGGCTTATTGTCAATGGAGGATTACAATGTAAGTAAGGGAAATTATTTTTACAAGAGTTCTATATTCAAATCTTGTAAAAAAAAAATGGTGCCTGATTTATGTTTTATCATGGTTTACCCATATCTATTGAAGGAGATTTGGCCTGCGCTATAGACTATGGTCATGAAGAAGATAAAACACCCTCAGAAGATTTCAACCTGTTTTCAAGCTGCATCCGAACTCACAGTACCTTGACTGATTTCTACAGATCCAGGAAAGCCAAAATATGTCGGGTAATAAATTACTGCAAATTTCAATATATGTTATTTAAGATTTAGTTGGTTGAGTTCATTACTTCTTTCACACTGTGTTTAAAAGATAAATAAAATTATGGATTGCTACATAATTAATATGCAATACATATGAAATTAGTGATAGTCGCAAGCTTGCTCCGCTGTGACAACAGAGAACAATCTAAGTTTCGGGGAATTGGCATAATTTGTGACTTGGGAGATGTTTTTCACCTGAAATACAAAGTTTAATACAATTGGATTAGATTTACCTTCATTTCTTACGGTATATGATTACTCTTGAAGGTTATTAGGGATTTTGTTCACTTAACAACGGCTTTCAATACATACAAGTATACAAATATATATAAAATTCTAAAAGATGAGATTTTTTTTTTTAATTTTGTGAAATTATTTTAAGAAAATCTGTATTTAGTCTTCCAGCATACATGGGAATTTTAAGAGACACAGGATTTTTTCTCTCTCCAGGAAATTGCACATAATGGGATTTTTTTCCCCCTGAGATTGATCCCTGGATAAAGTTAGTATAGACAATTCATGACCATACATTGCATAGTGGGGTTTATGAGTGAAATAGTTGACCAATATGATACATGTGGAGCTCAACTCTGAAATAGCGTTAATTGCGATCTTTATTTTTTTCAGGGATTCTATGCTTTTCTTGCCATGGCGTATGTGGCTTATTTTGTTGCGTCGATGGTCCTTTGCCAGACCCAAGGTTTTCGTGACCCCACCCCCCTGATAGTCTTGACCTGTGTTGTCGTTGTCGTCATCACTCTCGGGTTCATTGAGGGTCACTTTGGAGAAAGGATACAGACAACAGTTATTCAGCCGATGGAAAATTTCTTCAATGGCAAAAAGGGGATGGTCAACATTGTCAAAGGGTTAGTACATCAAATCTGTGTTGTTTGTTACGATTCACTGTTCTCTAAATAATAGTCAATATTTTGGTAGTGGCCCACAGGTCAAATAAAGGTCAAGAAAGGGTCATCTGCCGGTCTGATATTGAAAACATTAGCTGTTATAGAACATATACCATAAAAAAAAAACCGCTATAATTTATCTCCTATGCAATTTGAGCGATATTTAAGGCAAGTATATGATCAGTAATATCTCTCTTGACTTTCACAGGTTGTTCTTGCTGTGTGTATTGGTGGCCATTGTGGTGATCATCGGAACATCTGTCTGGGTACGACCACACAATGCCACCTCAATGCTTGGAATCATTGTCCTCCTGTTGATGATGCTGCTCTTCTCAGCTCATCCTACCAAGGTAAAAAGATTGAGCTTACATGTCAATTTACAAAAGGATACAAAAGATACTAAATTCGATGCATTTGGGTTAATGATTCTTATACTTGTTGAACATCATATATTGTTATACCTTTACTTTTTATTCTCTATACTCTTCTATAGGGAAAGAAGTTCGAAATTCCAGATGTTTGCCTCAGAAAAAAAATCTGATTTAGTAATATATAAATACTGCATTCATTAGAGTATGGCAGTGCCTAGGATGACCCTACTTTGGGTTATCCATGTTTTTAGAGTTTGAATATTCAGTTTTAATTACATATACATTTTATAATGAAGAGTTTTGGCTGGGACATGAGAGATACCAGGTACATCAAGTTAAAGGAGGACTTTGAGTTATAAGAGTTCCATATAACAAAGTTCAACTGTAACTGTGACGTCGGTATGGGCTTCTTTGATGCACAATGGTCAGGTTTTTAGGCAAATATGGCATGGACAAAAGGTAGAGCTGTCACGATACACTTTACCCACGATTCGATACGTATCGTGATATTTGTTCCACGATTTGATTATTTCGATGCGATACACCTTTATTTTGAAATATAAACAAAATGAGATATATAAGCCGTCGTCGATACACGGAAATCCGCAGTGTTTCCATACTTTTGACTCAAAGCTTGCCGGAGCATCACAAATTTTCATTTCCTTATGGCTGTCCGCCCTTTTGTTGTGAATGCTTTGTGAAAATTGCATCCTCGCAGCCGATTGGTTGAGGGTTTAGAGATCAGCCAATGAAATTGAACGTCTCACAGACGTTTCGGCTGAAGCAGCATACACTGATATTCAGATCGTGACACATCAAAAATCCGGAAAAATATATCGTGAATCGAACATAAATAATTGCGGTAGAAGTGCATCGCGGTGAATCGTGACACCTCTAACAAAAGGACGGGGCGAAAGTTTACGGCTCTTCCTTTATGTCATCAAATTGACCATAAAGTTACTCTTTAAGATTGAATCGGTTAGTTTTTCTTTAAGATTGAATCATTTCGTTATTACATTTACAGGTAAACTGGAGACCTGTAGCAGGTGGATTGTTGCTCCAGTTTTTTTTCGCCTCTCTCATCCTCAAGCTGAGTGTGGGATACACTGCATTCAAGTTTCTTGGAGACAAAATCCAGATATTTCTCAGCTTCACCAACACTGGCACAGAGTTTGTGTTTGGGGAAAAGTACACCGATCATTTCTTTGCTATGAAGGTTTGTGGGATTGAAACAGTACTTTTTATAATAAGCAGAGTAATCAATTATTTATAATTCTTTAATAAAATGCTGAAAAAAAGTCTGGATCGGAATAGTTATTTTCAAAACTTCCATGTTGCAATGGAGCAGATATATACAGCCGATCCCTGTTATTATCTGAAAAGCTGGTTTATCTATATTTTCAATTATGTATAATTTATCCCAAACGTATAGTTTTAGCTCACCTGTGTCAAGAATAAATAATTTGTTCCCAGCCTAAAAATTCTTCTGTGTAAATGCCACCGTGCACATTATACTTATGATTTGTATTGAGTTACCTCTCTAATTCTAGTAAATTAATAACAAGAATTTCTCAAGAATTTTATTCAAAATGTATTCTTTCCTGATAGGCCTCAACTAATTCACCTTTTCAAAATTAACTATATATAAACATGTATGTATTATGTAAAGCATACTTTAAAATAGTTGAGAAGCATTTTGGAAAAAAAGATGCACATCATAAGGTAGCGTACATCTTTAAGTAAATTAGACTGTATATGTAGCCCATGTTCTGTTTGTGTGCCAGGTTTTGCCAGTCATCGTGTTCTTCAGCTGTGCCATCTCCGTCTTGTACTACTCGGGAGTAATGCAGGTCGTGATAGGCAAAATTGCTTGGCTCATGAGGGTAACCCTAGGAACCACTGCAGCGGAGTCTGTGTGTGCAGCGGGAAATATCTTTGTTGGTCTGGTAAGGAATAAAGCTTTTGCAGTACATTCAAACTTGAAATTCTTCATACCTTGCTATTTTATATGTGGTTATAGGATGGGGATCTTGATCATTTCTGTTATCCAAGGGACATAGTCCCGAGGGGCAGAGCCAGACCCTGGAGCCAATCATGGTAGCATGATTGTGTTCTACTCTTTATGACTGCCAACTGTAAACATGGTTAAAGGGTAGGGATCTGAACTGTTTCCATGTAATGATCGGGAACTAGGTTTCCAGGGTTGGATCCCAAGGGCAGTCCTAGTTGAATAAGTGTGTTCATCTCTTCATAACAAGCGGTTGTATGGTGTTGGAACACTTTGAACACAAAACATTTGTTTTGATGCACTGTCTAGTGAAGATTTGGGGGACAAAAACTGTTCCCGAACTCGGGTCACCTGGTGCACCTATGTGGGATAGAGACCAACATGAAACCGGTTACGTAGTCATTATTAGGTTGGCCCAATGTTAAGTAAGTAACCAACTTCACATTGTTCTCTAACCAACCTCAAGTTGGTTACTTATTCAACTTCACGTTGGTGGGACTTATTTATCCCACATATTTTAAAGTGTTTCACATGAAATATGTGTATCAGGCATATGCAACAGTGGGAGAAAAAACTCTTCATTGTCTTTTTGAACAAGGTATCACAAGTGATAAATTGAGAAAAAATGGGTCCTATAATTGTAATAAAAAAAAAATACTTAAAAAAATAAGTTTTTTTTAAACCTCCTGTGTATCTGTTTTCTTAGTCGTAATAAAGTCGACATCTTGTGTTCTCTGTAGTGAATGTATGAAATTGCATTTTTCAGACTGAGGCCCCCATCCTGATCCGGCCGTATCTGGGGGTGATGACAAAGTCGGAGTTACATGCGGTGATAACGTGTGGGTTTGCCACCATTGCTGGAGGAGTGCTGGCAGCCTACATAGAGTTTGGGGTATGTACTCATCTTCAGATTCATTTGTGACATTCGAAGTGTTTCCTGATTTTATAAACAAGTATCAAGAAGTTTGAGTCTGGACATTTTGGATTCCAAAGAAGTATTGAAATTTTATTTTGGGGCTGAATGAAGCAAAACTTTTCACGTGGAGGTAAATATATTTAGAAGGTTTAAGTCGGGATATTGAATCGGGATATTCTATTTGTGTTGATTTTTTTCTATAGGTGCCTGCTGAACATTTGTTGTGTGCATCGGTGATGAATGCGCCCGGTGCTCTGGCTGTGTCCAAACTCCTGTATCCAGAGACAGAGGAAAGCAAGCTGAAGGTATTACCTTCTGGTCGACAAGAATTGACACCTGAACAGTGAGTTGAAAATAGATTTATCAAAACGCTTAATATCAGAACCTTGAATTCTGTATCAAGAATAAGTTGAAGAAGAGCAGCATGTGGATGGTAACTTGTTGGAAATTAACCCATTCACCCCTAAAGTCACATTTGAACCTTTACCAAATCAAAGACTAGGCAAGTGTAGTTTAAATATGTAGGGGTGAATGTTTCACTAGGTGAAGGGAATTACAATTTTTCGTATTGATAGCCAATCAACACGCCTCTCTCTTAATGATGAACCCCTACCACCATCTGGTGACTTTTTAAGATCAGTTTTCTGGAGCCTTATAAACGCCCTTCTCCACGATAATATCTACTGTTTTAAATCTGACCTTTTGCAGAATTGAAGAGGGTCTCGACCCAGAAGACGTCTTCATAAAACCTGAACAACCCAAGTAAGTGTACTGTTCTATGCAATACAGTTTCATGTTAAATATTGAGATAAGCAGGGATATTCTGGATATCAGAAGAAAGAAAGAAATTGAAAGACTGCTATGCTAACAATTTCTTTGGTACACTTTTATGTGAGAACATGTTGACTGTATATCATTTGACAATGAAACGATTTCTAACTTTTCCCATGGTTTGCATTCATTTTAGAGGCAATATGCATATGTAAAGACTATAACCAGCAGCAGATTTGATGTTTTTTGCAGGTATTCTTAAGGAGTGATTTTTCTCCCATTCTTTTCTGATTACATGACCTGCTTTGGAGGGAGGGGGGAGAATACCAAGGAATAATGCTAGTTTTCATTCGTATCACTGCCAGAGTTTTATTAAACTCTCTAAAAGCAACACTTTGAAGATTTAAAAAAAAAACACTATTGTTTTGACTGTTCCTGACATCATTATGTTACCTTCAAGATGTTTCTGAATTTGTCAATAGCCTGAGTTATCAACTTTGCTTTTGCTACAGTGAGTTAAATTGTTTACTTGCTACGGAACAATAATTTGCATCAGATGTGTGGGTGATGTGTAGAAAAAAAAGGATGCTATAGAAATATGCCTGTGTAGTAAACCAAAGCACAACCAGGTTATACTATATACCGAAATATTTTTCGCTCAGTCAAACTTTTGCCCTTCGCCGATGAAATACATTTTTGTCCTGTGTTGATTTTGCCCTTCACATTTCATTATCGTGTATATTATGTTGTTTACTTATATTAGCTGTAGTAATATATTTCCCCTCATCTTAAAGGGTGAAAAAGACAAAAATTAAACTGGATCAAAAATTTCCCGGTATACATACATCATAATTTGATAGCAGGATATTGACTCATCATTCATTGTACGAGTAACAAAATAAGCTGCAACAAGCTTGTGTGATCAATGTTATGTGATGGAAGACTCAAAGTTTACCTATATGTTGTTGTTGCAGGGAGAAGAATGTGATTGAAGCTGCAGCAGGGGGAGCATCTGCCTCCATCAAACTCGTGGCTAACATCGCTGCCAACCTTATTGCCTTCCTGGCCATGCTGACGTGTGTTAATGCCATCCTTGCCTGGTTTGGTAGCTTTGTCGGTATCACCAACTTTTCCTTCCAGGTGAGGATTTTAATGGATATATAATATTTACTAAATACTGTATATTAAAGTGCTGAAAGCAGTAACAGAGCTTCCAATCTAATGCTTTTTTGCTTTTTTAAATCTGTTTTTTTTAGCCCCCCATCATCAGATGGTGGGCTATTCACTTCACCCTCTGCTGGTAGTCCTTCAATCCGACCGTCTTTAAAAAATTCTTGTTAGGTGGCCATCTTGAATTATGATGGATATTTCTCAAAATTCAAAATTCAAAATGGCTATCTGATGACATCCGTTTTTTGCGATCAGTTTTAAAAATCAATTTGGACCTAAGTAGGGACCATTGGGAACGGAACCTACATGTTCATGTCAAATTTGAAAATGATTCCTCCAGTACTTTATGAAAATGGTTTAGTTGGGCTACATATGTTTGTTTGTGCTTTTCATATCCTATTATCAGCTATGGTCATTTAAGGATGTCCTAAGAAATAGCGCAAACAAACTTCAATTCCCTAATTCAAGATGGCCATTTTGGTGTTCCTGATCAGTCCCAAAATTTGATATGCATAACTATGGGGAACCTTCATGTGAAATTTAAGTGTGATCCCTCAGGGTACTTATTGAGAAATAGCACAAACAAACTGAAAAGTTAAAGATGGCCACCTTTCGGCTGACTTCCGGTTTTCCAATCAGTTCCAAATAGCACTAACAAGAACTGTTTAAAGACAGATGGAATGACAGACGGACCACAAACCAAGGGTGATTTCAATAGCCCACCATTGAAGTCAGATGATGGGCTAAAGATTCCAATTGACCAATAAATCACATCTGCTGATTATGAATAATCAAAATACTTTTGGCCTGAAACATGCTGGAATAAGAAAAATAACAAGTTTGTTTAAATAAATGTATGAACTTGACCAACTTGGATGAGCCCATTAGAAAAATTAGAGCCGTGTAAAATCTTCTAAAACAAATCTTTATTTAAGTTGCAGAGAAAAAACATTTAGATTGTTAGTTATAGCTTACATGCCATTGACATTGGTGTTTATTGACAATACTGTTTCATGTGTATACTAACTGAGAATAGGTAACACAAATCACAATCCTTTTATATAAATGGAAACAGGAATAAATAAAAATGCAGTTTGATATTGTTAGATAAAGAACATCAAATTGTTTCCTGCTTTTAACCCATCATCAATATCCAAGATCTGGTCTTTTCAATTCGTAATCTTTCTTTCGTCTGTAAAAAGGTTTTTAGCCCAACATCATCAGATTCAAATCACCCTGCCTCAGTGGTCAGTCACCCAACATTCTGTCCATCTGATCTTAGATACATCTTTTTTCTTTCACAGAAAGTGTTTTGAGGAATATTTATCAAACAAATTAATGAAGATTTCCCAAGGTTAAGTTAATTAATTTGTTGGTGAAGGGATGGTATTCCTTACCTAGTGCAGAAAGATACAGCTTACCAAAAGTAATCCCCACCCCTTCCTGAAGTCAGTTAATTGTTTTTGCAAACTACATCTAGCTCAATTATTCCTGGTCATAAAATTCTGTAGGACGAGGGAAATATTGGCTGATAGTCTGATAAACTGGTAGCTTCATGACGACGATTATCTTTGTTTCACCCCAGATGATCTGTTCGTACTTGCTGATGCCGGTGGCATATCTGATGGGAGTGGATTGGAATGATGCTGGTGTAGTGGGGGAGCTGATCGGGGTCAAAACCTTCCTGAACGAGTTCATTGCCTACAGTGAACTAGCCACCTACATCAAAAACAGGGAGCTCTGCCTTGTAGGCACATCCATGTCTGTAAGTATACCAGTATTTATCCTGAAGTAATCCCATGCCTGGTAATAAGCCCACCATTGTAAGCCTTGTATAGGCACAGCCATGTCTGTAAGTATACCAGTATATAACCTGAAGTAAACCTATGCCTGGTAATAAGCCCACCAATGTAAACCTCGTAGGCACATCCATGTCTGTGAGTATACCAGTATTTGTCCTAAGATAAGCCCATGCCTGGTAATAAGCGCACCCTTGTAAGCCTCGTAGGCACATCAATGTCTGTAAGAATACCAGTATTTGTCCGAAAATAAACCAATGCCTGGTAATAAGCCCACCCTTGTAGCCTCGTAGGCACATCCATGTCTGTGAGTATACCAGTATTTGTCCTAAGATAAGCCCATGCCTGGTAATAAGCGCACCCTTGTAAGCCTCGTAGGCACATCAATGTCTGTAAGTATACCAGTATATAACCTGAAGTAAACCTATGCCTGGTAATAAGCCCACCCTTGAAAGCCTCATAGGCACATCCAAGTCTGTAAGTATACCAGTATTTGCCCCAAAATAAGCCCATGCCTGGTATTAAGCCCACCCTTGTAAGCCTCGTAGGCACATCAATGGCTGTAAGTATACCAGTATTTGTCCTAAATTAAACCCATGCCTGGTAATAAGCCCACCCTTGAAAGCCTCATAGGCACATCCATGTCTGTAAGTATACCAGTATTTGTCCTAAAATAAGCCCATGCCTGGTTATAAGCCCACCCTTGTAAGCCTCGTAGGCACATCCATGTCTGTAAGTATAACAGTATTTATCCGAAAATAAGCCCAAGCCTGGTTATAAGCCCACCCTTGTAAGCCTCGTAGGCACATCCATGTCTGTAAGTATAACAGTATTTATCCTGAAGTAAACCCATGCCTGGTTATAAGCCCACCCTTGTAAGCCTTGTAGGCACAGCCATGTCTGTAAGTATACCAGTATTTGTCCTAAAATAAACCCATGCCTGGTAATAAGCCCACCATTGTAAGCCTTGTATAGGCACAGCCATGTCTGTAAGTATACCAGTATTTGTCCTAAAATAAGCCCATGCCTGGTAATAAGCCCACCCTTGTAAGCCTCGTAGGCACATCCATGTCTGTAAGTATACCAGTATTTAACCTGAAGTAAACCTATGCCTGGTAATAAGCCCACCAATGTAAACCTCGTAGGCACATCCATGTCTGTAAGTATACCAGTATTTGTCCTAAAATAAACCCATGCCTGGTAATAAGCCCACCCTTGTAGGAACATCCATGTCTGTAAGTATACCAGTATTTATCCTGAAGTAAGCCCATGCCTGGTAATAAGCCCACCCTTGTAAGCCTTGTAGGCACAGCCATGTCGGTAAGTATACCAGTATTTGTCCTAAAATAAGCCCATGCCCAGTAATAAGCCCACTCTCGTAGGCCTTGTAGGCACAGCCATGTCTGTAAGTATACCAGTATTTATCCTGAAGTTAGCCCATGCCTGGTAATAAGCCCACCGATGTTAAGTACTGTTTAATAGAACTACTAGCCTGTGCTATTTCATGGTCCTGAAATAAGCCCCCAACCCCTTTATTGAGGTTGTGTTTATTTGTTCCCCCCTCCCCTGGGCTTATTGCAGGATAATTACAGTAATATTTTCATTGCATTTTCTGTTAAATGACAAAACGTCTTAAAATGAAAGAGTAAAATGTATATGGATGCTGCTAATGTTTTTCCGAATCAATGTACTGATTTCTGAACATTTTCTTGAATTGTCTCTCTTGCTGCAAACCCTCTTTGTAATGAAAAAATTTACCTGGACAAATCGTGGCAGTAATAATGAATTTCTGTATATGCTACAATATATATTTGTATGGGGTCCCTGTAAAAATTGTTATGTAGGGGTATTATGGCATTGCAAACTCCTTGCAAATTTTCAGTAGATTTGAAATAAATACAAAATATTTCTTAAAAACCATTTAAATGGCATGGTTATGCAAAATGGGTAGTTGAGTGGTGCAGAGGATAGTGCACTTGCCTCTACCAAGACAGCCGGGTTCAATTTCCCGATCAGACGTGAAAAGGTGGGTTTTCTCCGGATACTCTGGTTTCCTCCCACAATAAGATCCCCCTGTGCACTAACATCTGGGCCAACAAGAGTGATTAATATACGTTGAAACAACTTGTTTCATAGTTGTTGTAAAATAAATAAAAGTTTATAATATATGGTATGCAATATCTTGCACAAAGGCGATTTTGGTTTACAATTTCCTTACAGCTGTTATCTTACCTTTCCAGGTGAGGTCAGAGGTGATTGCCACCTACGCCTTGTGTGGTTTCTCTAATCTTGGCTCCATAGGGATCATGTTGGGAGCCCTGGGCCCCATGGCCCCTAAACGTAAGGGTGACATAGCTACTGTAGTGATGCGAGCACTCCTAGGGGGCATCGTCGTCTGTCTCCTCACTGCCTCCATTGCAGGTAAGAAAATGAGTACCAAACAAAACTGTTTAGGCTCAGGGGCCAATTCACTTGTTTAAATTTGTTAAAATTTGTTAAATTTATAATTTTCGCGAAGCAATAAAATTCTTCACCAAGATTGAAAATAACTAGTTATCTTGTTTAACATTGCATTTGAAAATGCCCTTTTATGGTATTTTGTATAGAATTTAATATAACCTGTGTATCACTAATTTGTATAATTGATTTCTTTTTTAAGTCCCCTAAAAGAAGTTTAGAGACTTACTGTTTTTGCACCATTTCTTATTTCTTCTACTTTCTTTTGTCGATATGGTTTCTGACTCTTTTCTTCAAAAGTATTTGGTAGATTTTTATGAAACTTGTTGATGAATGGAAGATGGATGGTGTGGAAATGACTTTGTTCTGTTTTTCATCAATATGGCCGCCACGGCGCCTGATTGGTCAATATTTAGATATCGACAGATTTTGCTCAAATTTAGTAAGGAATGTGAATAATGGTACTGCGAACACTATATGCTGCCACTTTCATTAGGAGCACTTGTCTTAAAATCAAATTTGTTTTTTATTCGTCAGGATTGTTAGTGACAGAGTTTCCTGCCCCTCCTTCCTGTCTGATGCAGAACATTACGTCTTCCATCTTGCCAGGAAATACCACCGCTGAGACGGTGCTAAATGTCACGCTGTCTGGACTAACAGACTTGCCAACAGTCTACAATACATCACTACCGGCATTATAACAAAGGTCTTCTTTAGGCCCTTAATGAGTGTAGTTTGCTTTTATAGAACGCAGTAGGATCATTTAGATTTTTCATAATATTTCCATTTAGTGTGAATTTGTTGGTTTTTTTTATTTTTTTTCTTTTTCCACTTTTTTTGTCTTTTTATTTTATGAATTGACAATTTAGTCAGATGAAATCCAAAACTGGGTCCAATCATATCAATCTTGCCTTAGTTAGAAACATGAAATTGAATATGAATACTCGAGGATTCAGTATTGTCAGCATTGGTCAAAGCAAAAACAACATGACTTCAGTTTCAAAATTATTTGTCCTGAAATACAAAACAAATGTCCGTCTTCATGTGACCTTATAGCTGTTGTGAGGACGTTAAACTCTGTACAAACAAAATCCATCAACTGTTCAAGCTTCAAACCTTGATTAACCCAGTTTAGGATGTTATACATATAAAACTTTTTTTTTATGAATGTTTATATCAAATTGGTATTGCAGTAAACCATTGTCCACTGGCAGATAATTGTCTTATTGACATTCAACTACATACAATCTACTTGCATAATATATCAATTAAATTTTATCTGAAGGTTAAAAATAATTTCTTTTTCGTCTTGTGCTTTCCAAATGTTTAATTTTAAAAGTTCACTTGTATTATTGTTGTTGTTATCTTGTTTTCATTTGTTAAGTAGTTAAATAATGTTAATCTTTCAGTAAAACTTAACCTTTGGTACTCTAGCACTTTCATATTCCCCTTGTGTTAAATTGCTGTGGTAGAGTCAGTTTTGTTTTGTTAAATAGAGATATAGTGTGAACATATTTTAAATTCTACCTTTCAGATCCACTATGCTTTACACATGTAACGTACACTATGTTTAGTGTATTATCATTTTATCTGCCAAGTTAATGATAAGTCCAGTACTGAACTGGTATTGGTTCCGACAGGGCATATATTGTAAAACATATTCTTGTATCCCAGAACCGGTGTGTCTGTTTTTAAATGTAATATTTTCTGGTGTAAAACCTAGAGGACTTGCAAATGTGTATGCAGGCCTTGCAAGGCTTTGTCCATGTTCGCCTGAAAGCAGCATCAGATTACTAGGTCCAACCTTTTTCATAAACGAACAACTCTAGTCCAACCGTTTGGATCGCGATACACGAATGCGGCCTAGAATACCCAGAGTAAACCCACTTGGCGGGGCAGGTTTCCCCCACACCCCAGAGAAAACCCACTTGGCGGGGCAGGTTACCCCCACACCCCCTCTACTCCAATAAAGTGAGAGGTTTAACATAGCAAAATACGTTTAACTGTCGGCATTATCATATCCAATTACAAAAGTAGCTGACCAGCAGCCTCTTTTGTATAGGATTAGTAACTAATAGATATACCCCCCACCCCCACCCCAACCTTTTCATGTCCGATCAGGGAATGAAACCCTGACCATCTTGGTGAAAGGGGAGTGTGCTATCCACTGCGCCACCTGACTGCCATTAAATTAGTTGATTTTTAAACAGACAGTAGGTCATATACTGTTAACATGACTTGTCTTCAGAATGTAAAATTAAAGGTATTAGACAATATACAAGTAATACTAATATTTTCACACGTTTAAACAAGAGAAAGTCTACACATTATTCCTGCCACTTCATCAAAACATCAGCAAATTCCGGGCATTATATCTCCTGAAAGGAATATGCAAGTTCAAAATTTTAATGAACATTTTTTTCAGGCTTTTTTCTCTAAAAATCTTGTGTCGTGCAATAATCACAATATTATATTTGTACACTAGGAACACTGTTTTTAATGAAGTCCATTCCAACACTTTTAATTTCATGTTGCTATAAAAGAAAAAGAATTGTGCCATATGAAAATTTGTATTACTACCATTTTAGATGTTCCCAATTTTCCCGGTGATTATCTGTGGATTTTTGTTTCTTCATTCTGATCATTACATTGTAAGAGTAATATAAATGTTCTGTTTTTAGTTCAATTTGGGTAAACTTTGATACAATATACACATATTTTTTCTCATCCCTAAACATGTTTGAGGTCAAGTTGGGACACCAATGACATGAGGTCATGCTATTCTGACATGATGAAATTGAAACTGAAATAGACAATCAAACAAACTAGCCTGAAATAATGGATTAATTTTTCTGCAGAACACAAAGATGTGTGGGCATGCTGAATCTTGCTGACCATTTAGTTTTCGTTCGAATAACTCCAAGTGGAAAAGTTAATCATTTTTACAATCGTAGCCAATCCAAATCCTTCTATGGTTTCTGAGCAAACTTTGACGATCAAAATGAGAGAAAATAAATTACGGCATGTCCAGAGGTTTAGGATATGGAATTTAAAATAACACCCAAAGGATTCTCTTATAAATTGGGGTAAAAGCTTTGAACCTGGGGTGGTATTTACCCATCCTACATCCATGGACATGAACGAGTCTTATAGTACATGTATTTACTTGCAGTAGAATTATTTTGTTTTGCCATGCGTATCTAATAACATTAAGATGTGTCTCGTCTTTCCTTGTACACTGTTTTGATCATATCATTATCATCACAGATGAAATATACCTGGGGAAAGTAGGAATTATGTCATCAAGTAATGTTTTTGTGCATAAATTGTTTATTAAATATCATAAAGTTCATTTATATTTCAATTTACAATATTTTTCAGTATTGATTTTGTCAAATAAGAAACTTTGACTTCAGTAGAACATGTGCTAGGTTTAAAAAGTAATATTATTTATTAACTAGGAAAACACTGAGATTTCAAGATGGTTACTGTAAGTTTTAGCGGACTCAAATTTTAGCGTAGTATCAAATTTCAACAGCTTAATTAGCGCATTGAGGGATTGACACACTCGCAATATATGCAATAAGAAATTGTATACAGAAAATTTAATTGGCGCAGTCATAATTTAGCGCAAAATTTAGAGTGTGAAATGCGCTAAAATTATATTACCACTTAAATATGTACGTTTACAGTATTCAAAAACTGTTTATACTGGTATATCTTCTTCACTGCCAATAATCAAAAAATGCATTTTATAATAGTATCGTGTTAAGTACCTTTAAAACAATTAAAATGATTATTTCTTTATTAAGATCTTGTATTCCGTCTTTGATTATTACGTCATTTGTTTGTGAGAGTAACGTCATCAATTTTTGAGGAAACAACGTAATTTTCTCACACAAACCAATGACGTAACAATCAATACCTGCTCACAAGAGAAGATAACTCTGCAATACGCAAAAGACGGAATAGCAACAGATTTTTTATGCCCGTGAAATTGTCTTGTTTTCATATTTGCAATCATTCCAGAGGAAGAATCTCATAATTACGTTTTAATATTGGTTGCTAATTATCATATGTTAAACCTCCGAGCTTATATCCAGACCAAGAATCTCATCGCCATGCTTTCATTTTGGTGACTAATTGTTACTAACATTGTACTGTACTACATGTTACTACTTTGTGATAGAGTTTGTTTCATCGTTAATTGTCTAAACTAAATTTCACAGCAAATCAATTTCCTTTTCTCAATAGACATTATGCAGTAATACACTGTGGAAGCAGAGCCAAGTATTCCTCAGTCTTTCCCTGGTCTCGGCATGGGCGCCTTTGTAGGAGAGGTCATTATTTTTTCATTTACTCCACATAGGTCAAACTGCATGTATCTGGCTTACTATATATAGCTAATCAGATGCCCTACCAAACGAGCTAGCTAAGTCGGTAGGAAGCAGCTAGTTTATTATCGGGGTAAAATCTACAACATATTTTGGTATAATGAACTATTAAATCATTTCAATACCCTGGGATTCGTACAAAATGTGTTTTAGTGTATTTGTATAACCTGAATGAAGTGTCAATAAGTTTATTTATTTTTGCTTTAATACACATGAATCATACCGTTTAAGATAGTTCAACGTGGCGGCATAACATGTATTTAATACACATGCATCTTTTTAGCTCACCTGCCCGAAGGGCAAGTGAGCTTATGCCGTACCGCGTTGTCCGTCTGGCGTCAACTTTTCCCTTTAAAAGCCTTTATCTCCTGAACGACTGATTTGATTTTAACTTAATTTGATATGAAGCATCCTTGGGACCAGGGGCTCAATGGATTTATGAAATAAGGGTGTGGCCCCCTAGGGGGTTTAGTTAGGGCCAAAAAGGGGAAAATTTAGAAAAAAATAAAAAATCTTCTTCTCCATTTCAAGAAATGCGAAAAACAAATACTACTAATAGTTGTAAAGGCCTTTGGGTGGTTTATAAAAAATGTGATTTTCATGTCTCCTAGCCCCACCGTTTGTTCCTGGGGAGGAGGTGAAGTTTAGTATAGTTTATATAGGAAATAAACATAATAGGCCATATCTTCCATTGTTTTGAACGGAAGTTGTTCATATTTGACAGAAATACTTGTTAGGGGAGGGGGTCTGCAGGTCAATTTTTTGTAACCCTAACCCCCCTAGAGGGCTGGGTTTAGGGTGAAAAAGGAGGCGAATTTCAAAAATCTTCTTCTGCAGTTCCAGAAATGCTAGTATCAAATACTAGTTGTAATGGCTTTCGAGTGGTTTATATACTTTGTGATTTTCATGTGCCCCAGGTCCCTCGTTTGCCTTTGGGGAGGGGGTAAAGTTTGGTATTGTTTATATAGACAATTCGACAATGAACAGCCTCACATACTTTTTATCTCCAACCCAACTTATGTGCTAGTAATAGTAACAACCTTAATTCTTTATGAATTATAAAGTCTCCATAGTAACGCTTCCAAGTTCTTACCCTACATGTCTGAAGTGGTTATAAATTGGCATTACAGAGCAAATGTAAATATTGTGCCATGATTGCTTAAATAACCAGGTGAACGATACAGGCCCCCTGGGCGTCTTGTTTATGATAGTATTTGTATAATTTTATTTTGTGTTTCTGTCTCACAGGGTTTACAAAGAAAAATCCATTTAAGAACATGAGATTATTTTATATTCCATCACGCATGAATCATACCGTTTAAAATAAATAAATGTGGTGGCATAACATGTATTAAATACACATGCATCTTTTTTTATGACAGTATTTGTATTATTTTATTTTGTGTTTCTGTCTCACAGGGTTTACAAAGAAAATCCATTTAAGAACAGGAGATTATTTTATATTCCATCTTAACTTTTATGTTATGGTTCTTTTTGACCTAAATATCTTAATTCTAGTGCATCATATTGTACAACACTTTATACTTTCTAGTGGTGATATCACTCATGTGGTTTTGTATGTGTGTGGTGGGTGTGTTTTAACTATTATGTTATGGTTCTTTTTGACCTAAATATCTTAATTCTAGTGTATCATATTGTACAACACCTTATACTTTCTAGTGGTGATATCACTCTTGTGGTTTTGTATGTGTGTGGTGGGTGTGTTTTAACTATATTGTTATTGATATCATTATGCCATTTCAATGCATTGCTTGATGTAAATGTATTACACTGTATGTGCCTTAATAATGTAGTCCTTGACCTTTAGTGGAGAGTAAGTCAAATTCCAGACTGTTCTAATACATTTGGTTTCCTCATTTTAAAGATTCTTAAGTTGCCAACCACTAAGGCAAGGACAAATTCTATTAATCATATTTTCACCAATCTTACTACTTTTGTTTCTGCTGCCCAAATCATCCCCCAAGGAAAACTTGAGGAATTATAATTTAAGATTTAAAACTTGGATTATCAAGAGTTTGGAAAGTTTGCAAGGTTCATCTACTTTAATAGCAAACCAGAGATAAATGTTCAATACCCCAAACATATCCTTCGATTAATTGTTTGCCTTTTATATGACGTGGTACATTTGTATTATAAATGTATGACATGTTTTCATGTCTTGTGTGTTTATCTGTCAACATATCAATATATTTGTTATCTTATCTGTTTGAGTTTAAAGAAGTTTTGCTATTACCAATGCCATTCTTAATGTATGCATGATATTGCAAAAATGGACTTTTTTTGCAGATTATGCGTCAAATGTACATAAACAAAAACATACAGACTGTATATTGCAGCTATGTTGCCTGTGCAAACAATTCCACACCTTGAATGGTTTTAGAAATCGAAATGCAAAACAAAAATGTCTGTTTCTGATTTCTTGTTTACTATTATTCTCCATGTGATATCATAATCTTTTGTGTTTTTTAGCTTTCGTGTGATAATTTGAAATTTTTCACTGTAGTTCATTGCACTTTGCTTTTTGTATCGTTGTTATGTTGTAAATCATTTTTTGTATTTTTACTGCCTATTTCTCTGCAACAGTGTTTAGGTATAGAACTTCTGTGAGGTAAAATACACTATACCACCTGGCAATACTGCTGAAGTGTAAAAAGAATAGTATATCTCATCAATTTAAGATGGTTGAGAATGCACTGCACTTCAGTCGTGAAAACTTTGAATTTCTGGATTTGCTTAACTTCAGATAAGCTAGAAAACATTTAATAGGTGAAAATGTGTTATTCCAATAAACTTCATTTAGGATATGCAAATCCTAAGGCGTCTGTATCATCCTGAAATAATGTAATGACTCAGAATTACCTTGCTATTATGAATACCTACATTCTCATGTACTCATGTGTATTAACAAACTATTTTACATTTTCTTAACACTGAACTCTTCTTAAAAGGAGATTCTTGACACAGAAAGCCAGCACATATCCTTAATTCAAAAAGCTTGGTTTGGACACTAATTAAGTGTACTGAAAAGCAAGGTTATATTTTATCATTTATGCATTGCAGTTAAATATTTTTATGGGGACTAATCATTTGATATCATTGCTATTAAAAAAGCAAGGTTTTATTTATTACTTAATTCTGGTGACATATTTTTATGGGGACCAATAATTTGATATTATTTGTCCCTGGTGACAACAGGGACAAAATTCCACTGAACACATTTGTGTGTTAGTAGAAATTTACTTTTAGGCAGATTTATATTCTTCAACAACTAAACAGAAATGAATAAAAAACAGTTTTTCAATCTTTGTTTTGTTAATTTGTCACGATGGTAGAACATTCCTGAAGCTGAAATATGACAAACCCCTAATATTAATGAGAATTTGATCAGATCCTCTTATTAGCTCGAACCAATGTCTTCTAACATCTTCACTGATGGAATTTCACCAAATTAGACAGGAAACCTTCTGTGGGGAGACTCAAAATTGGAGTTAAAGGGCCGAGTCAAAAGGGGATAATTTGGCCATATTAATCTTAATGAATAAGACTATTCCTCAAGAACTATGTGAAGGATATCAACCATATTTGATTGAAAGTATAGTTTTATTCAGGTGGTTAGGCTCAAAATTGTAAAAATTGGGGGCGGGGCCTAATTATGCAAAACATAATTGTCATGAAATGAACCAACTCCCTGCGTCCCTGATGCAGCAGATGTATTAAAATACAATATGATGTTAAAATTGCTTCTAAATTGTGAGAGAATCATTTTCATGCTAATTTATGAATCAATTTATGAAACAATTTATTCCAGAACACATGAATATTGGACATGTATATATATTTTGCGGTAATTATTATCGTGAAATAAAACGTTTACACAAATTGGCGGGTAAGGAACATCTTGAAAATAATCATCACTGTAAATAAAGTGATAAATATTTCGATGTTAATCTCATAAATAAAACTTTCCTCGAAATCTGTTTTCATAGTTCATCCATAATTGACAAGATACCGGTAGTTGAAAACACTTCACAAAGCATGCAGATATTATGCAATACAAATTTTATCAATTGAGAACGCAGTTCACAAGCATACGTAGACAGCATCGATTGCTACCTAAAAAGTCAAATCATACTAGGTATGTTTCCGTCACAGTTCAAAGGCCGGGAAATATGCTTTGGAAGGATCCAGCAGATCAATTAGGAAATATATGGTACCTGCCATACCTGGAAAAAAAATACAGAATCTACAAATTTTCAAATAGATGAATACAGCAAGTTAAATATTTTTATAAAGGTACTTATATGGGCCATGGTCACAATTATGAAAACAAGAGTTCCAGAAGGTCTTTATCGGATTATCGCTCACCTGGATATTTGAGCGATCATGGGAAATATTCTCAATAGAATTAATTTTGCATATACTTCCATTTATTTAGTATCTTTGTCTTAAGAATGTTCAAGATTAAATGAAACTTTATGCTACTCTATCCCAGCATGCTACTGGTAAAGTGTCATCACCAAAGGCCCACTGGTAGTGCAGAAGAAGTTGTTTTATACTAGTAAAGGGTTGTTTTTATATATTTGACCCCTTTGTGCCAGGTGAGCTATAAAAAGGAAATGTGTGTTCCCTGTTATCCAACTCAACCAAATTGTTTATAGGTGAGTTTTTGGATCCTGTAAACCTATTTTTTAGAGCAGTTTACAGTTGTGCTAAAGCTATTTATAACAAACCAAACCAGTGATTTTCTATTTAAGGTATAGTAATGCATTTTGAGTTGCTATACTGGTGATTGAACATGAAATTTGATTTAAAATTGAGACTGTAGGTCAAGGCACCAACAACAGCTTACCATCCCCATTCTAACACAATTCAATAAATACTCTGTTTTAGAAAACAATGGAAGAGTCTTTTGCACTATTCCTCGCAAGAAAAACCCTGCATGTAATTCCATAGCTTCCACTAAGTACCGAAAACAATTCAATTCACTATATGCAATGCATTCAAATCTTAGGTGTCTCCTGGAATAAAGGAAAAGGTATGTTTAGATAACTAACCTTCAAACAGTGAGAATGGGGTGTCGGCCGTATGACATCCATGTTTTTCATAGTCAAAGCACCATTCCGCAAACTATAGTTAACAACATAAGAACATATGAGTTACATGTACCAAACCAATATTTGGTTCAAAATTGAAAGATTTCATTTATGACAACCCCCCACTGCTCCTATAGGACATGGAAGAGATCAAAATCAATCTGCCACCTCTCTTTGCAACAGTTTGGATATTTCTCTTTTCTTATCTTTCCTAATTACTCTTTCTTTCCTCTCACTCTCTCTCTTTGTTGCATCTCCCTAGGGACGCATCTTTATGCAACCCGGCTGTTATGAGGACGTTAAACACTGATCAAAAACACTTCTTGATGACAGTTAAAGGATGAAGAGATATACAGGTAATATTCATTATCAAATCGTGTTCTATTTTAGTATGGCAAGAAAAATAAATCTCAGCATCAACACACAATCACAAAATGGAACAAAGTTGATAGGAAAATATATATAAAGAAAATATCAGAAACAAAGAGGCACTTAAAACCATTAACTAATATAACAGATGGATTATTTGTTATATCTTATCAACATACCTGTACTTTATTTACTCTACATCAAACTGATATATTAAACTAAATCTATCTTTGCTTTTGCCCTTATTTTACTATCCAGGGAATGAGTCCTCTATCAGTTGTGTGTTAAGTCTGAAAACTAATATAAAGCATTCCTGTGAACTCACTCCCTCTGGTAGATATATATGCCTGGTTTTTCTTCTTCTTCTATGTACAGGAATTCCTAGTTATCATTCACTTGTTTTGAAAAAAGATTTCTGGTTGCAACTGAGTAATTATAGGTAGAGATTTTACTATTTGTAATAAACTTACTTTGTATGCCTTGTAGAGATACTCCTGGTTGCTGGTCAGTTTGTACATAGTCAGAAAAGCGTAGGCGTTGCCAGCTGTACCATGACAGATTCCGTACCCCTTCTTTAGAAGTCCACGTTCCCATATCACGTCTGCACATTTCTTGGCTGCGTCCAGGTATTTGGAGTCTGTAAACGTCTAAAGTAAAATACAACAAATGTATATTGTCTTTTTGAATTAATAACATACTAATTAATGAAATATTGTTTAATTTATATATTCATTACATAAAATGTAGTAGGTTTGTTTGTTTTTAATTTTTCTCCTGTATTATTTTCTTGATCGTAATTAAATTATCTTCTTAAATATTTTAACACAAAAACTCAACAGCAGAAATGCACATGAACTTGATCTGAAAATGGTAGCTGAAACAGAAAAACATAAGGAAGTATAATTAGGCATTTGTTTTTGACAGGTATAGTAACATTAGGGTTATAGACAGAGTCACTAAACACAGGGTAACTGATAAATAGTCAGGAAGTCACTATAGACAGGAGTCGCAATACACAGGAAGTCACTATAGACCGGAGTCACAATACACAGGAAGTCACTATAGACCGGAGTCACAATACACATGAAGTCATTATAGACTGGAGTCACAATACACATTTAGTCACTATAGACCAGGTTCACAATACACAGGAAGTCACTATAGACCGGAGTCACAATACACAGGAAGTCACTATAGGCCGGAGTCACAATACACATGAAGTCATTATAGACTGGAGTCACAATACACATTTAGTCACTATAGACCAGGTTCACAATACACAGGAAGTCACTATAGACAGGAGTCACAATACACACTAAGTCACTATAGACCAGAGTCACAATACACAGGAAGTCATTATAGAGCAGAGTCACAATACACATGAAGTCACTATAGACCAGGTTCACAAAACACAGGAAGTCACTATAGACAGGAGTCACAATACACACGAAGTCACTATAGACCAGAGTCACAATACACAGGAAGTCATTATAGAGCAGAGTCACAATACACACGAAGTCACTATAGACAGGAGTCACAATACACAGGAAGTCACTATAGACAGGAGTCACAATACACATGAAGTCACTATAGACAAGGTTACTACAGAAAGGAAGTCTAAAGATCAGAAGTCAACTGAGACAGAAAGCCACAAGATACATGAGTCAATGCAGATAGTGTCAATATAGACAGAATGGAACTTAAGACAGGAAGTCTCCATACACAGAAAGTCCAATACACAGTCGGGTAACTTACAGAAAGGAAGTCTAGAGCTTGTAAGTCAATTGTGACAGATAGTCACAATATACAGTAATCAATGCAGATGGTGACAATATAGACAGAATGAAACTCCCAATAAACAGGGAGTCACTTTACACAGGAAATAAGAATACATATGGTAACTTAATAGAAATCTAGAGATCGGAAGTCACTATACACAGGAAGTTGTAAAACAGATGGTCACTTTATACAGGAAGTCATTATACACAGGAAGCCATAAACAGAATGTCACTAAATACCAGAATATCATATACAGGAAGTCACTACAGGCAGAATATCATACACAGGAAGTCGCTACAGGCAGAATATCATAATACCTCAAGAATCATCATAGACAGAACAAGAGGCCCAGAGGGCCTGTATCGCTCACCTGGATATCTAGTAAGCAATCATGGTAAAATATTCTCCAAATGAGATCCAAGGGAATATGCCAGACCCCAAGGCCAATCCTTGTAGCATATCTGTATTCGATTTTGTATGCCCAGCAATTTTAGGTATGGTTATGGGGTGGGGATCTCAACTGTTTCCAAGATGTGACTCAGAAACTAGGTCCATAGGGTTGTGGCCAGACCCTAGGATCAATTCTAATATCATGACTGCATTCGTCTCTTTTTGCCCAGCATTTGTATTTATAGTTTTGGGGTGGGGATCTCAAGCGTTTCAAAGTTATGACCCAGGGGTTAAGTCTGCAAAAGTGGGGTGAACCCGGGGGTCAATTCTAATATCATGACTGCATTCGTCTCTTTATGCCCAACAATTGCATATATAGTTTTGGAGTAGGGATCTTAACCATTTCAAAGTGATGACCTAGGGGTTGAGTCACCAAGGGTGGGGCAGACCCCAAGGACATGCGTGAAACATATGTGCATTCATCTCTTTATACTCAGCAATTGTATATATGGTTATAGGGTGGGGATCTCAACTGTTTCCAAGCTGTGACTAAGAAACTAGGTCCCAAGGGGTTTGGTCAGACCCCAGGGTCTATTCTAATATCATGACTGCATTCGTCTTTTTATGCCCAGCATTTGTATATATAGTTTTGGAGTGGGAATCTCCACTGTTTCAAAGTTATGACCCAGGGACTGTCTCCAAGGGTGGGGCCAGACACTAGGGCTATTCTGATAGTAAATGTGCATTCTTCTCTTTATACTCAGCAATTGTATATATGGTTATATGGTAGGTGGGGATCTCAACCATTTCCAAGTAACAAACTTATTTTGGCCCCAACCCTTAGCCTGGGGGGTCAGTCCCACCATTTGTACAATTTTGAATCCTTGCCTCCCATGAATGCTTCAGACCAAATATGATTGATATCCATGGCACAGTTCTACAGAAGAAGTCTTTTATAGCAATATAGCCAAATTGCCCCCTTTTGGCCCTGCCCCTCAGCCCCCTGGGGGGCAGCCCCACCATTTGTACAATTTTGAATCCCCACCACCTAGGGATGCTTCCATTCAAATATGGTTGATATCCATCTCTTACCTAGTTCCAGAGAAGAAGTCGCTTAGAGTAATAAAACCAAATTGCCCCCTGCCCGTCAGCCCCACCATTTGTACAATTTTGAATCCCCACCACCTAGGGATGCTTCCAGTCAAATATCGTTGGTATACATCTCTTAGTTCCAGAGAAGAAGTCGCTTAAAGCAATATAGCCAAATTGCCCCATTTTGGCCCTGCCCCTCAGCCCCCTGGGGGGTCAGCTCCACCATTTGTACAATTTTGAATCATCACCACCTAGGGATGCTTCCAGTTAAATTTAGTTAAATTCCAATAAGTGGTTAAGAAGAAGAATTCGTTCAAAGAAATTGTTGACATACAGACGACGGACGGACGACGGATGCCACGGTATGGCATAAGCTCACCTTGGTCCTTCGGACTAGGTGAGCTTACAAACAATATAAACAGGAAGTTACTAAACAGAGAATGTTGCTATTCTCGAGAAGTTCTTTCTAAATTACCTTATACGCAGAGACAAACAGGTGAATCCAGCCTGGAGCTCCATGACACCAGTGTATAAGTTTGTCTCCATTTTCACTTTTCAGGGAAGAAGGTCCATTTCCAGATGGGTACCTTAAATCTAGCATATAGTCCACACTCGGCTTCACAAAGTCTATAAGCATGGACTTGTACTTCCCTGTGGGATCTTGAACCTGTAATGGGAAACCATTTAAGGTGTGCATTTATCAGCCCTGAGAGGCTTTGATATGCTTGATAGGATATGTAGAACCCCCAAATGTTCATTCAGGCACAGCTAAAATCTCAAAGTTTCATGGTGTGGGGTAAGTAATGTCAATCTCTACCCAGAGTTGTCCTTCCTAACACTCACTAACACCTCGCTCAATGGCTTTATTAAGAATCTTGGTAAAGTCTTGAAAATCTATTTAAACTATAGATATTGAGTCTGTCAGCAATGTTTAACATATAATCAATTGATTAAAAACTTCTCCCAAATATGTCACCATAAGACATTGTTCAACACAAAACTGATTTGATTATATTTGTATATGCCATTCATTGTACTGTGAATACGGCTTGGTATCTACGTTTGCCACATAGACAAAACCACATGTTGGATTCTTGATGAATGTAAGTGATTATATTATCAAAATTGCAAAGAAATATGAGCCAGGTTTTGGTTTTAAAGGAAGAACAAGTCGAAGCATTGGAATACATATTACAGAAAAAGTGACATTCTACTGGCCTAAATATGTTGTATGGTTCAACGCCACATGACCAAGTATCACATGATCAGAGGCTATAACTATAATGCAGACTATTTTTTAGCAGTTGACAGAGGTGTTAGTGAGTGTCAAGGATCGACGACAACTCTGGGTAGAGATTGAATTTATGTGTCGGACCTTTCAACATTTAAAAAAAAAATAATGCATATTGGGTAAATGTTTTATGTAGAATTAATTTTTCAGGCGAGACCTGATCGTCTTTTTCAAAATTTTGATGAGACCCATTACAAAAAGATATAAGAGGGTTTTACAAAACTTGCCTAGTCCCACAGTGAAAGCATTAGTCCAATGTACTCAAATATTTGAGTCCCAAAAATCAGTGAACATGACTGACTCTCAACCTCGAAGAAAATCATAAAAGTATTGTCTGCAAGACTTTAGCTTAGTAAAACTATAAAGTTTTGTTTCGCAATTTTCTACAAAAAGCAAGCGTGACTTTGACCTTGACATCATAAAATATAAACAAATTCCATGTGAAATACAAACTCAATCAAGTGGCCATCATATACCTGATGAGTTTTGTACTGCATATATATGAATGTATTTATTGACAAAATAATTATTTAAACTTTATTGATTATACAACATTTATGACCAAAACAAGTTCTATCAACTAAATTCAATTACTCATGTCGGCCCACATGTATTGTGCATGGTCTTATTGTGGGAGGAACTGGAGAACCCATCTTGGTTAAAGGAGTACCTAGAAAAAACCACCTTGTCAGACAGGTGACTCGTTTTCTTCTCACATCTTCAATCATGCGATTGGTTTTGAAAAAGGAAAGTGTGCTATAAATTGGACTGCGCCAACCGACCACCAAAGGTTAACAAAACAAAGACATATGAGGTTATTTTTTTTTTATTTTTTTATTTTTTTTTGCCTAATTAATACTTTTTTTTTTGATTTGACACTTTTTTATTTTCCTTTTTGCATAATATAATGACAACACAGTTTTACAACGGGGTACATGAATGTGAGAGAAAGTTTCAAATTGAACATATATTTGTTACACTCAGATTCTGCCTTGAAGAGCAGAGATATACTTTTGTTCAATTATATATGCTGCTGTGTTTAGTACAACTGGAGTACCAATACATACCTATATAGGAAAAAAGACATTTAATTTATTTTATACACATAATATGAGGTTAGGGTTACCTGCATCAGTGTGGTGAGTATTCCGGCCAGACCGTGAGCCGCACCCAGATAGTACTTGTCATGCCACTGGTACATCAGGGGGTGGTGGAACCCCTTCTCCCTCGACAGACCTCGCCCTCTGTCTATCACAGACTGGAAAATCTGTTAAAACAACGTCTGATTTGATGGCTGTGTGGTCTTGCAGATCAATGACTGAATGGTTTATTGGTTAATGAATCAATTCAGAAAGTTTTCTTTTTAAATTGGTGGTTACTTACTTTGTCTTTTTTATTCATTATTTTAAGAAATGTTACTACATGTATTTGTAAGTTGCCTCATCCAAACAAACCAGTAAATATTGGTTTTTATCTTGTGAGTCTCCCTAAATTTTGCTAAAAACAATCTGACTGAAGTTGTGTTTACAAATCTTATTTAATGTGTGTTGTGTAAAGTGGTTATGTAATGGTGATGTGAATAAGTGGTGTGGTGTGAATGGGTGAAGTGAATAAGTGGTGTGATGGAAATGGGTGATGTGAATAAGTGGTGTGGTATGAATGGGCGATGTGAATAAGTGGTGTGGTGTGAATGGGTGAAGTGAATAAGTGGTGTGATGGAAATGGGTGATGTGAATAAGTGGTGTGGTATGAATGGGCGATGTGAATAAGTGGTGTGGTGTGAATGGGTGATGTGAATAAGGGGTGTGGTGTGAATGGGTGATGAGAATAAGTGGTGTGGTGTGAATGGGTAATGTGAATAGGTGGTGTGGTGGAAATGGGTGATGTGAATAAGTGGTGTGGTATGAATGGGCGATGTGAATAAGTGGTGTGGTGTGAATGGGTGATGTGAACAAGTGGTGTGGTGTGAATGGGTGATGTGAATAAGGGGTGTGGTGTGAATGGGTGATGTGAACTAGCAGTGTTTGTGTGAATGGGGGATGTGAATAAGTGGTGTGGTGTGAATGGGTAATGTGAATAAGTGGTGTGGTGGAAATGGGTGATGTGAATAAGTGGTGTCGTGTGAATGGGTGATGTGAATAAGTGGTGTGGTGTGAATGGGTGATGTGAACTAGCAGTGTTTGTGTGAATGGGGGATGTGAATAAGTGGTGTGGTGTGAATGGGTGATGTGAATAAATGGTGTGGTGGAAATGGGTGATGTGAATAAGTGGTGTCGTGTGAATGGGTGATGTGAATAAGTGGTGTGGTCTGAATGGGTGATGTGAATAAGTGGTGTGGTGTGAATGGGTGATGTGAACAAGTGGTGTGGTGTGAATGGGTGATGTGAATAAATGGTGTGGTGGAAATGGGTGATGTGAATAAGTGGTGTGGTGTGAATGGGGGATGTGAATAAGTGGTGTGGTGTGAATGGGTGATGTGAACTAGCAGTGTTGGTGTGAATGGGTGATGTGAACTAGCGGTGTTGGTGTGAATGGGTGATGTGAACAAGTAACCAATGAAAATTAGTGTGATTTACCTAATTTTCTCAATGAACTTACTTTATATATTATAGAGTTGTCTATCGTGTCGGCCCCTAGATGGTGCTGCACAAATAGAAGAGCACTCAAGTAACCAGCCCGGCCAAAAAGGATCTCGTCAGGAAGATTACGATCTGAACACACACCATCGTGCATGGCTTCCAGTCTTCAAAACATAGAAAGTTATTGAGGTTTGTAATATATGCAAACAGATTATATAAAATAGGTGTATAAAGTTTCACTGAGGAAGGCTTTGGCAATGCATCTGAAAGCCATGAAACACGATGGCCATTTTCCACCAATGCACCAACAACATGTTGCCAGTGGCTGTATTACAAATCGTAAAGCCAGGAGATGCAAAGTGTCCTTCTGTACTCAATAAGTGCACATATTAAAGTGTTAAAGACATAATGGGTTTTGACTCTGTACTCTTACCAGACAGCCAACATGCTTTTTATCTACCTCTTAGCTTGTGACACTGTACATATGCAGTCAGTGAATAAGACAAAAAACTTCTTTCAATATCAGAATCAACAATCAGCAATGATGCTCTGGGAACCAAGCATTTATTTGTTTGGGATTCAACGTCCTCCCAACATGTACAGTCAGGGTCATATAAGGACGGGTGCCTAGGGTTTGTTGGTTGTACAGGGTTAAACGTCCTATCAACAGCTAAGGTCATTGAAGGACGTGGGGTACCTACGGAGACATAAACTGCTTGAAAGAAAAAATATGTAGGAAAGATAGATAGTTGGCAGGAAAGATATGAAACAAAAACAGATCTCAAGTGTTGCAATGGGTCAGCAGATCAATTTTGGTCTCTTACATGTACATGTCATAGAAGGCACAGAAGAAATCACCTGATTCTGTAAGGGCCCCTCATTGGTCCACTTTTATGATACACATGCTGTGGGATAGAGCAGTTCTATTAGTGGTTTCTTCATTATCCTCTAGACAGGAGACAAGAAAGAAATAACCCTCCATTCTGCATTGGGGCATCACATTAGTTGCCTCTTATGAACATGCAGTGGGATACATGCAGCAGGTCTGTTCTTCCCCGAAGCCTTTACTGGTACCGTGAACCACACAGCTCAGCTTAAGTTGGCCTAGGCATTAATATTTCACATCATTTCTGGGACACAGTTGTATAAACCATTGAACACAACAGTACATGGGATAGCACATAAGAGTTTTAAAAACAAAAGAGCCAATTGTCCTACCTTTCAACCAGCTCCTGTGATTTGTCAGCCTTGCCCATCTCACTACAAACCACAGCGCCCAGAGCCAGAGGCCCAGCATCCCCACATAAGAAGGTCACTCTCCTTCCTTTCAGGTGTCGTAGATGGTGCTTGATGTAGCTGTAGGCTTGTTCCAGGTACTGTGGATCTTTATCAAGTTTGTTGTACATGTGCCAATGAAGAAAGGCAATACCTTTAAAAGGTAAACGGAAATGTTTTTTTCTATGAGCTACCTCAGTATATATGTAAATTTTAATCAAGCTCTTAATAATTTGTAACATCAGATTAAAAATGCAGTAGACCACTCACCAACAGTAAACCACTCACCTGTCCCCATCTATACCAGTAGGGATTCAAACCTGGGAACCCCCAAAACTCAATAAGCTCTACCGATGGGGCTGCATGGTTGCTGGCGATTAACCCAGTCCAGTTCTGCTATATTCCTCCCTCCTTCTTTAAACACTTTACCTATGAAGACATATCATACTATTTACTAGCTGGCGGAACCGTAGCTTCTACGCCCATTTTTTTTTTTTATTGTTATCGGACAAAAAGATCGGGCCTAGAAGCTATGGTTCCCGCAGCTAACTATTTACAACCCTGGTTCGGGTAACCCCTTGGAAATCAATCATCGAGTACTTGTAAAAAGGGTTGGTCACAGGCAACACAGTACTATAACAGGAGAAGAGAAATGTATAGTCAGACTAGCTCGGTTTCTCAAAACCTCCCATTGAAATTAAAGTGAAACTTGACATGAGTATTGGTCGGCATGTTTAGATGTGCAGGAAATGTTTTTTTGGACACTTCACATCCAAGATTGCCACTGCAGCCTCTGATTGGTGGAAATTAAGATATTGATCAAATTTGAACAAATTGTGTATGTACTAGCTATAGGTAGGTGTACTGTGTAGTCAAACTATACAGAGACTTCAATTAGCATCATTCATGACTGCTGGGGTGGTTTTGGTGACTTCTATAACATCTGCAGCTACAATTAGAACTTGTTATGCAACATAACCGGATCTGAAGTGAAAATTTCAGAAAAGACCATTTATTCATCTCATGTTTGGCATATTTAAATACAGCACCAAGAGCAAGTTTTACAGTCACATATGAAAACAAAACATTTTTTATTAAAATCCTTCAATTAATTAGAACTAATGAATTTCACACCATTTTGTAACTCTTTTATAAGTTTACTAACAATGAATTTGGTCGTTTCTAGACATTTTCTTCAGGTTGGTAAGTATGGATCATAAAAAGTTCTTTTTACACCACCAATAATAGTTTCTATGTGAGGTTTCGATGACTAGTATAGTATGTACACTGTCACCCTCGTCAGACAAATGACCACTGAAGTGTATGCATACAGAGGTGTAAAATGTGTACAAGTTGTCCACAAAATCGATGTCAATTTTGCTATGCTGTAAGCGTATGTACTTTAATTGTTATATATGAACAGAAATGGCTTGATTCAGCTACACTCTGTTTAATACTTGGTTATAGATGTGCGAGAGTCAAGGGAGACAACACCTATTGTTCCTTGAACTGAGACTTACCTCCCATGCCGGTGTAGACAGAGTAGTTAGTGTCAGCATCTTCATCTAAACCAGTGTTCAATTTCTGTAACAATCTATCTATGTGTGACCTCAGCACTTCTTGTTGGCCAACCAATAACTGTTAAAAAAATTAAACAATAAATAAAACTATATAACTGTGGCCAAGATAATTGGCTCATTCACTCCTGAAATTTCATTATGAACTATTCCAACCTTGGATTTGGTAGAGTTCAAATGTGTCTTCAATGAGTTAAATCCTCATGATGTTCTTAGAGTAAGTGTCAATAAACAAAACTCAAAATAAATATACCTAACAAAAAATCCAAAACAAGATGCCCAGAGGGCCTGCATCGCTCACCTGAATGTGTTTAAAATAATTGGTATGAAGTAAAGATAGTACATATGAAATTTCAGAAAGATCCATCCAATACTTGAGAAATAGCAAGAACAAACAAACTTCAAACAGAGCCCCACCCATATGCCTCTAGGGGGGTCATACCCACTGTTTATACAAAAAGGTCACTTGGCCCAAGGATGCTCCAGACTAAATAAAGATAAAATCCCTTAATCCCGATGGTCGAAGAAGGATTTTAAAGGTTTTACCTCTATTTCTCCTATTGGGCCCCGCCCTTCTGCCCCCTGGGAGACCACAACCACTGCTTATACAAAATTGAGTCCCCTTGTCCCAAGGATGCCCGAGACTAAATTAGGATAAAATCCCTTAATCCCTATGGTAGATTAGAGAATTTTAAAGGTTTTACCTATAATTCCCCTATTGGGCCCCGCCTCTTTGCTTCCAGGGGGGTTAGACACACCGTTTATACAAAATTGGTTTCCCTTCACCCAAGGATGCTTCATACCAAATTTGGACAAAATCCTGTCATACGTACAGAAGAAGAAGGTTTTTGAAGAATTTGCTATGTTTTCCCTAATGGGCCCTGCCAATCTGCCCCCAGGGGGGCCACACTCACTGTTTATACAAAATTGAGTCCCTTTTGCCCAAGATCCTCCAGACCAAATTGGGAAGAAATCCCTTCATCCCTATGGTAGAAGAAGGATTTTAAAGATTTACCTCTATTTCACATATTGGGCCCTGTCCTTCTGCCCCCTTGGAGACCACACCCACTGCTTATACAAAATTGAGTCCCCTTGGCCATAGGATCCTCCAGACCAAATTAGGATAAAATCCCATAATCCCGATGGTCGAAGAAGGATTTTAAAAGTTTTACCTTTATTTTCCCTATTGGGCCCACCCCTCAGGTCCCAGGGGGCGCCACACCCACTGTTTATACCAAATTGGTTCCCCTTTACCCAAGGATACTCCACACCAAATATGGACCAAACATTTTCATTCCTACAGAAGAATAAGGATTTTAAAGAAAAATTTGTTATGTTTCCCCTATTCGGCCTCGCCACTCAGGCCCCTGGGGGCCAGACCCACCATTTATACAAAATTGGTTCCCCTTTAGCCAAGGATACTCCACACCAAAAATGGACCAATCATTTTCATTCCTACAGAAGAATAAGGATTTTAAAGAAAAATTTGTTATGTTCCCCCTATTCGGCCTCGCCACTCGGGCCCCTGGGGGCCAGACCCACCATTTATACAAAATTGGTTCCCCTTCACCCAAGGATGATTCAGACTTAATATTGAACAAATCCTTTCATTCCTACAGAAGAATAAGGATTTTAAAGAATTTGCTATATTTCCCCTAGTGGGCCCCGCCCCTCAGCCCCCAGGGGGGCCAAACCCACCATTTATACATAGTTTGTTCCACTTCCCCCAAGGATGCTTCTGACCAAATTTGGTCAAAATCTACTGGGCCATTCAGGACAAGTAGCGTTTTAAAGCAAAAGTTGTCGGACGGACGGACGACGGACGCTGCACCATGGCATAAGCTTACTTGCCCTTTGGGCAGGTGAGCTAAAAATGGTTGTACAAAGTGGTTCAGTTTGAACAATTGCTGTCATATTGGTATATTACTCCCATAACATGAGAGGCCGCTGGTCGGCCTTTTTTCTATCAGATATGATTTTGCCGACTGCGGCGCCTGTCAAAAGTTTTTCGCCGTGTAAAACATCTAACATTGTTGGAGTAATTGGTATGTATACTTATTCATAGCAAAGTACATTTTACCGGAGTTAATCATTGCCTCTTTTTAATCCTTCCTATACCTAATCACTATAACAAAAGCAAGCTAATAGCTGCATCTTTTCCATGTATCTCCACCATTGTTTGGCAAATCAATTTAAGCTTAAGTTCTCAATATGATGAATGTATATCATACAAGTTGCTTCCCCTGGTCTTTGCACAACACAGGTGTACATGTATACCATGTATACACAACTGATTACCAAAACAAGGCAGAAATCAACGTAAAGGGGTTATTTTCTCATTTGAGAATTCAACTTAACTTTATCTGAATACGTCACGCTGGCAGGTTATCGTTTGGTTATGATAATATATGGATATCAGTGAATTTGATAGTGGAACCCTCATTTTTATGACAACTTGGTGAATTCCCTCAACGTTTAGTTTCTCCTAAAGAGCTACTCCGATCTACTCAGTTAAAAAAGCAAATGTTAAATCGCGTATGTTGCGGGATCACGTTTGAAGTACGAAAATAATGATTGACTGATCTGCGTGATTGTTTAAACAACTACGAAAGCAAACGCTAAATAAAAAGCCCAACAATAAATAACAAATGAGAAATATTTATTAACTAATAAAGGAAGTACCGAAACAATAATCAAAATTGTTTAAGTACCGAAATAACTTAAATACAAGTACCAAAATGACCTACAAAAAGTACCGAAACATCTTCTTTTTGAAGTACCGAAACTACCGGGTACCGAAACGACCGTACAAGTGTACCCCCTATAAGTCAGCTCTGTGAACAAAATTAGTTGCGTGTCCTGTGATTAAATATGCAGTGCCATGCCCTTGTTATCTGAATGAATTAACACTACAAATTGACAATACCTTCCCATCGTCACCGACAAGAGACTTGCCATCATATGCAGAAAATTTGTTCTCGAACGCTCTCCCATCCATATTATTTTCACAATGTTTTCATTTTTGTTTATACCGGAACCGGAAACAATGTATTTTGGTTAATATAATATAAATTACACGTTTCGTTTGTGAAAGACATTGCAGAAAAATGAAACATTTTATTGTTAAATTGTGTTAATAAACAAATACAATGATAACAAGTATTATATTAATATCACATTGAGGTTGTGAAGTAATGTAGAAAATTAATTACATAAATGATATATGCTATGTCACATATTCTAATAAGAGTTTTCAATTTGTATAAACCCTATTTACAATATGGTGGTTAGGCCCCAGAGATGTAGGCGTACATGTTGGCTGACCTATTCCCATTGACTTAAACAAGTTAACGTAACTGGATCAGAATGAACAGGATTGATACGTCTGTCGATGGAGATCGCCAAATACTCGTCAATGACACAGACGACTCTGGCGAAAATTCAAGCGATGCAAGGAAACGACAGCAAAATGGATACCATCACGTGCCATCGCCTCGTGAGAATGTCATTACTCAACGAAACAATGGATTAGTGCTGAACTCTTCGCGAGTCAGTGATGGTAGGGAGACAGACACGAACACATACACAGAACTACTACGCGGGAGTGTACCGTGTCCTACGTGTAGAGGGAACGGAAGCATACCCAAAGGTAAAATTTCGAGACATGTTTGTTTAATCATAGCAGGGAGACAGCAATGGGTTGGTTCATTTCTGCATCAATATCTGTACTGATTGAATGATAATGACGAAGAAGATCTTGATATTTAGATGCAATGAGAAGGGAAAGCTTTAACTTAAAGGGGACCTAGTGTAATGGCTTGGAGAGTTGGCCTTATTCTGAAGGTTTGAAGAAAAAACAAAGCGGTTATAAAACAAATAAAAAAGCTTTGTATATTATATAATGAATCAGGGATTAGTCAATATCTGGTGACTAGGTAACTCAATTGTTTAGAGTGTCTGTCTAGAGTTTAGAGGTCCCTGTATAGCCACTCATCTGATTAGAAAATTCCTGATGCTTTTTGCATTTTCCCTTTCTTGTTGCATTTAGTCCTCAAATTGATATACCCTAAGAAGATGGTAAAGGGTCTTGCATGTCTTCCAGGTCAACGAATTAGCTGAAAGATGGTGTAAATGGTTTGGAGGGATTGTCATGATCAGGAACCATGTATACGTAGCTCAATTGGTTTAAGTACCTATCGGGAGTCAGGAATTGAAGTCCCAGCTGGTTGTTGTATTTTTCCTTTCCTTCCTGTTACATTTGGCCTACAACTAAATATACTCATAGAAGGTGCGAAAGGGTCAAGTAATTAGCCCCAGTTTCCTCTTGCTCTGACACCAGACTTGGACATTTTGACAAATAGATATCAGATGTGGGCACACCAACAAGCATCTATCCTTCAAAATGTCTAAGTCTGGTGTCAGAGACAGAGGAAACTCTGGCTAGGGTTTAGTGTGTCTTCAGGTTTGGAGACTTATTTGAAGGAGAGGGCAATGTGGTGTAATTGGATTGGGTCAATTGCTGATGACACATCCTTGGGTAAATCATCTGCAACCACCGGAGAGATGGAAACTTGTATAAATCATGATCTATCTATTTTGGAAAATTGGTCAAAGAAATGGTTAATGAAATTCAATGCAGAAAAAACAAATATGATCTTTATTTCAAAAAGATGAAATACTGCATTACCTGATATTGTATTTCAAAACATTACTTTACCATTCGTTCAACATCATAAACATCTAGGTCTTAATTTCTCCAGTGATGGCAGATGGTCATACCATATTGACTGTATTGCCAAGTCAGCATACAAAAAGCTAGTATTACTCAAAAAACTTAAATATTCAGTGTCTAGATATTCTTTATCTGTTCTTTATAAAACATATATTCGTCCCTTATTGGAATACGCATCGGTAGTCTGGGATGGGTGTTCTCAACAAGACTCTGAAAAACTTGAAAGAGTTCAGTTACTTGCAGCTCGAGTAGTTACCGGCCTACCTGTATACGCATCAAGAGAATCGCTTTACATTGAGACGGGATGGGAACTCTTATCCGAACGTCGTAAACATATTAAGCTATCAACCCTTTTCAAAATAAAAAACGATATGACACCAAATTATCTGGTAGAAATCCTTCCTAGTCTCCGTTCTGAAACATCAACATATGCTACTCGTAACCAAGACGATTTCACTATCCCACGATGTAGGACAGAACTTTTTAGAAAATCATTCATACCATCATCTGTAACACAATGGAATTCCCTCAACTCCTGTATAAAGTCAACCCATTCTCTTGTTGCATTTAAAAACTGTTTCAAACATGATGTTGTTTCTATTCCAAAATTTTTAACAGTAGGAGATAGAAAATTTACAATTTTACACACCAGACTTAGGAACAAATGCAGCAGTCTTCAATATGACATTTATAGAGTTAACCTCAGTGATAACCCTTTATGTTTATGTTGGGAAGTAGAAAATGTACATCACTATTTCTATGTATGTCCAAATTACTCAACTGTAAGAAATCACCTGGTAAGAAATCTTAGGAACTTAAATCTTCCAGAGATCCTCCTAACAGACATAAACACACTTCTCTGGGGTAATCATGATCTCACTTTTGAACAAAACAGTAAAACCTTTAACTATGTATGTAAGTACATTAAGGATACAAACCGCTTCTAGTAAGTAGTCTTAACTACAACAATTACATCATGTTCGAAGAATTGAATTTTCTTTATTTGTGTGAAAACCTCGGTTAATTCTCTACGAGTAGGTCGGGGTACAGAGAAACAGTCGTCAACAACCTATTTTAATAATTCAACTTAAATTTTAAAAAAAATAAAAAAATGAAATGTACATGTTAAGACAGCTATGATGTACGTAAACTGTAATTAAGTTAGGAGAGGGCTTAATTAAGTTGTAAGAACTTGTGCCCAATCCTTTTTGTCATTTTCAAGGCAATAAAAATATGTTTAAACCAATTGTTCAGAGATTCTGTCTAAGAGTTAGGAGAAGCAGAATTCAAATCTTGGTCAAGCCCTATTTCATTTTCCTTGACTATAACATAACTAATAATAGTCCTCAATTTTAACAACAAACATAACATCTTAAGAAGATTTAATGTCTGCTGAGGAAACAAATGTTGTTCATGGTTGCTGTACATGCATGGAAGGAGGGGTTGGGCTAGTACTCTGCTGTATCAATCTCATTTGCCATCACATTTGGGGATTCAAACAAAGTTCTTAGGATAATCATCTTTTGCCATCACCCGGGCTGTGTTGGTATCATTGCTAAGGCCAAAAAATATGTATATATCTGTGTGCATGTTTCAGGTATCCCGAGACTGCAATTACAACCTACCCTAGATTTTACTGCCGACCCTAGATATTATCACATACATGTACTTGTATCTAAGATTAATTCATTATAGCCATGCAAAGTTCAAAGCCACATAAAAAGATACTTTCTTCCTGTTCAGGGAAGTCTGACATTGTTCTTGACAAACTAATAGCCATTGTACGTAATGTGTGGAAATGCATTGTAAAATCTAATATTTATATAAAAGCATAATATTAATTCACAAAAATATTAAATTAAAAATATTTGACTACCGACCTACCCTATTTCTTAAGGCATGTTACCTGAAACAAACAGTTTTGGGGGGTCTTATACCTTTTTATGTTTTCTGCAGTGATGTGTATTACTATTAAGGAACTTTGACATGAGAAGAAGTGGACAATGATGCTGTGATATGTTTTTGGATAGTCTCATGTTACTATATTTACATTTCTACTGCAAGTTCCTCTATAAGCATTACCAGAAGAAATTGTATTCATTGATCAGCATCATTTTGAAGCTTCTCCTCCCCCTCAATTATAATGAACAGTTAGAATCAAACATTTTGGCAATGTCAGGCTGTTCCAGGAATCTTGTTTGCACTTATAGTCTGATCATGATGACACATACACTTCTGCATTGAAAATAAAGAGAATATTAATATTCAGGTCAATTAATGTTCAGAGAAACGACTAAATATTTAGAATGTTAATAAAATTGTAGCAGGTTGCATGGAATATGTTTGTAACTTATTTGTGCTGATAGGTATATATACTGGCATGATGAAAAATGCCATTCAGTCCTGATGTTATCCAATCATTAAACAACTAAATTGAGCCCAGGTATGATGCTATTTTCTACTTAAAGCTGACAGTGCAAGTTAAAAAGCTTTCAATTGAGATTTTTTTCTCTAGTTTTGATATCTATCCCCAGTGACAATCTCTTCCAGCTGTTGTATCTTAGGAAAGCGACAACGTTTTAGAATGTACTTGCTTGGAAACACGTATGGGTCTCACTTGATATAAAAAGCAAGTACAGTATAAAATGACGGCGTTTCCTTAGATACGACAGCTATTAATTGTCACTCAAAACCAGATTTATTTATTTTTTAAATCTCAATTGAAAGGTTTATAACTTGCACTGTCTGTGTCAGCTTTAGAGAATGATGTTAGAAGACTATTTTTTGCTACAGAACAAGAAGGACAGTTGGTGGCTTTAATTCCTTTGAAAGACAAACGATTGAAACCAAGGAGAACGTGAGTATCTTTACACAACTACTTCAGGTTTAGCCCACGTTTGAAATGTGTAAAGTTACATTTTTAAATACATATTCATGCTAGTTACAGTTAGGCGGTAGCTCTCTGGCCCAGTTGAACTACATTCTTGCTTGTATAGTTATATATATATATATATATATAAAATAAAAAGTGATTAAATGTCCATGTGAAGGAAGTAAACAAAAGAACAACGTCGTGACGTCACAATTATATGTCGTCACACTACAATAGTAACGTGACGTCACGAAGTACACAAGATTGGAGGACAATTTGGCGTAAAATTTTATTGTGGCCTGTTGAGACTCCGTTTTAATATTTTTATTAGTTGGTCTTCTTTCGTTTCTCTTAAAATAGTGTCTGAGGAAAATAGTTGATACAAAGGTAATACATTAAATTTATCTCCAGCACATTCATGAATATGTTTGTTAACATGAAGATTTCGTAAAGAATCAGTTCTAGTTTGTTGTCTATGTACAGTCATACGTGTTCTGAGTTCATTACCGGTTTGACCGATGTAAAAATCACCACATTTAGAACAAACGATTGCATAAATTACATTTTTTGATTTACAATTCATATTTACCTTCACAGTAAATTTCAAACCATTCTTGAAAATAAAAGTATTACACTCGATAATCATAGGACATGTAGCACATCTTGGTGTCTTACATTTGGATACTTTTGGTGTTACACAAGAATTATCAAACTTAGAACATGTCAACATACGTTTCAAGTTTTTAGGTTGGCGTCTACAGTGTAAAATAGCATGTTTATTAAAAATGTTTCTCATACGCCTGCTACTTTGCTTTAACTCTTCACATTTGTTCTTTATCACAGGAAACATATTACAATTCCGTGGATTGAAAGTAGAAACAAAAGGAACTAACTTTGATTCATCCTTTAGTTTTTGTAGACGGGAAGTAAAGGGTCCCTTTTCAATAGCTTTCTGTATACCATGTTCTATTATCTCAGTAGGATAACATTGAGCTTTAAGGTATTGCTTTAGTTGACTTAGTCTAGCAATTTGAGCTTGTTGGTCACTGACGATAGTGACAATCCGTGAGGCAAGATTAAATGGAATATTAACTTTAGTGTGTTTACTGTGGTTAGAGTAAAAATTTAGATAATTATGTGCATCTGTAGCTTTACAATATAAATCCGTTGTAATCTTATTTGAATCTAGTTGAACTAAAACATCTAAGAAAGGTAAAGACGTTTCGCTACACTCCATCGTATAACAAATAGAAGGATGTAAAGAATTCAATAGGTTTTGAAATTCATTTAAATCCTTATCAGAAGGCCATATAACAAAACAATCGTCAAGGAACCTTAAAAAATTATTTCTGATAAATTCAGTAAAGTTTTCCCCAAACTTTGTCTCAATCTTAGAATAAAGTGTTTCCTCTAAGTATCCTAAAACTAAGGTTGCATATGTAGGGGCAACTTTAGTTCCCATCGCTGTACCCTTAATCTGTTGAAAGTATTCTTGCTCAAAATAAAAAGAATTACGATTGAGGACAATGTCTAGAGCTTGCAGTATAAATTCATTACTAAAACGAGAATTAACTTTTTCTCGTTTTTTGATCAACCAATATTTAACAGCTTCAATACCAAGATCATGCGGTATATTAGTGTATAAACTAACAACATCAAAAGAAACAAGTTTAGCATTATGTGGGACCTGTTTAGATAAACGGCCCGGAAAATCAAAATCATCTTTGATATAACTGTTTACACTTGTGCATAAAGGTTTAAGAATGAGGTCTACAAGATGACTCAAACGTTGCGTTGCACTATTAGGGCCGCCTACTATGGGTCTAAACTTCAAATCCGTAGGATTTTCAACTTCAATATATGTACAGTTTTGTTCTTCTATAGCTTACTTATAATAGAGCTTTTGTGGATTTTAGGCAAACCATAGAAATAACTAGTTTTATGCATAAAATTGCATAAATATATATATATCCAAAACAAAATTAAAGGGCTGTGACTGTACATATGTATACATACGGAAAACTACAGTAGAATTCTCAAGTATTTTGTCTCTAGTGGCCTTAAAGCATACTTAAAACCATGATTCTTTTTTTTCTGTTTTTTCTTACTTTTTAGAAAATATTATTATTAAGCAATTTTATTTTTGCTTAATAATATTTTTGTTTTGGTGTACACATAAATCCATACACATGCATGTGAATCTGTTTCCAGGCTGTAGTCATGCATGATCAATTACTTGTCTTTTCATTCAGGCTAACAACACTTGTGTAATTTCAAACTGACCTTTGTCGCATTGTTCGTTACAGGTACCTATATGTGTGCTTGGCTGTGTTCCTCTGTCTGACAGCTGCAGGCCTACTGCTCTTTTTCATGTTTCCAAGGAATGTGACAATCGAAAGTAACAAACCATTCCTGAGTCCCCAGAATCTTTCCATTGCCGTCCAAAGTGTTCAATTTCTAATATCAGTAAGTAAACAGGAAATCAGCGGCAGGTGTAGGAGAGATTTTTTTTTTGTATTTATCGATTACAGACATTTAATTAGGTGGATATTTGGTTATACTTACCCAAAATGTGATATTAACAGAGAAGAAGCCATTGTCAATATCACTTTTCAGGTATATATAACCACATATTCACTGAAATAAAAATCCTTAATTTCTATATCAAATGATGCTTATAGTTTTATGAATTATGAAGATGGAACATATGAAAGTTTTCATGGTATAATTGTAGTAGTAAATTGCATTTGTTAGAGAGCATTAATATTGTGACATTAAAATTGAGGTGACATCATACAGAGAATATTGACCTGTTTCTAACAACAGTAATTATATAACATAGCAACAATGTCGCATATCACTGAGCTCCACATGATTATTAATCAACCAAGGAGGACTTAGGAAAAATGGTGTCAGCTTATGATATTAATCTAAATCAGAATTAATAATTGGAGCAGGTGTGCTCTAGTTATATCCATAGATCTATGTGATGAACTGTAAGTCTCTGACAGGCACTTGTAGACTTCAAGAAAATGAACTGAATTGCAATTTTTCATGGTAATGATTATTTGATTGTGTACTATATATTACGTCCTGTATATAAGCCTTGTTGTGACTGTCACTAAGCAAGTCACCACATTTTTCACATTATATACCCAACTCTTTACATTTAAAATCTGTTCTAATATGTTGAAACTAGTTAACTGATTAAAGCCGGTAAACCTGACATTGTCATGGTCATCTTAACCTAATTTGTGTAAAATTGCAAAAAAAATCTATTCTTAACCCTTTCACCCCTATGTAACTTGAGTGAACTCTACCATGCATTAATTTGGAAGAGTCCATTATGGTCTACAGTGGTAAAAGGGTTAAATCAAGAACAAGGTGATGCGTTGCAGATAATATAATCATATAACATTATTTGTTCTTCCAGAATCCGATAAACATCACTAACCAGAATTATTTTCCTGTGACTGTCAATAGCATCACGATGTCAGTGCTGTTTCGAACCAAAGTCGTTACCACATCTAATGACAAAAACACAACAACTGTACCAATACGAGATACTGTATCGACTTCAGTGACTGCCCAACTCAAGTTTAATGAATTGAATGAATTTGGATATATGGCGTAAGTTGATCAACGGGATATTTTCAAAATAATATTGTTTTCAATTGTAATATTATCTTTTTACTATTTAATTTGTGATTGTTCATGTGTCATGAGGTTGAAATGAAGGTTATCAATTTCTCTTTGTGCAAAACATTTAAAATTTACAAATGTATTTTCACCAACATTCCATATTAATGATATAATATGTAGGTAGAAGTTGAGGATTCAGAGAATCACAATTTATACTCACGAAGTCACTACCTTTCAGGCAGCTCAGAAGGGGTCATGAAATCGCATTTTGTTGTAATTAGTTTGTCCACATTTGGGGACGCTTGCTCCAACGACCTTTTACTCAAATGAAAATTAAGATTCTACTCAGCAGTATGTGTACCATTTAAAGCCAAGGAACGTTATAAGGCCCATTTGTCTCTTGTATCGCCTGATCCTAATCTTTCTCAATATTAATGCTTTATATAGAACTCCTTTTCTTTTACAGAATTTTATGCAATGATACGAATACCTGGTTCCATGAATTTGTGATGGTGTTTGAGTAAGTATGTTTATTGTTGGTGTTATTTACACATGTATGATGTGTTGTATTATACGACAAACAGTCTGTTTCACTGTTTAAATGGTTTGGTTGGTATCAACAATATTCAGTTCTACAACCTGAATGAGGACAAACAATATTTCTTATTAGTACCGTATTTGCTCTACAAAACTCTGAGGGTGTTTAGCAATTTTGGGGAAATAGAACAAAATTTAAGGAGTTTTTCCAGTACTTTCTATCTAGGTCTGTTTAAAGGATGCCATTCCTGATACTCCAGGGGTTACGCTCCCTTAAGTTCTCTGCACTCCTAGAATTTGTTCTGAAAAAAGGTAATGGCTCACTGTATGTTATTAATGCTACTTTGTGAACGACACAAGTAGACTAGTGTAACAGGAAAGATTGTAGTGTGCTTCCACTGATAACTGAACCTGTAATCCCCAGCTTTCAGTCCACCGCTCTACCGATTAAGCTAATTCAAAATTCTCTCTGGCAGTGAAAATCTGCCAAACTAGCTTGATCCTTTGATGTAAAACACATGTACCATGCAGCAGCTGAAAGGTAAAATTGAGTGGCTGTTAAGTTGGGTGTCACTCCTCTGTAGTCTTCAGTCTAGTGTAGTCTAGCAGTTGGTCTTTTGATCTATCGCTATTCAAATCACCTTTTATCGGTGGTTGGTCCTTAAACAATTCTTGTTACCGCTATTTCTCAGAAAGCACTTGAGGGATCTTTCTCAAATTTTATATGAAGGTTCCCCTTGTTCTGTAGTTGTGCATGTTTATGTTTTAAGATTGATTGGATAAGCAAGATGGCTGATAGGCAGACATCTTGGGATTTAGTTTTTGAAGGTTTGTTATCGCTATTTCAGTTAAGGCTATGAACGATCTATTTCTTTCACATTGAGTACTGTACAAGTTGATATGCGAAACGACACTCACTTTGTCTAGGTTTAGGTTGTCTCTTTACACAGCAGTATTAAGTTCAGATCAAAAGTTACCTCAAGGTGCATTTACTATTAACATGACTCGATCCAACAGATAAGAGAAAAGATCATACTGACACAGAACTAATGAAGATGGTACAGTGGTGGGCACCAAGATCCCTCTTGTTTTAACCTGAAACCAATCAAATAGCTTACCATGTGTCTTCGATTTTGTCATGACATGTTCTAGCAGTGTACTTAGAGAACATGAGTGAATGTAAATATAACCCCTTGAGGATATGGCAAACATTTTCTGTTTTGCTGTTATATAGGTATCAAGATCTATCTCCTGAAATTTGACAAAGATATTTCTAACTGATACCACATTTATCATATTCCCTGGTTGCTAATTAGCATTTGGGGAAAAGAATAATTTTAGAAAATTAAAAAATTACGAATACCCCCAGCTATAACAGACAATTTCTTTCACAAAATTCAGTAGAGATAGGACTTTCCGACATGGTAAATGATACAAACTGTTTATAAGGAATGGGGTGTTAATAAGCTTGAATACGGTAATTGTCAGTTTGGTTTTCCTTTGCAGTTTTACAGTTAGCTATAGTTACCTTGGACATGACGAAATGACATCGCTGACCACATACCAGTCTGTCAGCTGTGGCAATGACACGGCACCGGTCATCAGTACGCATAAACCACAGCCACTGACCACTACAAAGGTGACCACTACAGAGGTGACCACTAGTGAGGTAACCACAAAAGGTGGCAGCACATAGATACAGTGTTGATTTGTAGCTAAAGTGGTTCCCATGTCTGATGATCCCAACATAAGTGTGCACTCAGATGCAGTGTTTTTCAAGACTTTGTCGACTTGTGACCAAAATGGTCCCCATGAGCGATGTTCTTAACATAAATGTGCACTCAATCTTAAAGCTGTTTCTCGAGATGTGCTTCCTGAAACAGACTGGTATTGAAAGTAACGCAATGTAGATGTGGACTCAAAGTTATATGTCAATTCCCAAAATATTGTTTAATTTGAGTTATTGGTTCCTATGGCAACAAAATACAGACTTGGAGTCAAAATTGCATTAGTTTCAAGAACTGTTTACTTTGAACCTCTGGTTCCGATGGTAACCACTAAAGATATGGGTTCATAATTATGTTGGTTTCTAAAACTGTTAACTTTGAGCCACTGGTTCCCATGGTAACCACTAAAGATATGGGCTCATAATTATGTTGGTTTCTAAAACTATTCACTTTGAGCCACTGGTTCCCATGTGGTAACCATTAAAAATCTTGGTTCAAAGTTATGTTGGTTTCCAGAACTGTTTACTCTGAGCCCTTGGTCCTCATAACGACCCGAGACAGATGTTGACTCAAATTACATCAGTTTTCGAAGATGAGTTTCCTTAAGCTTTGAGCCTTTAGTTTTCTTGGACACCACTGCAGATGGGAGCACATAATTGCAGCCGAAAAGTTTGGTCACCTATAGTAAGTTCAGCAGTTGATAAAAAAACATGTGATATGTGCTTTGCAAAGTCAAAATAAAGAAAGCACACAAACGTTTAGGTGAAGATATAATCATATATATGCCTTCGTCAAAATATATTTTTCAGTCCATATGTTATTTCAACTTGTCATTCCTTTTCTCAGAAATGCAGAGATATGCATTACTCAGTCAAACTTAGCATGAAGTTATTATAAATATATTTCTTTGGATTAGTGCTAGGAAAAGGCATGGTTTGAATGTTGAGCGATAGCTGCCTTAACTCATTCACCCCTGAAATTTCATCATGAACTATTCCAACCTTTGAATTGGAAGAGTTCAAATGTGTCTTCAGGGGTGAATGAGTTAAGCAACCTTTAAAAAAATCTGGAAAAACTGATCACATATGAATAGTTATTTATTGATGTAGACTGCATATAAGCTTTACAAAATGGTTTATTTTATTTTTCTATTATGTTTTGGTTTTCTTAATATAACTTTATATGTATAAAGATATCATATCATTTTTGAGCTGAAGTACCTCTGCATTATTTTTTAAATTTGTCTGGTGTCAGGTATCATAATTCCTTTGTATGATTTCCCCTGTAGTACCATAAGGCCAAGAGTCATTAAGTTTGTCCTATGGCTTGTTAGGATCAAAAAATATAATTTTCCTTTTATATGATTTCATTGACCCTCTTTCAAGGTAACAGGGGTCAAATATGTTAAATTAAAAAAACAAAACCAGGTGAAACAAAGTCATATTGGGCCCCATGTATTGATTTTAATGTTAGACCTGATGCCGACATATACAGCAATACTGTATTGTAATGTTACCTGTGTTTTATTACTTTTATTTTCAAATGACATGGGCTGTATTTTACCTGCAGAAAGCAGAAGAGGCCTATGAAGCCAGTTCTAGTTTAGAAAGAAGGAAACATGAACTCTAGGTTTTTCCTAAATTTAAACTACATTTAATGACATATATGCAGAAAATGCTTTTTGCAGGCTCACATACAACCTCCATTAATGTATTTACTGCTAAGTTACAATTTAAGGGGTATTCAAATTTTAGCGCTTTTCGCAATTTAAACGTCTTGCTAAATTATGATTGCTCCAATTGAACTTTCTGTATATAGTTTTATACTGCATGTTTTTTAAGTGCTCTAATTCTTCAATGCCTTCATCTGTTTAAAATTTGATAATGCGCTAGAATGTGTGTCCCCTAAAATAAGTTCTTTTACAGTTAGAAGCAGGTGATCTGAATAATGAACGCTGCATTAATTATACTCTGGTAAAATACATGTGAGAAAAATACACTCAAGAATTGTTTGTAATTATGCATGCTTCACAGTGTTCGATATTGCAAGGTATATGAACTTGTTGTAAATATTTCAATGGCACTTGTATTTTATTATTACATATTAGCCAAGATTTAGCTGTGATGCATCTCATGGGCTCCCTGTAATTTATCGCTATACTTTTTACGAATGATATTACGGAACACCATACCAGTGCCTAAAGCTGTAACTACTATGCTTTGGATTCCCGCCCCCTCCCCATTGTTACTAAAACTGAAAATAAAACCATACCTTGTCAACTTTTATGGAAAATAATAAAATTGTAAATTAACGATAATCAACAGTAGTGTTCTAAGTGTAAAAATTAAAAGGGGCAAAACCGGGGTTGCTTTCGTTTATCCAGGTTGAACCTGTTGGACCAGAGTTGTTCATTTATGAAATAAGGTCAGACCTAGTAATCTGATGCTGCTTTCTGGGGAGCCTTGACAGAGCCGTGCAAGGCCTGCATAAACATTAGCAGGTCTGCCAGGATTTATACCCAAAAATGTTACTTTTAACAACAGACAAACAGGTTGCTCCGCATGAAAGAACAGGCCCCAGGATTCAAAGTCTGGACTCTGGATTGGTATACACGTACTATCACTCTATATATAGCTACCTGGTCAACGGAAGTGTCCTGGTCTTACTGTACTATTGTTATATCCACAAAATAATTAAGGGGAAGATACTGTATATACAATAACCAGAGTGCAGTGGGGCAGGGATCCTTAAATTTCAATTGTGATGTAAATTTCTATTTATTTTCTCATTTTTGGCTCACAAAGTCTGCGATATGTTTCATTGTAATCTCCTTTAAAATGAGAACTCATTTTAAGATTCACAAATGTGCACGGTAATAATCTCTGTGTCATAATATATTCTCCAACTGTCTGGTCCTTACTGTTTTTAATTGGTTTGTATACAATTGTTGTAGCTGTATGAGGTAAATAAATACATGTATTAGTTTTGGGAATCGCTTCATAATTTGTGATAGATCATCACTATCTATTCCATAATGGTTGATAATCAATCATTAATTTATGATCAAATAAAATGAAAACATAAAGAGAAGTATTAACCGACATGAGTTAAATGAGGTGGATACATTTTTTGAACCCTTTCACCCCTATGTAACTTTAGTGAACTCTTCCATGCTTTGATCTGGATGAGTCCATTATGGTCTACAGTGGTGAAAGAGTTAACTACCCATAGCTATTGGTAGAAATGTTGTTAAAATGCAATTTAAGGTAAATCTTATGAGTAAAACTGTTTGTTTAATCAGGTAACTTGTCTACTCCAGGTAAAATGTAATCGGAACACCAGTACTAAATGTACCGTATAACAGGTTATTTACGTGGGCATAAATTTTTGCATTTTTTTTTTTGACCCAAAATTAAAAAAAGTTTATTTACACAGATTAATAGAATCTTTCACCCCCTTGGGGGTGAGATAGGAGAATCTCAACCCGAGGGGAAAGATTCTTAAGTTGCCAAACACGAGGCTTTGCCGAACAACTTAATAACTTAAGAATCTTTCCCCGAGGGTTGAGATTCCCCTATCTCACCAACAAGGGGGTGAATGATTCTTTTTCTCTTACCCTGTTCTCTCATTGTGTATCATATACATACAATGTAATGTTAACGTCACAGGCTAAATTCAGGGTTGACGTGACATTGATGGATTGTTAAGGTGATGTCATTGTATTGAAGTTAATTCATGCCATTGTTATGAATAGGGGAATCCCCCCCCCCCCCCCCCCCCACACACACACACACACACACACACACACTTCTCAACCCAAGGGTGAGCCAAGGATCTTGTTATTGACCGACAAATTGTGAATATATCATCCTCGCGGAAATATTTTGTTACACGATAGTTCACCAATATATAATTGAGTTTGACTTTCATTGGTCGATTGTTATTTCTTGTTGGATTTTGAGGTCATTATATCCTGATTGTGATGATATGTGTAGGTATGACTTTTAGCTTGGCTTTTCACAGAGATGTGAACCTAAAGTGATAAATGTATATGTAATATTTAAAACATTGATTCTGTGGCAATCAAAGCATTCAATAAGTTAAAAATTGAAGCTCGCAATATGTATAGCAAAATGTTGTTATACTACCACTTTCTATCTAAAGGAAAAAGTTGGCATTCTAATGGTGTTTGGTAATATGTTGAAGGACAGGTAAAGGATGTAATATATTGGAGGGAGATTCCTTGTTATGAACCCTTAAATTGAGCCTTTTTTACCAGTGAATTTGATCTGATGATTTCCTTTGAAATAACTGCTCAAAAGATGCCGGTGTTATTTTTTTCTTTGGGGGTACATACACACATTTTATTATGCTTTTAATTCTGAGCACATGTAATCTCCCCCTTGGACATTTCAAGAAGTTGGCAGGTATGCATCTGTGTTTCTCATGATTCTATTAGGAAGCTCTTTGTCCTGGGCTTTTTATTGTTCACAACCCGGAGTGAAACACTTTCTGAATGATAAACAAACAAGATTTTTAACTCATTCACCGCTGAAATTTGATAATGAATTATTCCGTCCTTTGAATGGAAGAGTTCAAATGTGTCGTCAGGGGTGAATGAGTTTAGCCACTTTCTTAACAAAATGGACTAAATTTATAAGTATCGAAACATGCAAAAAAGAGTTTGTAAAATGTCTTTATTAACAGATTGATAGTTTCCTTTTATGGCTGAAGCAAAACAAAAGCTTTTTATGGCTGAAGCAAAACAAAAGATATTAATGATGCTATGTTACAAATAACATTCATATATTTACTGTCTACACACACATTCACTCAACAGTCAATATTCATCTAAACTAAAATAATCATCACGTTACCTGACCATAGAACGTGACAAGTTTCCATGACATTGAAAACAACAAATGTTGACAGGTTTATGCAAAATTTTCCACAAACTCAACTTAATTGTGTGATATCATCAACAGTAGACATGCGCAGAGATAAGGCTAGTGCAAATTATAGACTGTTACTTTTATTGAACTGATCAAACATTAACATTTCTTTAAAATGAACTTTTTACTCGCTATCAGATTAATGTATAAAATATTTTTGAAGCTTTCATAGATAAAAAATACTGTAAATATAAGGAAAAATATTCTATTTTGGTCAGGTACTGGTAATAACTGGTTAAGCACAATTTATTATAAATGATATTGCCATCTAAGTGCAGACCTAGGTACTTTATGTGCGGTAAAAATAATGTATGTACAGTATACATGTGTATATATAGCTCATATACATTTATTTTTATTTTTTAAGTACGTTTTGTTCAAAGATCCAGTGACAATAGCTATCTTTCCTGTAACATTTCTTGCTTGAAGGAAAAGGTTTGAACATGACCTTTTTTCCCCACAGAAATCGTCATTCCAGCATTGAGTAAAACAGTTTGTTTTTGTCTGGATTCAAAAGAAACCACTTAGAAATTTTGTTGTTGTTTTGAAAGTAGCACAAAGAATTAAAAGTGTTTTTTTAATAAACGGTGTTGCATATATCACAATGTTAAAACCAGAAAATATTTACAAAACATGATAGACCCCTCTCCCATGTATACTAGAGTCAGTGTTTGACATATTTCTATAAATAGTTATACTGGGTTTACCATGACACTGAAAGCCTGAAATGTGAACTTGTCAATATATCCTTACTTGACCATAAAGTTCGATCAACGGCTGTGAAGAAATAGGGTTGGAATTGTGATGTTAAGGAGTGGTAACAGTGACTTTTTTTGCCCTTTCTATATATGCCAGGGATAATTACACTAATGTTTGCTCTCTGCAGCCTTGGAATATGTCAAAGCAAAATTAAAGACATACAGCTAGCTATTTGATTGGTCTCAGGTAAAGAAAAAGGCCAATTGCTAAGGCTGGTACCTGTCCTTTGAAGATTACAGAGGAGCGACATCGGACTTCAAAGACAGTCAACTTAACCGTTACGCATCTGACGGATTCTTTTGTGGCACATCAAAGGATAAAACTAGTCTTATCCACAAGGTGGCGCACAATGAGCTTTCAATTTTGCTTTGACATATTCCAGGGGTGTAAAGAGTGTACATGAGCGATACTCCTAGATTATTGAGAATACCTTTGCCCTTGAGTTAACAGTAAATCAGACCTTTGAAATATGGACTCATTTCAGACCATTAAGAAATAAAAACAGTACAGCAATGATATGGAACAGGGACTGGAAGGGACTGGATAGGAAAGCATGCATATGGGATATGGGTAACATAAACCCCCAAACCCCATAAAATTGCAGGGTCGTAAATGTGCATTTCAATCCTTAATTATAAATAGAGGATTTAACATGAGTGTTCATGTCATATTGAATTTATTAAACGAGTTCAATAATTTTATATGACAAGAGCCTTTCAGCGAGTGTCATATTAAATTATTGAAAAAATGATTAAATTAATACGACATGGACACGAATGTGAGATTCTATTTATCACAAAATATTCATATTTTGAAGAAAAAAACCTTCAAACACAATAACGTGTTATCAGCTGACTCTATATAGGTCAAAAGCAAAGAACAGTTTTTAATGCAATGAAAATAATACCAAGGACAAAATACATTTCAACTAAATTTCAATAAAAGTAAATGTAGCATGTGGTCTAGTAAATAAAAGTAGTACCTGTTGTGGCGTAGGAATATGTTCTCATGGTTTTGACTAATCGCAGCACCTTCAGGTTTTATTACACGTGTGTAATACCATATTAATGGCATGGCCGTATGACATAGTAAAAATGTGTCAGTTACGTGATAAAACTATTGTATACAGTGGTGACGAGATGTTGAAGGAATAGTCTTAGAACATTTGAATGCCGTGAATGATTTCTATTTTCCTGGATGATATTTCTTTTTGTTGAACACAACTCATCAAATTCATCACAAATTAGAATGTCGGAAGTTTTGATGAGAGGTGTCCATTTTAAGAGATGTGTTTGTGTAGTATTTGACTGCAAAAGTGACTTGCTTGTAGTACATGATTATTGTCGTTTGGACAAAGAAGTCAGTATTTGATATTAATGACAAAAATTGTACATGTGACTTTATATTTTGACATTTCTAGCATAAATACTAGAACATTTCCACATATCATTTGTATGTTGTTCAAAAAGTATTTGTTGAATGCTTCTGATATTAAAGATAATTAATCTGATAAAGTTTGTGATTCATGTGTATTCTGTCATCCTCCATATCTAGTAGTCACGCTCACTTTCGCTCTCTGCACCCCTGGAATATGTCATAGCAAAATTGAAGGCTCAGTGTGCAGCACCTTGTAGATGAGACAAGAGAAGACTAGTCTGATCCTTTGATGTACTTCAAAAGAGTCTCGCGTCGTGTAACGGTAAAACTTACTGGCTTTGAAGTCGGGCGTTATTCCTCAGTAATCTTCAAAGTACAAGTATAGCATAGCGATTGGTTAGGATGCTTTTACCTGACACTAATCAAATAGCTAGCCGCGTGCCTTCAATTTTACTATGACATATTCCAGGGCTGTAGAGAACGAAAGTGAGCGTAACTCCTGGAGTATCGAGGATGGTATTTTTTATATTCATACTTACATTATTGATTCGCACTTTTTCTTTTCCACTGTTTGTTTGTTATGCAGTCAACACTAGTATATATGTTCCAAATGTTTTCTCCACTTAAATATCTAGTCCCTCTACTGTATACGCAATGTATTGTTAATATTCGGATGTGTGTCTCCACATCCAGTTGTAGAATATAATTTAAATGTATATTTATGTATTACCCTTACAGAAGTTTCATTTAACATGTATTTGAAATTATTGATAATTTAAAACTGCAATTTGGAACTGTACAGTGAAATACATTATTGATTTCTTGAAATAAATGAAGTTCTGGCTTAAGTTTTGTTGATTTATTTTTAAATCAAATGATGTCGATGATGATGCTGATAAGTATATAGGAACGAAGGTTTTGATGAAGGAAATTATGTCATTTTTTTTAATTCCTTTATTTTTTTTTATAAAAAACACAATTGTTTATGATTTGATCAAGCTTGAAGTAACATATATTTATCCTCAAGATGTAATACCTTAACATTCTAAAACATGATCAACAGTTGATATATTAACCGCTATATGTATCATAATACGAGCTCATCATTTGTCACTAGACCTCGGCTCAGCTACTGATGATGGCTGGGCAATATGTGGACTCTACCTTCCTGTGTAGCAAGGTTTCGGTTTTGGGGGATAAACGCTATCCATGTGTTGTTCTGTGAAGAAATATGAAAAATTATATGAAAAAATGTAAAGACCGTTCATGCGCGTGCACACACACTCACCTACGCCTGCGCGCACAGACAAATACTTGGTGCATTCACCGCTTCATCGGTTTATGATAGTGTTCAATTGAAAAACATACATGAACCTCTGAAAAAAAAATTCGTATTTTAGCTTCATGATTAGTTGTTATTTGTTACATTTTTGCCAGTGAAATATCGGATTCTATCAACTTGATAAAACTGTGACAAATATCAAAAGTGATATCATAACGGTAACTGCATTCAAAGGCAACGATTTTTTGTTCAGATTCAATGAAGCGACGGCAGAATAAGTGGTTGCTATGGTAATTGTGTGGCACACAATAAATATGTTTACATAAATATACAATTAAAAACATTTGTATAAGCAATCATACCAGAAAATAGCAGAAAACGTCGGAATTGAGTTGAGTTTCCCATTCAAAATGGCGCGCACCTTGTTGTCAAGCGTGATATCATTAGAATATGGCGCTAATTATTACGCTTCTGATTCCCGCCTTTATTTGATGCATTATTAGCTCACCTGGCCTGGTATGGTGGGGCGTCTGTTGTCCGTCCGGCGTCAACTTTTTACTTTAAACAACTGCTACTAAGTAACCAAGAGGCCTAGGGTGATGATATTTGGCCAGAAGCTACCACGTTTGTTCAAATAAATTACCTTCATCCATTTTCAAGGTCACAGGGGTAAAATATGTTAAAATCTTTAAACAACTTCTTCTGAATAACCAAGAGGCCTAGGGTGATGATATTTGGTCAGTAACATGCTGGGATGAAGGGCTACCAAGTGTGTTCAACTATATGAACTTGATTTATATTCATGGTCACAGGGGTCAAATATGTTTAAAACCACTTCTTCTGAATAACCGAGAGGCCTAGTGTGATGACAGTTGGCCAGTAACATGCTGAAATGAAGGGCTACCAAGTTCGTTGAAATAAATTACCTTGATTTATATTCAAGGTCACAGGGGTAAAATATGTTTAAAACATTTAAACGACTTCTTGTGAATAACCGAGAGGCCTAGGGGGCTGATATTTGGCCAGTAACATGCTGAAATAAAGGGTTTCCAAGTTTGTTCAAAGAAATGACCCTGATTTCTATTCAAGGTCACAGGGGTCAAATATGTTTAATCCTTTGAACGACTTCTTGTGATTAACCGAGAGGCCTAGTGTGATAATTATTGGGCAGTAACATGCTGGGATAAAGAGCTACCAAGTTTGTTCAATTAAATTATTTTGATTTATATTCAAAGTCACATGGCTCAAATATGTTTAAAACCTTAAAACGACTTCTTGTGATTAACCGAGAGGCCTTGTGTGATAATTGTTGGGCAGTAACATGCTGGGATGAAGAGCTATCAGGTTTGTTCAAATAAATGACCTTGACTTAAATTCAAGGTCACAGGGGTCAAATATGTTAAAACCTTTAAACAACTTCTTCTGAAGAACCGAGAGAGCTAATGTGATGTTATTTGGCCAGTTACATGCTGGGATGAAGGGCTACGAAGTTTGTTTAAATGAAAACCTTGAATCATATTCAAGGTCACTGTGGTCAAATATGTTTCAAACCTTTAAACAACTTTTTATGAATAACCGAGACATCTAGGGTGCTTTAATTTGGCCAGTTACGGACTTCTTCTGAATAACCGAGAGGCTTAGGGGGATGATATTTAGCCAATACCATGCTTGGATGAAGGGCTACCAAGTTTGTTCAAATATATGACCTTGATTTATATTCAAGGTCACAGGAGTCAAATATGTTTAAAACCTTAAAACGACTTCTTCTGAATAGCCGAGAGGCCTGTGGTGATGATATTTGGTCAGTAACATGCTGGGATGAAAGGCTACCAAGTTGGTTCAAATAAATGAACTTGACTTATATTCAAGGTCACAGGGGTAAAATATGTTTAAACCTTTAAACGATTTCTTCTGAATAACCGAGAGGCCTAGGGTGATGATAGTTGGCCAGTAACATGCTGGGATAAAGGGCTACCAAGTTTGTTCAATTAAAATACCTTGATTTATATTCAAGGTCACAGGGCTCAAATGTGTTTAAAACCTAAAACGACTTCTTGTGATTAACCGAGCGGCCTAGTGTGATAATTGTTGGGCAGTAACATGCTGGGATAAAGGGCTACCAGGTTTGTTCAAATAAATGACCTTGACTTATATTCAAGGTCACAGGGGTCGAATATGTTTAAAACCTTTAAACAACTTCTTAATAATCAAATGACCAATGGTGATGCTATTTGGCCATTAACATGCTTGGATGAAGGGCTACCAAGTTTGTTCAAATGAATGACCTTCGCCCATATTCAAGGTCACACTGTTCAATATATGTTTAAATCTTCAAATGATTTGTTCTGTATAACCAAAAGGTCCAGGGAAATGATATTTTGCTAGAAGCATGCAGGGATGGAAGATTATAAACTCTGTTCAACCCATTGTCCTTGTTCGACATTCAAGGTCACGGGCGTCATATGTTAAAATGCCAAAAAGCCAAGGGTACTGAAATTGGGCCTGTAGCGAGCTGGGAAAAAGGACTACCAAGTTTGTTCAAATGAATGACCTTGACCCACTTTCAACATGATGTTTTTGTTCAACAATTAAGGTTACAGGCGTTATATGTTTAAATCTTTTAATAGGTTTTTACGAATCAAACAGTGATATTCTGCCTGCAGTTGTATTTTAGTCCACTTTTAAGATTACAAGTTTGAGATTAATACCAGGTGAGCTATTCAGGTCCATTGGGCATCTTGTATAGATATATTATATTTGTCATGTTTTAGACACATAGGAGGGCAGTGAGGACTACAGAAAGGACGTGTTCCCGTAGACCGCAGTAGCTGTGACAGCCTGTCTGCATCTAAGGAGCTGTCCGACCTTAGAGCGTGACCTGGATGGGCAGGACTTTTGAATCTCAGAGGGCCCGGTAAGTCCAACTTACCCCCTCAAGTCGACCGAACACAGACTTCGTCAGTGAAGTGTAGACTATAAACCCATCAACCAACCAACCAACCAATCATGTTTTATGCTTTAAAAACGTAATAAATAGAAAATTTAATGGTGTCTTCAGTAATTTCATAAATATTTTACTTGTGTGGCTAGTATTTTGATATTTTTCACTCGTGCTGCACATTCGTGAAATATATCAACATATTAGCCACACAAGTGAAATATATTTGTTATTACTGAAGATTCCATTAAATATCCTTTATATCTTCCTCTGAAAAAATATCATCATTCTTGAAATTTCAACCTTTTGCTTACAATGTGTAGGATTCTATTATTTGAGATAACGATGTGCATGGGCCCTTGAAAAACAAAAATGTTGTAATCAAAATTCAATTGTCTTACTTCAAATAAGTAAATAAACAAATATAAATAAATACTTACTTGTTCCGAAGCAGCAGCGAGGGCACCAGAAACCTCGAAATCTTCACTGGCTGGAATATATGTTTTCACATAACGCAAGGTATCCATTGCAGATGCTGGTTTCTCCTTGTGAACGATTTCGACATAAAAGTCACAGTTTTTGTGTGTTTCATCGTCCCGTTGAAGGAACCATTTTGTGTTTGGTCTGCAGATAATGTGTGTTTCACATTCCCGCATGACTTTCTCTGGGTCAGCCAGCTTTAATGAACAAAAACAATATATTAGAATGGACAAAGATAATTTAAGTTTTGCAATTTCCTTTATTTTTAAATCTTTAACCCAGCATTGAAAGAAACCACTTTAATACAATAACTATTTTTCATATATAGCTCGTTTAACTGACATCAGCCAGACGCTTAAAATGATCTCATATTATTGGGAAACGTATCCGCGAAATTGCAGGGGTTACGTATATTTGCCGACAAAATTTAAAATCACGCGTAAATCTTTTAAATTGTAATTAGTTTCACGTAAAAAAACACCTGACCAAGTGCTAGGCTGATGTATGCCCCTTGAAGATTACAGTGGAGTGACACATGAGCGACGACCGCCTTCGAAGCATGTCAATTTTACATTTAGGCTGCCGCGCGATTCATTTGATGTAAATATATTAAAGAACTTAACTAGTTAACTCGTCATCTACAAGCTGCCCGTACAGAGTCTGCGAGCTTGTCATGACATATTCCATTTTTGCAGTAAACGTAAGAGAGCGGTAACCTCATTAATTTCGAGAAAAGGAAAAATTCAATTAACATGATATACTTCTCGTTATAATATACTTACTACCAGGTCGTCCTGTAATTGAACACCATCGTTAGCTTTTCGGTGAATCCAATTTCTGATAGATTCGCTAATCAAACAGAAACGAAACTGTAGTTGTCCTCCTTCGCTTTGTTCTTGTTCCTCCAGAAGTTTCACCGGTTGGGTTTCTAGGTGATGGAACCTTTTATCAATTTTGTTCTCCGTGGCAACCTTTTAAGAAGAAAAGGTAAATTATTTTCGTTTGGTTTATTTCGTTATCATTTTTAACGTTAATCTACATATCAATATTCTTTTCATTTTCTCTAAGTTTATATAAACCAGAACGTTAGGAAGGAGTCCATTATAAGTGAAATATAGATGATTCTATTTCAAATAGGTTTGTTATCGATTTCAAGTCTGTAAACAATTAAACAGTGGTATATATGTTAAAGTAAGGATCGACGTCATTAGCAGAGAAAAATATGCAGCAATCATGAAAATATATTCAGTCCGACACAAACTAAGGTATCTTCTACACAGTTGAAATTTATTATTGTTATTCATTTTACAATTACGTTTACCATTGCATCACATATGCTTAAATAATTATTTATATTGTTTTCAGTATTTATATTATTACTTTTATTAGAGCGTGTGCTTAAACAAAATGCTCTACTGTAACACTAGATATGTTTTCATAGTCGATGTTTGATTAAATAATTTGACCAACATATCATATACTTATGATACTTATATCAGACTTATATATTACGATATTTGCTAAGGGTTAGGTACGAACCCTGAAGTCAGTAATAGACGCTTTTGCGCCCTTCAGGTACAGCAGTACATCCAGTGTGTCGGTTCGGCCGTCCATCTTTCCTTGTCGTCCGTAAATGCTAGCACTGAGATTATATTCAATGTATCTCTGACATGTTGTGCACACGAAACCCGAGAAACGCTTAGTGTGAATAACAACGGATTCAAAATTGACGACATAAAACATATCAATGTCATCATCAACTTTGTTTTTGTCGGCAACACATTTCACCTCAACTAAATCCACAGTTTCACTGACAGTGTGCTTTGAAAAGCTGTGTACTTTGATTTGCTCATAGTTTTTTGGCATTCGATGAGGAATCAGTATTTGGACAAATTCGGCAAAAGCTTCCTGCATATAATATTCTGGCACTGGGCTTGTTATAACGGTGTCATCTTGCAGATGTAACGCAGCAGCAATACGTGGAATATCATTGTGGACGGTTTTGTAACAATGACTGGAGCCTCCATCCGACAGAAACCCAGGAGGAAACGTGGTGATAACATCTGAATTTGGAAGCTGTAAAATACATCCTTGGTTGGTGACCTGTTCACACCGCTGCCAGTCTGTCGATAAAATTGTCTTTCGTTTCGGTGAGTGTAAACAAGGTAATACCTTTGCCTGTTCATACGAGATATCCAAATATTTTGGCAAGGTCATTGTCGTTTCAGACAGCACATGAAGAGTTTTTGGTAACTTATTTGCCTTTTCTCTCGAGACATCAAAGGTTTTTGGACAGGGATCATCTAGGGGTTTTGGCAACACCTTTGACATTTTATACTGGGCATCAAGGGCTTTATTATCGTCAGTTTGTTTAATAAGTGTTTCTGCTTGTGGTGATGGACCTTCGTTGTTGTGTATATTGGTAAGCACTTGAACGGCGTCATTTAATGGTTCAATACACTCGTCGGACTTGCTCCTGGACACAGTTTGAGTATCATTTCTCTGTTTACTGTAACTACATTTACTGGCGTGTTCATCAATCTCTAGAATATCTGAACTACTAGACACATGCCGCTCTTGGATAGGCACAGTGTTATAATGTTGGGTTTCCTGTAGACGTTTGCATTTACCTTTGGAAAAACGTACGTAAATGTATGCACCTATAGAGAAAATAATAAAAGCTAGCGGAATTAATGTTGCCAATAATGCTACAGTTGTCTTTGAATTACGATGAGATTCGCTTTGTGGCGTGAAGTCGTTTGTCGTGTTCATTATTGCAGTAATTGTAGTCATATCCCAGGTGTCGTTGAAGTCTCCACTGCGAAGCATGCACTCTCTATCCCGAGTTTTGTCCCCGTCAAGGATGGCGACTTCGTGTAATCCACATTTGGTCGAGGGTTTGCACATCTCTGTACTTGAGTATACATCAGAATAGGTCTCCTCTGGACATTCTTTACAAATCGTGTGTTGAAAGCTTGTTACTGAAATGAAGTTATGTAATCATAAACTAAAGGACTAAATTTTTCCAGTTTGTTTGTACAAAAAATATGGTTATTGGTTATCTTAATGAACACAGGAAACGGCATTACTCTTATTTTTTTGAAAGAGCAGCATGTTTTATTTTGTGTGTGTGTTTTTTTTTTTAATTTTCCCCATTTAATTTTAAGTAAAGAAGTATTTCATGTGTTAAATAAATACTTTTCTGTCTGTAGTATAATTAAGTTTGCGAACGCAGTAAATATAAAAGACTTATTTGCAAAGATTATTTTATGTGTTAAATAAAAACATTTTTTTTCTGTATGAAGTATAATTAAATGTGTGAACGCAGTAAGTATTAAAGACTTATTTGTAAAGATTATTTTGTAAATATTTCACTATCAGAGCAATGAATTTATTACATGTTGGTCAATTATTTGACATATCTTACATGATAAAGGCTAATTCCTATTTTATATTTACAAACAATTTGATGGTTTTGAAAAGTGAAAAACAATTTAAAAACACAAGAACCCAGGTCTCATTATAACGAACATTCGTAATCATAAGAAAATTCCACAACAAACAGTAATGTGATTTCTTTTACATCAGTAATGTTTTACTATTTTGAATATTAAAGCAATCTGGGACCAAACACAACAAACTGTGCATTATTAAGGATCCCTGTCCCACTACAATATGATTGTTCGTATATACAGTTATATCCTAAAAATTTCGTTTTTGATATAGCTGTAGCACATTTGAGTCGGAACATTTCGGCTGACCTGATTGGTAGCCTAGTCGGTATATCCATCTGAGGCACAGGGTTCGAATCCAAGACTAGCCCCGTTGAGGTTTTACACACAGAACAATGTTTTTGACTTTGTTTGTTTCACATTTTTTCATAAAGGTCCCCCAAGGTATTGTTTTCTTGTCAAAAAAGATTAATGAAATCTATAGTCATGCCGGATAAATTAGTTTCCAGTGTGTAGTCATAGTTGTTGCCAGTGGTACGGGGATACTTAAAAAGCTGGATATGTTTACGTTATAATGGTCATTTAATGATGACGTCGATGTCGACTGAGTTATTGTAGTCTTTATACAGTGGCTTCTGATTAATAAGTAAATACTCTCTGATTGGCCAGTTTACGCATGTGTCTCATATTTCACGTTTGCATATATAACAAAAATCATTAGTAGTAAACACTATCATTAGGTTTAAATAATGAGTGCCTTAATCCTTTTCAAAGCACGTGATGATTAATTATATTATTATCAGGAAAATTACACTACCTTGAATAGCTGGCTCCTTCCCAGGTGGACATTCGCTATCTAGTATGTAAGTACTGTTTTTGCACGAACAAAAATTTTCAGTCGGTTCGCAAACGGCTTGGGATGGCTCAGACCTATTTCTCACATCCACATGTAGACATTTGGTTACACAGGCAAGGCATTTAGGAGAGTTTGTGTAGTTCGGTTGGAAATAACCAATTGGACATATCTGGCACTGTCCCGTTGTTTGTGGAAAAGTACAGTTTCTCACAAGATATGTTCCTGGCGGGCAGGACAAGCAGATGATAGTTGTTCCATTTGCAGCAGTAGAACGATAAAACAAGTTGGCATCTCTTAAAGGCACAGCTAAACACAGTGTCTGCAAACAAATCACTAGCAAAATGTTTAGGTAAAATGTCTCCATTTTACCGCACAACGTATGTACTCTTGCCATTACTAATTGGATTGAATAACACTTCCCCACTTTATATCAAGGGTATGCTGTTTTCAAGTTGGATGTTGATTGTGTCCTAAAAAATACAAATATATGTTTATTTACAGTATTATATTAAGTACGGTTTATAAAACACAGTAAACTATATAGTTTTATCGTTATCATTTCAGCGCTTAGTGTTAGTAGTTGAACCACTTGCTTCTAAGGAACTCAGCAAAGATGTTTTCATATGCTCTGACTGGATAGACTTGTTCAGAATGTAGTGGTTGCGCGAAGCCAATAAACAATGGGGATATTGTGAAAAGTAATGTGAAAACAAGCAATTAATAGTTAACTTATCTGTGGCAACAAATAACACTAAGTACCCATAATATTTAACACGGATCCTTTTTTTCACTCTCACTATAGTAAAGAAAAACAGTTACACGACGCAAGCAGACATTTTTCTTAGAGGCCCTGTGCGGATGGGTATTTCTATAAGAGACCGTGTGCGGAGGGGAATTTCTCTTAGACGCCCTTTGCGGAGGAATGTTTATCTTAGAGGCGGTGTGTGGATGGTTATTTGGTTTTAGGGGATCTGTGCGGAGGGGTATTTCTCTAAGAGGCTGCGTGGAAGGGGTATTCTCTGAGAGGCCGTGTGCGGAGGAGTATTTCTCTTAAAGGTCCTGTAAGGAGGGGTATTTTTCTTAGAGGACCTGTGCGGAGGGGTATTTTACGTAGAGGCCGTGTGCGGAGGGGGATTTTACTTAGAGACCGTGTGCGGAGAGGTATTTTTAGAACAATCGCTGCTTCACAATGACTTCATCTATCTCGTGGATAGATGCAGACTTTTTCACATATTAGCATTCAATGCATACATGCCCACAACAAAAAGTCATTTATATAAATTAAGTTCCTTTAGCCTACTCTGACGATCTTCTGGAACTACATGTAAAGGTGATAATGCTGATAACCATCTCTTTCCCTGCTCCACTGCTCCAGTCTTTTGTTTACGGGACCTTCCTAGGCAGAATTGGAACCCGACAACTGTATTCAACAGTTCGAGTAATATTCCCAGAGAACTACGTGGCCTTAAGCCTCTTAACTTTCATATTTGTTTTCATTTTCATTTTTTTTTTCAGTTCAGTATAATCTTACATATTTTTGTATACTTACTCATTCCATTGAATCATTTTTTTTTCATACCAACACAAAAATCATGTATAATAATATAATAATACTCAAGCGTGATACTAATCATCAGTAATATAATGCAACCTATTGATATATCTTTTTATTTTTGTTTTTATAATTGTTTATTTTTCAAAGTTTTTACATAAACAATTATGACATAAACACATATTCAAAAGCATACAAAACATTATCATCATCATCATCATCATCATCATCATCATCATCATCATCATCATCATAATAATTATCATCATCATTGTCATCGTCATCATTCACCATCATCAAATGTTTTACATTCCTTTAGATGCTATTTAAGAAAACAACTCCATCTATCCATCCATCCCTCCATCCATCCAGACAGACAGTCAGACAGACTTTCCAAAATGCAAATGGTTGACGAAAAGGCAATCAATAATTTAATTAATGTATTTAGAGAGAAAAAGGCATATTTTTATTAATGTTTAGGCAAGTTCAACTACTTTTATCCATTTTCGCCATTCATTAGTAAATTTAATGAGACATTGTTCCCCTTTACCATAAGCAATATATTTCTGAACATTGTACTATTCTTTAAGCGAATAACTAGAACCATAACATTTAGTGAGCTGTGTTAACATCTAGTTTTGTATATATAATGCTTAATTCAAAGCACAATTCATTACCAATTCTGTTTAAGATTCCTCGTTGCTCGATATATCCACAACTAATATTTTCTTTGTTAATTGTTAAGGAAATGGCAAGTGCATTTAAGAGATTTTTCAAAATTTATCAAAAGGCATTGTACTTCAGTGCACTCCCATAGGATATGAATAATTGTCTCCCTTTCCATGAAAAGTAAAACATAGAGAGGTTTATTTATTAGTCCATTCTTAAATAGGTATGGATTTGTTTTTAAAATATAATTATTTATTCTAAATTGTAACCATTGTAACCTTGTGCTATTTGTTACCCTGAATGGAACATCATATATTTTTTCCATGATTCCTTTTTATAGTAAAAAACAGTTCCCAATTTATTTTGTCCTGTTACTGTGATACTATTTCGAATAAGAACTTTATACAACACCATTTTTTTATTTTTTAATTAAACCTCAAGATTTAATGGTATAATTCGGTAAATCAACATCTTGTTGGGTATATTGTGATTATTAAGGTATTTCTTTATGCACATTATCACTCCTTGATACCTAAGATAATTTGTTATTGAACCATGAAAAGCACAAAATTCATTGAAAGAGAAAAGTTCTAAAATGTTTTAGTAAATTATTGATTATCATAATCCCCTTATTGAACCAATTTCCATAAAAAATGTCATTATTAATAATAATAATAATAATTGGCGGTTACAACCAAGTTCGTAGGTCGTCTCAAAACGGTTCACAAATTATTATCCGTGCAACCAGACAACATCTTTCTCAACTCCCTGGGGAGCATACAGCCGGTGCTGCCATTTCGGCGCTCACATCTAGCATTCAACAATTCTAGCACTGCCCAACCACGTACTCATTTACAGCTGAGTAGACTGGAACAAGCGGAGTAAAGTATCTTGCTCAAAGATACAACACAGTGACGTGCCGTGACTCGAACCCGCAACCCTTCGGTCACGAGCCCGGCGTCCTACCACTAGACTACCGTGCCTCCTATTCTTACCAAAAGTGATGTTTTTGTTATACCATATGGGTGTCTTAAATAAGGAAGGATCTTTCCTTCTATACATTTCTACTTTATAGTCTATGTCATGCCTTAAAAACAGCCTTGCAAAATAATGTTTTCACAATTAGTCTCTATCTTAATTAAATTCTCGTTACTACAATTAGCTTACACATTAATTAGTTTTTCAAAATCATACGCCATAATCCCTCTGACCAAAAGATCCTTCTGATCCAACTGAGTTTTAGAGATTCAATAAAACACAATATGTTTACCATTTTAAGCCCCCCATTGAAATAATTCTGAATAATTACCCCACGCTCAACTTTGTTATTTTTACTATTCCACAAGAAATTGAAAAGAATTGAGTTTAGCTGCTTTAATCTGGATCTGGTTAAGAGATAAAAAGATGGTTCAGCTGTGAAATTAATAGATTTCATTATGTTAATTCTCCCAATAGGAGAAAGCTTTTTTTTACTCCATCCAATAATTAAAGATTTAGGTTTGAATTGGGTGTTTTTTTAATTAATTTTAGGAATTCTACGTAAATCCACATTAAATTCAATACCAAAATGTGTAAACTTGTCAAACCCAAATTGAAATTCTATTTGGAAAAAGTACATCCCTACCATACTTTTTACTACCTAACCAAATAACTTAACTATTTTTACCATACAGATAGTTCTTTAACAGATCCCTTGAAAGATTTTTCTGTTCCATCTCGTATTAAAGAAGTGTCATCTGCATATTGCGAATTTAGACTCTGACAGTCATCAATATTAATAACAGTAATATTTCTATTATTTCTTATCCGAATTGCCAATATCTCTGTACAAAGTATAAACATGTAAGGTGCGATTGAATCGCCTTGGCGACAGCCGCGTTTTGTATTAAAGAACGATAACAATTTACCCTCCTGATCAAGAACAAGTATTAGAATGTAGTATTTTTACCCAATATCTCAAATAGTTTCTACATTTGAAGTACTTAAGGGCTTAATCAATATTTCCAAGACACCGAATCAAGAGCTTTTTAAAAATTAATCAATAATAGCACTCCAGGGATATTATGTTCTTCAGCATATTGCATGATGTCCTGATATGAATCCTGTCTTACCTGAGGTTATCATTTTTTTTAAAACTAACTTACTTTTTGTAAGTCTACTAGCTTTAGATGCAGATGCAACTTTGTACATAATATTTAAAAGAAAGTTAGGCTGACAATTGTGTATGAAATATTTTGATTTATTTGCCTTAGGAATAAAAGTGATGATGCCCTGACGTTGAGTAACGGATTACTGACCATTTGAATAACCATAATTTAGTGACCTAATCACAAAGTTTGGAATACATTAACAAAACTGACATCATATTTAGAAATGTTTATCTTTTATTCACAATTTTAATATATTTCTACGGAGCCCGTTAACTGACATGCTACACACTTATTTTATTTCGTTTTATCGAATTATTATTTTGTTTTTTCGAATTATTATTTATATTTCGAAAAAACGAAATAATAATTCGATAAAACGAAATAAAACAAGTGTGTAGCATGTCAGTTAACGGGCTCCGTAGGATACCGATAACCTATGACATAAACTTTATCGAACTTTTATTCGAATACCCGGAATTATGTGTTTAACACCTGTGTGTGTGTGTGTGTGTTATCTGTGAGCACAGAAGGCATGAAACATATCATTTAGTAGTATAAATACAGTACAATCTCTTTCCCACCTAATCACATAAATACATATGTATATGTATATGATATTTACTTCTATGGCAATATTAATCTACACAATATATCTGAAGAGACTATGTCCACAAATTAAGTAATGCGTTGACAAAATAATACATTAATATTACTCTTTATAAATTCTCTTGAAAATCGTTTATTTGACAGGTACAATAAACTCAGCTAACAAGGGTTACATTAAAACTTCTTAAACTTAAACATTTCAAGTGTAAAACAACCTTGTATTGCGAACATGTTACATATATAATTCACATTAACTTTGACCAAACAACGTATGATTATTAGTGACGCTTTGCTATTTGATTGTAATAATAAAAGAAGAACATACCTCTTTAGGGCTGTGCCGTCTTTATATGAAGTATTACGCCTTAAATATGTGATCACATGTCCTAGTTCATGTATAGCGATTGGGATTTCCAATGTACCTCGGAAACTTTATTCTCTCATATCCGGTCATGTAAGATAACGTTGGCCATGTAAGATAATGGGCTAATCACATCGCGTAGTAATACAAAAACTAAGGGGAGCAACTCCCAATATTCGCCCGGCTCTGTATTTATTAATTTTATCTATAATTTCATTTATAATAATTAATTACATGATCAGCCATGAATTAAAAAATTGACAACAAAAACATAATTTGTTTGCTATTTTCAACTAGGAGCAATATTTCTTTGCGCACTCAGTTAGTAGCGATTAGAAAATGCCGTATGGAAAATAGAAAGTTGAATAACAACTAAACCATAGAGTTATGATGGAAATTTGTTGTTTTTATGCTTGCAACAACGTTGCAGTTTGAGTTGTTGAATTAATTTCTACTGCTATTGTTATTAAACCACGGAGAAAGTATTTAAAAAACTGGAAGATGGCACCGTCTGTGGACATTGAGAGGTGAAATATTTGTTTTTGGATGCTGTGTACAGCATTCATAGCAGTCCTCGCCAAGCCTGGGAAAATCAAAACCAAACAACATACTTTCTTCTTCAGCGGAAGATCTTTAAATGCTGTGTTGATTAATTCATGGTAGATTAATGCTATAAAATGATGAAATACATATGAAAACGATCAATAAATCAAAGGTTTTTTTTAAAATTTTACGAAAAGATTACTACGCTTTTTGGACCGAACAATTTCTTCACAAAAAAACCCCAAACAACACATTATCTCCTTCCGCGAAAGATCTTTAGATAATGTGTTCATTATTTCATGATATATGATCAATGCTATAATATGTTACAATATATCTGTATATGACAAAAAAGCCCATAAAATATATAAAGATCTTTAACAGTGGCGTTTTTAATCAGTGAAAGTTTCGAACTATATTTGGTTCAAATTACTATGCCTCGTATTCCAATACTCTAAAGTGTGTGTGTAAGAGTTTTCTCCCCTTGTCCATCATTGCGTAGTTTCATGCTCGCAACTTGTTGAAACTGTTTGATAACTGTCCTTGATAAAGTAAGCTTCGTGTTTTCTTTGTCTCAATGGAAAGTCTCCAAGTGAAAGAGAATGTTTACTAAAGTAGCCGTCAGCAGCTGTGCCTAACAAGTTTATAGATTGCTTCCGAATGCGACAGCAGCTGTGCCTAAAGAGTTTGTAGATAGCTTCCCAATACAGTCTCTAGATAATGGCCCGATTAGTATAATACAAGTGCTTCGGGAATATAGCATATTGAACATCAAACATTAAAACCGTTTATACATATTATTCACATTAACCAGAAACTAAATAATTATATAGGTCTTTAACCTTCGTTACAATATCGGGAGAAGGAGAGATACACAAGGGACTTGTATAAGTCCGTGATTACACACACACTGGAAAAAATACAATCTCGTTTTGATTTTTCGTATAATTAATCATGATAATAACAAATTGTAAAATAATATCATAATTATTTATTTATATTATCTTTATAAATTTTTTTTTAACTTTCCCATAATCTTACGGGACAATTTTGGTTTGCAGGGTTGTCTAGTTAAGGTCACTGTTACTATTTTTAAAAAGATCATTGTGTGCGCTGTAGCAGCGTCATTCCTTGAAGGAAATCCATCGATTTGAAACACTAATTAAAGACCATAATATCAGACAAGTTTCAATTGTTTTATCAATACTCTGCTTGTTATATATATTTTTATTGAAAATTATGATTAAGGGATGGGCTATTATGACCCTTACTCAACAACATGTTCTTTATTATTTACTGCCATTCTGTACTGATATACCACTTCCTTTATTCCATTATTTGAATCCTTCATACACAGCATCCCTGAGTGCTCTCGGCACTTTGATTTAATGGTAGATATGAGAGAAAAATACTCTTTCATATGTAATGGTTGGTGGATAGAGAGACCTCCGGTACATATGAAAGAGTCTTATATTCTTTCTTTTTGTGTGTGTACAAATTCGTGTTGTAATATGCAGCACTTTAAAAGCAGTCTTATTTAAATGTACGCCTTGTTTATTAATCATTCACATTGCCAGTATTTTGTGTGATTTCGCGATGTTTTCCTTCTTTTCTCGTTTCGTTTCTTTGGGTCCTGTTGTTATGTTTCCGGGTTACTTAAGGAATGATTTTTATTTTTTCAACATTTATGAGGTCATAACAACAATGGGTTTATGGACATATTGAATGAATCGCGTTAGCGATTCATGTAAAATATGTCCAAAAACCCATTGTTGTTATGACCTCATAAATGTTGAAAAAATAAATATCATTCCTTATATTTACATTGACGAATCCTTTCAGTGGATCGATATAACAACGAATAAAACAAATAAACAGGGTTTGTTCCTGCTTATACACGGGTGCAACGCAGTGGCGAGAACAGTGTTTTTTCGCGGGGAAATGTGACACTATCGTGAGAGATCTTAGCAACCGTCAACAACAATAACACAACAAAATGTAGTTCCATATTCAATGTTTATTTGTAGCACAGGACACGTGAATACGTGGATATTTCACAAAGCACAGTTCAATAATATTTTAAGATGTAAGAATTAAGCATCTAGGTCGGTCGTTCCGAGTGAGTAGTTTTTGTAGTGTATTACTACGCAGTGTGATCAGGTTACTATCAGTTCCCACGTGCTGAGATTCTATGAACACCTGTGTTATGCATTTATGAATGTAATTTTTGTCAATGGGTCTAAGCATACAGAATGTAAATATATCTGAGTTCAGGCCAAGTCATGTTTTGTTAAGCCATATAAAGACAGTCACTATTGCCGGAAAAAGATATCATTTTTCCAAACTTTATGTACCGCATTACTCTTTTTTTTTTATTGTACACAGAGGTAATCAAATTAATATAATTGTTTATCATGGCTCGTTCGTAATAATATTAAAGGATTGTCTCTAGTTCAAGTACATCAATTCATTACATCATTATACAAACGTACAAAAAAACCCCAACAACAACAGGAAACCAAAAGGAGGAAAAAATAAACAATTTGACAAACTGAGAGGGCTCAAACATTATACAATATAATATTTCTAGATTCATCTCTCTAAAATATGAAAAATACTCATATTAATGTGAACATCTTACAGACAAACAAAATAATTCAGTAAGTATATAATCATGTTATGTATTGATACAGAAGAAAGGCTAAAGTAAGCAGGGCATGATTTAACTCTATTGCTATTTTGTACTATTCTTAAGGTTTCTAAAGAAGTAACAGCGACGACCTTTCATATTTTTGTGTACCGTGGAAAATGTGTACCCCGGTACAGAAAGAGGCGACAGCGATGGGGTTTCATATCTTTGTGTACCATAGAAAGAAGCGATCATGGTACAGAAAAAAGTGAAAGCGATGGGCTTTCCTATCTTTGTGCACGATGGAAAAAGTGTAACACGGTGCTGAAACACGTAAAAACGATGAACTTTCAAATAGATCTGTATCATAAGTGGTACACAAAGGAATAAAAGAAATCGCATGTTTGTGCATCAATGTAAATGTGTGCCCTGGTACATTACGATATGAACTCTGATCCCTTTCAGATCTTTATGTTCCAAGGGAAAAGTGTACCACGATACACCACGGTATGAAAGTGATAAGTTTCCATATCTGTTTGAACCAAACACGGTACAAATAGATATACAACTTTAAAACATTCTGCCGGTGTAAAGTTGAAAATGGACCCCCGTTGAAAATGGAACCGGGGTCAGTTGCAACGTTGAAAACTGACCCCGGTTCCATTTTCAATGGGGGTTCATTTTCAACGTTACACCGGCTTTATGCATTTTTTAAAAATGTGGTACACAAAAAATATGAAAAAGTAAATATTTGTTTCCGGCTCTCGCTAGCCACTGTTTCATAAAATGCCGTACCAAAAGTCTTTAGATGGGAAGCGGTAAGGATTGGTTTACACGTTGTCAACATAATGTGTCCAGTCGGAATTTTGTTCGTATGGTACATGAGCATTTTAAAATCGACATCAGAGCCATGCTATTGCAAGGAAGCAAATACACAAGCATAATATATCCAGCACTCACCCAAAAATTACACATATCTTATCTCTGTAAAGTTAAAAATCCATTGACTCATTTAAAACGATTTAAAAGTGAAGCGAACAGTGAACACTTGTTCTGGGTTTACGCTGGGTGAAAATTAAGCGATTTGAAGGTCAAATCTATACGCGCGGGGGTAAATTACGCGGTCACAGTACGACGTTTACTCTGCAGAGTTATCTCCCTTACTTTACAAAATGTGTACAGCTAAAAATACTAGTAGCTACTGAGTACATGTTACGTTTGCGTACCGACTGTTCATTGGACAGATGAAAATAAAGGTGAACTGTATTCATGTGTATGAGTGTGTCTTTTACCAGCTGAGGTTAGTGCTATTTAGTCAAAACAAACACGTTTTCCAAATAACAATGATAAAACCATACACAATTCGTAAGTTATCGTAACTCATCGAGCGCAGTTAATGCGCTTCCATGATGCCAGGGACATTTACATGTGTAGGGATCGTTGCACACGACTACTTGCTGTTTGTGTCCCGTAGACACGTGTGTGAGTGATGTGTACCGGACCTCGATGCATCTGGGTTTATTCATGACCTACTCTGTTCCTTTATATACATTTTCAAATTTGTTGTTCATTAAAAACTTCAATTAATCAAGTAGTTTATTTCAGTTATTGTTTTCATTTTATACCATTACAAGACAGGAGGACATCACACACACACACAAGTACCAATATATATCAGAGTTGTCGTTCCTTACAGTATCGACGAAACCATACGCGCGGGGGAAATTTACGTGGACGATCAAGCTCCGCGTAACAAGCGTAAATTTCTACGTTTACAGTATATGGTATCTATGAAACTGTCAATAGTCTGGAGTTGACAGCATCTAAATATATCCAGGAAAATGTGTACATATTAACATCGGTTCAGGTGATGTATTGTTACACTTAATGAC